TTATCAGAAGTGTCATGGACAAGACCAACTGTGAGGTGGGTGTGGGTGCATAACAACCTGTGCTTGTGTATTACAGTGGTGACACTAGTGACCAAAAAAGTATGGTCAGTTATGCTTGTCTTGTTAGTGGTTGATGATGAAAACCTAATGGCTAAACCATTCTGTGTTAGCGTATTCTTGCCATTAGTAAGGTGACTGTTCAGAGATGAATCTTGGTATTTTGTTATTTTACGTCAGACCTGTCCTAATATAATTAATACTGTGAATGGTACCCTGAGTTTCTGCAGCAGGTCCTTCTTTCTTCGGAGGGCGCTGTGCAGTGCATCCTCATGTCCACCAATGCTTCCTGTGCCAAAACAAGTAATTAGAAGCTTTTTTCAGTTTTTTCCAACCTGCTTATTATGCCACAACCTTACAAACCCCTTTGCAACCTGGAACTCCCTCAATTAAATCTGATTTAAAAAACATTTCCAGTTCAGGCCACATGAGTGCACCAAAGTACAATTTTTGTGGGTCTGGAAGGTTCAAGTCCTGCATGAAATTCTTCCTATCACCAAATATTAATAGGAGCCCGAATTTCTGTTCTGGAGTGGTTGGATATGGCCTGCTAAAAGGAATTCAAACTGGTCAATTCTATGAAAATGCAACCGATCTATCAGGTGTTAGTCACAGTGGGAGACAGGCTGGCCTGACACTTAGCACTGCTGCTTCACAGCTCTGTGGTTGTGGGTTTGATTTAGATAGGGGGACTTACATGTGGACTTTGAATGTTCTCCCTATGTCTACATAGGTTTTCTCCAGTTATTCTGTTATGATTGCTAGGTTAATTGGTGCGATGGACTTGCATCCTGGCCAGGGGTAGTCACACCTTGTATCCTGTCCTTCTGGGACAGGCTACAGAGTGTTGTGACCCTTACAAGGAATCTGTAGCTGACAGGTGGTGGGTAGGTGGAAGTTATCACTGTTATTAAATGGGAAAATAAAACACAGGTTCCCAAAAGTCCGATTAAAGTCTCCCACACATTCGGATTGACTCTATCCTGGTTAAATTCAGTAAGACAGAAAAACACCTACTTGCTGTGGAAAAAGCTGTTTCCAATCTTTCATCCAAGTTGTCCCGTTCATTCTCCAGTCTCTGGAGAAAAGAATAATACTGTCATGCTTGGTTGTGGTTTTAAAGTACTCACAGGGATTAGCTGGCTTCTGCTCTGCATATAACCATGCATAGACCAAAACTATGAACTGACAGTATTATTAACTCATGAAACCAAACAGGTAAAACAACATTAGATGATTTGGTTTGGCCCATGTGGGCACGCTCATCAATTCTTGATTCCAAAGAGTTACTTTCATTTTGTGACAATAGAAAAGAAGAGTACAAACACTGTCCAAAAGTGATTCAAACATGACATTATAACTATTTGATGAAAGGTGATAGAAAAACACAGTTATAACATATGTAGTATACAGTAAGTGTAGTTTTTGTTTACAATATGACAGCTGCTGCCTGATGGTCCCCATGAAGCATGCTTCATTAACACCAGTTTTCAAGGGAATCACCAGGTTGCAAGTACTTTAACTTAGGTCTGGGTTTATCCCAGTTCCTGCTGCATTAGGAAGACTGAGAATGCTCCCTGGATGGTACAGTAATCCAACTTCAATTCTGGATTAAAAAACAATTAGATAAAATCTTTGTAGCAACTTATTTTCTCTTATGCAAAATAAACTTACTGGGTTTTATTACTTAGAGCTGCTAAGTAGAAAGATGGTCTTGGTTTGATTAGGAATATAATCTGAAAATACATTGTAGTTGTAGGAATTTGATTAAGATGTATTCCATGTTTTTGTACTGAAGTATATTGCATTTGTTGGTTCTGTTGTTATGGATTAGTGCCATTAATGACTAGATTCAATACATATTGCACCTTATGTCATGGCCAGTAAGGTAAGGTAAGGTTACTTTATTTGTGATATACAATTTCTTGCATAAGGAATACCCCAACTTGTTCTCCATGAGACACACAGACAGAGAGAAGCTTGGGGTCAGAGCACAGGGTCAGACATTGTACAGTGCCCCTGGAGCAGTTGGGCCTTGCTCAGGGCCAATTTCTCAAAAATTGGGCTTCTGTCATTGATGGACTGGAGGAGATTAGTATGGATAATTTTGTTTGTTGTTTTAGTGGACACACTCAGTATTTGGAATAATGAACTGCAATAGCATCAACACTATTAGCGTTGATCCTCTTGTCAGGTTGCAGGTTAAAACGGATTCACAAGCTGATAACAAAGAATGACATTGCATGCAGAGCAAAACAAACTGAGGAGCATTTGTCTGTTAAAGTCATTCTTCCCAGTGGTGCTAAAAACAACTGAAGAATACTGAAGAGTACAGTATTTGCTGGAAGAAAATCAACAAATGTGAAATGCTCAATTTAGCACAAGGATTTATTAAATAAGGGTCTGTAAACCTTTTTGGCTGAATACTATCAGTAATTTACTTCAGTAAACTGGATCAGATGTTTAAAGAAACTCCCTGGCTATGGGGATAAAATCACAATTTGAGGATAACACAGGATAACATATGGTATGTGGGTTCCATAAGATTTCAAGGCTGATTATTATTTGATGGATAATACTTCAAACTATGTTTCATGTATTGAATGGAATCTACAGTACCTCTCTACTGAAGAGTGAATTATTAGGTGATAGTGAGGAATATTATTCTTGCCGTGGCTATATGTAGACATTGCTTTGAATAAGGCTCCTACTGATTACAAAGCAGGACATATTATTTACTCCATATTTATCCATTATATTGCTGAAATCACCATTGATTGCTTGCCTGCAATCAGGTTGCTCTGCGATTTGATTGAACACCCTGTACACCTGCTAAGATAATCAGAATCAATTGTGTTAGCCAACATATCTCCCCTGGAACAATTGTAAAAGCACTGCAAAAGGTTATCACACCTTGCTCAAAAACAAAACACACCTGCTAACGAGAAAAAGTTGAAATATAGCTCTGATTTTTAATATACTGTATAAGAGCATATTAATGAATCAAGATGTCTGAAAATACATGCCATTTTTTAAACTAATTTTATTTACCGAAATGATAGCGTCTCTGGGAGGTATGAAAATGTATTACATAATAAATTGTAAAATAAGTTCCATAATACTACATTAAAATAGCAGCCACAGTGTAGCTTATTTAACATGAAACTCAAAGGGCCTAATTTAGTAAATAGAATTCAGTAAAATCAATTATGTACATTGTTATTTTAACAAACATGAAAATGCTGTAGGATTTTTGAAATGTTAATTATAACTAAAATTGCAGAATGGAAAACTGAGTTGAGTTGTGTTTTATTTGTTTCTTAAAAAGACATTTCTGTCTGCAAAATGGAATAGTGCTGCCATTTCCTTCTCTGGCTGCACATATAGGAAATAAAAAAGAGCTTCACCCAGCAGGGAATCACATACTCTAAATACGAGACTTATTCCAAGATTACTACCTAAATGTACAGGCATAATGTCCATGAGTAAGAAGTCAATGTCTTCTTCTTACTTACTAGTCATGGAATAGTAATAGTCTCATTTATGATTGACGGCCCTGCTTTGGTTATGTGTTAGAAATGTAAATAAATACAAATAATAATAATGAATTATCTCATGTAAATAACACAGTAAAGTTCAGTATACTGTATGTCACTAAAGGAATTTCATTTCTTGCCTTTCTTTTGCATGGGTATTTTAATTCTCTCCTGTAAAAAGGAACTTCTCCTCCATGACAATATTTAAAAATAAAAAAATGGTAACAAGAACTGTTAAAACCCAAGTTCAAAATTCTGCCTTTTAAGTTCAGTAGATACAATCACCCATATCTATCACATCTTTGTCATGTGCCTATACTCATATGATTTTGTATCACAACTGAACCTAAGTCATAGTATGAACTACAAGCAATAATGGATATTGAACAGAATTACAGTAGATATGAAGCAAGTACATTTAAGATCTTACATAACTTCCAATGGTAAATTTAAAGTCTAATTTAAGTACAGCAAAAAACAGAGCAAATTACAAGTGCTGATAAATGACAGGACAATTGAAAACAAAACATAATTTTCACTTATAATGCACAAAAAGTTATTGCTAACTGAAATTCACAATCTGTCTGTGTTTTGTTACCATCCACTACAGTAAAGGGAAATAATTACTGTAATTTTGTCTTAACTATTATTGCCCTACTCCCCATCTCGCAACCTTCACTCCTCTGGTCTCCTAACTGTCCCCACAGCCCATCTACACTCTATGGGTGACAGGGCCTTCTCCTGTTATGCCCCTAAGCTCTGGAACTCTCTCCTCAAGGATATCAGAGAGTCACCTTCTCTAAACTCCTTCAAATCCAGACTCAAAACCTTCTTCTTTAGAAGAGCCTTTACTTTACTGGTTCCATTCTTAACCCTTCTGCTCCTACTGTACTTAGCACCACCATGTACTGTCTCCTCTGTGTATTCTCTTTATCTTGTGTATTTTTAATTGTTGTAATTGCTGTTGTCATTTCGTAAAGTGCTTTGAGAAGCCACCTTTAAAGGCGCTATATAAAATAAAGCTTATTATTATTATTAACCGCGACCCTCACCAGGAGAAGTGAAGTGAAAATGGATGGATTGCTGGATTATTATTATTAATTTTATTTTCAGAAAATTCAGTGCCTACACCAACTGAAATTCCCCATGGTGTTCTTTAAGCAGGCTATGCTAAAGTGGACTTCTGATAAGTCTTGTTGTTTCAGAAAGATTCCAGAGTCTGTGTGATATTACTATTAAAACACAGAAAACACTTACCTTTTCTAAAAGTTTGAGCTTAAGCCTAGTCATCTGGTCAACCATAGGGTCTGTCATGGCAAATGAAGGATGAGACAGGCCAGTAAAAACAACTGGAGTGCTGGTTTTTGACAAACTCCTTCTAAGGCGCAGTAGATTTTTGACCTGTTGATTTCACTGATTAAACATTCACAACTTACTTTCCTTATCTACTAAATCTGCAAGTGCAGGTGCCTTTTATGTGTACTCCCAAATTGGATCATTCTAGCAACTCCAGAAGCCCTGTTTCCATGTGCCAGTGGCCTGAATCAAGTATTATCCAGTGTTTCCCTCTATATCTCCATGCCAAGCCTTAGCCTTCAACCTGGTTGCTAGACACTGTCTGCTGCACTCTGACCAGCCCAGCTTGCTGGTTGCTAAGCCTGGCCTTGCTCCCAAACAATTCCATCTCCAAGCAAGTGCAACCATGCGATATAAACATGAAAAGACACACACACCCAGGGAGTGACTTTACAGCCTTAACTGAATGTCTGGACATGGACTGGGAAGTGGACATTGATGATTATCTGATGATCTTATATAAGAGGTCTTGATTTTCAAAACTGTTTATTAATCATAGGTAAAATAAATAAGTACAACATAATTCAGGGGTCAATTTGACCCCTTATAGTGGTTTGTGGGGTGGGGATGTTTATTTTGTTCCAGATTTGGCAGAATGAGATCAAGGTTTATAGAGTGACATGCAATTTTAGGAAAAGTAATAAAAATACATTTACGTAATGTAAATGAAAACTAAAATGTAGGATTATTTCTGTGGTGTAGGGGTCAATTTGACCCTAATAGTAGTTCTAGTGTTAAGCAATCAATTTGTTAAATTAAGAGAGCTCTGGTTCTTAAGGGCAGAAGGGTAATCATAGTTCAATCCAAAATGATCTCTGAATTTTACAAACTGCTTGCTTAATTAAACAAAATCAAACTTTTCCAGGTTTTCAGAAACTGGTGACTTAATGCTGATACATAAAACTTGCTGGATGTGGGACTCCCTGAAAGTAGGGATGGAGACCTTGTTTTATGGTAAGAGATCCATGAATTTATTTTTATTAATGACATAATTCATATTAAATTAATACGGCCTCAAACTTATTTTTCTTCACTTAAAAAGCAATCAAGCTTTAAATATCGCATAAAGAAGATATGTGTAACATTAATAGAACAAACATGTCTAATATTGTACAGAACACTTTTCAATGTTATGATGCTTTTTTAAGAGGAAGCAAGCTGATACTGAAGGGGGCATCAGAAGCGATGGGGAAATCTGTTTAAGGGCTCCAGTTGTTACCACTCATTATTTCAACAGCGCAAGTAGGAGGTGGACTGCAACGCAAACTTGCAGGACTCCAGCTCTACAGGAGCTGAGTTGTGCACTCCTGCTTTAAATTGTTCTGCATTGTGAAACAGCCAGGGCTAATAAGGAATTATGTGAATATTAATGTCTAATTATACTATATGGAATACAAATGTGGAGCCTAGTATAGAAAGATAGAATAGTTTGTTGAAATATGAGGTCCATTTTTAAATATATAAATAGAAATATATGTTTATTACAATGTCTTAAAGATGTGTGAAGACTGTACAGTATCAGTACTTAGTTCACACACATAAATGTCAACATTGTAGATGTACGGTTTGTACATATGAAGAAATATACAATATATACATTTCAACTTTATATTGGAGTTGAAATATGCTTATGCATGAGGTTAGGATTCTATTTTGAAACTTGGTATTGTGTAGAAGAGGTTGGTCCAGTTCTGGTCCTGAGGGGCCCGTGCATCTGCATTTTTTCTAGGTTATTCCAAAGTGTCACCATGTAATGGAGGAATTGTTTAATTGGGCCGATAGGCTGTATGTTCTGAAATCCTGATCCTGGAGGCCCAAACAGCTGCTGGTTTTCATTCCGTCTGAGCTTACATATAGTACAGTAATTAATTGAAGCCTTTTAGACTAATAAGTTGCTCAATTGTAAGATTTGTGAGTTTTTCTTTCTGCTCCAAAGTTTTGAATTTTATGTTACTTATGAAGTGCAATAGTTCAAAGTTAACCTGCAAGATGTTTAAATAGCAGTAACAATTGAACAGTTCATATTAATATAGGTTAATCCTGTCCTGCCTTTTCTCACTACAAATTGTGAGGAATCCCTTCTTTCTCTTTAGCCTTGTGTTCTTCCAACTGTGTGCATCTGCCTTTCTCTCTCCATGGTCTTCACTGTCTTCCTAGTGATTAGCACTTCCCACTGTAAATAAGAGGGCAATAAAGAAGCATCAGTGAACCTGAAGTCTCTTCCAGCTTATTATTCTCCATCTCAATATAAGCAATTGAGGTGCACCACTTTCCACTGCACCATCCTGTTAAGCACATATTTCAAAAGTAAAACTTGTTGACTGTTTGATAATCAATTTTATTATCCTCAATTGCTGACCTGAAATATATGCGACATGCTGTATATAGTTGAGTAGTCCTACCCAATTACCAAAATAAAACTATATCCAGTTAAATCCACCTGTCACGACTAAGAAAGCTAATTTATTCTACATTAAATATCTAAGAAAAATAGAAACGTGTTTGTTCAAAATAACAGCGGTGAGAACCACTGTTTCAAAAACAAATTAAATTAACTCAATACAGTTAAGTGTGTAAAAGTGAAAAAAGTAAAACGAAAATGTTTCCTCGTGTGGTAATTTCACGTGTGAATTATGTATTTCAGTTTATACTGAGAAGCCGTTGGGGGGTAAAAACAATAAGTTCAGTATACTAGGGATAACCTTCGTGTACTTTACAGTCTACCCCTGTGGCGGTGCTTTAGGCGGGTAATTGCAAATCCCTAAAACACCTTACGTGGTTATTGTGGGCTGGAAAAAAAAAACGTTCGTTATTTTAACTGGCTCACTTAATCTAACCGGGTCCAGGATTCACCTATGTCGATTGGTAAATGTTCAAAGAGGACGTCCTAAACCTTTCTGAATTACCCCATCACAAAAGCTCTGACCAAAAAGCATAACGCACAGCTTCGGAAAATAAAAGTGGGCGGGTTGTTGCCGTTGTTTTCTATACTTTTAAGGTGCCACTGATAGGTCCTAACAGCTGTCCTGTAACAAAGTCTTGAAAACTTCGTTTTTTAAAGACCACCGCTTATTGGTTGATTTCATACCCTTCGAGCTCAGGAATTACGGAGGAATGATTTCCGACTACAGTACCCAGGAGAAAGGACCCGGATCTCTACTGTAATTGGCTAGCAAATGGCATTTCAGAGATGTGATTGGTTAATCAACTGCGAGAACCCGATAAGGGCGGAGCTAACAGTGCAAGGCGGCCATGTTGAAATTGTTACTGACAGTTATTCGGAAGAGTTTGCAGTCAGAGAACAGAGAAGAAAAGATTTGTTGTTAGATTTTTTTTTCTTCAACAATGGACCCAGAGGAGCGACAGAAGAAAGTAGAGGCTGGCAGAGCCAAGGTAAGTTCTTTAGATACGTATGCAAAAATACAAAGAAAGTTTAGCTACGTTACTGAAGCATCTTATTTTTTTCACAAGTGAAATTTGGGTAAAATATGCTTTTGTATGTTCCTCTGTTCTGGGTATAGTTAAGAAAGGCCAGTTTGTATGGTTTAAATTTATGAATATCTTCAGTTTGAAATAATTAAATTCGCAAAGTCAACCATCTAACATAAAAGTAACGTTGAACGATTTTTAGAACAGTCTTATTTGTACAGATATTTAAAAGCTAACATTTGTATCGGTTGCTATTTCGTATTCAGCCTAGTTTCTTCTTTTGTATTAAACTTTGAGATATTATGGAGCTGCATTTGCGTTCAGGAGTAGTTACAACCTTGTTTTGCTTCTGAGATCATGTAGCTATTTTTTCTTGGTTAAAGTTACAAAGTTCGATGTTTAATAAATCTTTATCTTTTGATCTTTGCTTTTTCCAATAATTTTTGCCTTTATCCATTGTCCAAGATAAGAACTCTTATTACAAACTGTTAAAGTCTGAGGGGTGCACTTGTTGGGGCGATTGTTTTGGGGGGGCGGAGATTTACTTTGTGAGTTATCCTGTCGGGGAAATTTTGTATTACCTTTGCTGAAAGACCTGCTAAAATAAATGAGTTTTGCATTTGCACCACTCATGATTTCACGTGCTTGTGCATCATACTTACTGTCTGCAGCCGATTACCTGACTTTCTCTTAAATGCAATCATGCGTTTCCGATCGACTTTCTTTTTGTCTCCTCAAGTTTCGTTTCTGATCGTTGCCCGGGCTTTACAGAATGGGCTTCTGCCAGACAGCGGCTGGCACATCTGTTTTTTTTCCTTTGGCCTCTGTTTTGAATACTTTGCATTTAGGTCGCGTCCTACACGACCCCTTGAATAAATGTGAACCAAGCTGGTTATTACTGGTTACGATGGAAATAACTCGGTGGCCGGCAAGCTGCCACAAACCCTTCATAAACTATCCAGCACATGTCCTGGTTCTTTCTGTACAGAAAGTCAATAGCTACAGTTAGACCTGGGAAAGGCAGGCACTAACATTAAACTAGAACAGTTTTCTGCAGTTAGCTACTGTGTAATGTTAACTTCGATTAAGCACGTATTTGTGAGCGCATTGCACGTAGATTATGTCAAAGAGACGAGATAATATAGTCAGTCCTGCAGTAACCCCCAGATAGGAACATGCCCTTAGTGGAAACTGTTTCAAGTCTGAAGTGTTCCCTAAAGTTAACGAAATGTAGGGTGTCTCTTAGAGGAATTTGACACTGCTCTTTCTGCGTAAGACTAGCTTGTCCCGCAGGTGGCAGTTAAATTTAGTAAATGCAGCACAGCTGACGAGCAGTCAGGGTCTGAGCGGTAGACGGAATCCGCCTGTCTTGACTGGACTCTTGAGTTGTCTGGGAGAAAACAAAATCCGAATAAAGAAAGCAGTTATTAACAACGCAGACCCGATAGCTCAGTGAAAGTGCTGAACCTGTGATACGGTTTGCATTTTAGTATGTGAAGGTTTTCCTCGATGTTTACCGTACTAAATACATTTTTAGAAAAACGTCTAAAAATGAATGGGTTATTGTCATTTTTTCCTGCCATTATAGCAATTTTAGATTGTGAAACTGAAGAGGTTAATATTAATTTAGTATATGAATGAGTGTGTTGCAAGACTTTGGAAGCTCTGGCTTTGTAGCACAGTAGTTTGGGGTTAAGAGTGGGGTGTGCATACTGTACATACCTTTGATGTGTTGTCACTCTTGTGGCATTAGGTAGTAATTTTAGGTTTTCACTTCTTGGATGAAGGAAATGGGCAGCACGGTGGTGTGGTGATTATTGTTGGTTCTTTGAGTTGGAAACCTGGGTTCATTTCTGGGACCTGGGGTGCCATCTATGTGGAGTTTGTATAATCTGCGTGCTTGTGTAAATTTCCTCCAGTGCTCCAAAGACATACTGGTAGGTTAATTGGTTTCTGGAAACTTGGCCTTGGTGTGAGTTTGTTGCGATTCACAACTGGCAGCCCAACAACTGAAGCTACACAGGTGTGAGCCTGGCCTGTACCTGGATGGGAGAGCTCCTGGGAAAAGCTAATGTTGCTGCTGGAAGAGGTGTTAGTGGGGCCAGCAGGGTGCGCTCACCCTGCGGTCCATGTAGGTCCTAATGCCTTAATATAGTGACAGGGACACTATACTGTAAACAGGTCCTGACTCTCTGTGGTCATTAGAAATACCAGGGCGTTTCTCGAAAAGAGTAGGGGTGTTACCCTGGTGTCCTGGCCAAATTTCCCATTGGCTTTTACCATTCATGGTCTCCTCGATCTGTGAATTGGCTTCATTACTCTGCTCTCCTCCTCCTCATTGATAGCCAATGTGTGGTGAGCTTTCTGGTGCACTATGGCTGCTGTCACATTATTCAGGTGGATGCTGCACGTTGGTGGTGGTGGAGGGGAGTCCCCATTACCTGTAGAGTGCTCTGAGTGGAGTCTCCATAAAAAAGTTCTATATACGTAAGTATAAGCAATTATTATTATTTGTTTCTGTGTCCTGTGATTGGCTGGTGTCCCAAGTAGGCTACATGTATATCCTCCCTTGTGTCTGATGCCTGCCAGGATAGGCAAGCTTAAGTAACTAACGTGAGCTTTACAGGTTCTTTGTACTACTGGAAACGTATTGAAGTGATATCTTCTGGATATCAGTTCCTTTGTTAAGCATGTCGTTTTGAAGTACCACGCTTCAGCTCTCCTCAGTGTGGTGTTATTACAGGGCAGATGCTGTAGGTGGTGCACAAGGGCCTGGTTTGGAGGATATATGACCAGAGGAAAGTAGAATGTAAGCTGGCAAAACAGTTGTCATCCCTGAAGCTTTCTTATTTTAAAAACTAGATTTTAATGTATACTATTGTTATATATTATATGTATTGTTACATTATGAAATTGTAATATTTTATGTCTAGTAAGGTGATCTAAGTAGATGTTTCTTCCAATCGGTTCTGTGGACTCTTTGAACCAATATTTAAAAAGGTTTTTATAAAAATAATCCCTTTTGACAATTAGGGTTCAAATAGTTTGCCAATTACATTGTGTTTATGCATCTTAATATTTATGAATACAACTTGTTTACTAATGCTTGTATGGTCAAACTACATGATAAATGTAGTTTTTTCATAGAAAGTAAAACATGAAATATCTTCTGGAATGATGAAATCGCAGAACCTATGTTCACACTGGAATACCCTGGGGAAGTGATGCTCTGAAATTAGACAAACATTCTCTTGTCTGCTTGATCTTGGCAGCAAGTGGTTGAAAACAGAAAATGTGTTTGTATATAAAATATTGTGAGAATCTTGTAAATTAACTGTGATCTATTTGAATATGTAACATTCAGGTCACGTAGAAGATAATTAACCAGTTGCTGTATTGAAGTATTAGCAGAGGATTAGAACCTTTCATTGGTTCAATAGTCTTTTTTTTCTTAGCGGTTATAGCATAATCCAACAGAATTTTCAAGAATTAGAATTTTGTCTAATGCTGATTAAGGAGCAAGTAGAGTTTATTCCATGCTGAATACAGAAGAAAAGAAACAACATTTCAGCTGTGGAGCCTTTTTCGAGTGTGATGCACATTCACCTGATGACACCTGAAGAAGGCTCCACAGCCAAAACGTTGTTTCTTTTCTTCCCTTTTCAGCATGGAATAAGCCTTTACCAGTGCTTTGTAGCCTATGCATGCTGACGCAGCTACCTACTAGAACTAATGCTGGATAGGGTCTTGTTTTGACATGTTTTAGATGTTTTAACAGCCTTTTGACCTTAATAGGTTTTCTCTGATTATCCTCTTGCATCCATACTAACAAATTCTTATCTAGTTGTTCAGTGCACTTTTTTAAAAGTGAAGACTCTACCTTCTGTAGCATTAGTCGGAAGTTGGCCATTGCTATTAATATAGTTAAAACTGGTGTAATATAGGTAAAATGGACCATTTCTAAAAAATGCAGCCTTTAACTTTACATTTACATTTGTAATATTTACTAATTATAGCTTTTAGTGATATTTACGGTTTCTCAGCATCTCATTTGCTGGGTACTGCATACATGATGTTTTTCTAAAGCATCTTTATGGTGCAGCTACTGTATATAACATCTAGACTCTGGGGAGTTAAGCCTTGTAGAATCTTGTAAACAGGTGGATTTCAAAATCAGCTTAAATCCATTCCAAATAGTACTCCATGGCAGGAGTAATGTTTTGTGTATATTGTGGTATAAGTATAGTTTGAGATTCCTGTCTCTCCTGGTGATATTTCTCGGATGGAAAATGTCTTTACAAAGGTTTACAGATGAGTGTCAGGAGCCAAACCTGAAGTCAAAGATCACCCGTAATGTCTCTGGTTTTAGATCAAAAGTCAAGCATAATACTGTCTTTTGTCCAGGTTATAAGATTGTCCCATAACTCTTGGAAAGAACCAGATCTGCGCCTCTGGCTCAAAGGTTGCCGGTTCGTATCCCACAGCCGGCAGAGGTATCCTACTCCATTGAGCCCCTGAGCAAGGCCCTTAACCCCAACTGCTCCAGGGGTGCTGTATAAATGGCTGACCCTGCGCTCTGAAGCCAAGCTTCTCTCCCTGTTTGTGTTTCTCATGGAGAGCAAGTTGGGGTATGTGAAAAGACAAATTCCTAATACAAGAAATTGTATTTAGCCAATAAAGTGATCTTATAACATGACCTCAGGCTTATTGCGATTAAGATGGAAAAGTGTGATGTTAGTGTACTTGCAGGAATGGTGAAGCAGTCTGAGGCAGGAGGCTAGATTCAGGTGCAGGTTCAGGTAATGGGCAAAGAAGCAAAAAGGTAATCCAAATTGTTTCCCGGAACAGGTGTAGGTCAAAGTCCAGGAAAACTTGGAATAAAGTACCAAAGGGATGGTACGGAAGCAGCATAGAAACAGCAGTGAAGTCAGTCACAGTATAGGGGTAACTCAGGAACAGGTTAAGAAGACTAGCAAGTTGCTGGAGAGGACTACCATGACTAGAAGAGAAGGCTTAGCACAGCACATGAGAAGGTGGATTGTAAATACTGGAAGGAATCAGTCTGACAACTGGCACCGATTGCCTCCTGTAGCATGTAGTTGTGGTTACTGATTGAATAACAGGGTTAGGGTTGTTAGCAGTGGGTCTGGTGTGATTATTAGTGGTCCAACAAGTCATCCAAACATTTATTGCAAAATACAGTTGGAGCCAAAAAAAAGTACCTTCAAGTCAGGTTTTGTGTCAAGAGTTGTGACAAAGCAGTTTTAGTATTTGATGAAGGGGAACATATTAATAGTACAATTAGGAGTGAATTTCATTCAGCTATCCATTTTCTGACCACTTCTTTCAATTCAGGGTTGTGTGGCGGTGGAGTCAGCTGGAGCTGGAGCCTATCCCACCAGGCAACAGGTGCAAGGCAAAATCTTAAGTTTTTTTTTTTGTCTGGCTTTAGTAGTAGAATATCAATAGTGTTCAATTTCCCAACAAATCTAGTGTCCTGCTGGAGTGTAACTCCTGCATGCTGCCCTCAAAACAGAACCCCAATATGCAGGTCTGTTCTCCATGGTTTGATTAGGATATCCAGTTACAATCAAGTGAAGTTTTGAGGTGCTACTCGAAGATCAAGTGGCTACATCAGCTGTGCCTAGTCAGTTTTTGAGGGAGATTGACCTCTTGTAAGTGAGATGTTGGGTCTGAATCTAAGTATGCCTGGAAAGGTTTGGGCAGAAAATCCTTTCCTCTAGGCTCCATAAGTAATATGGAGTTGGAAGTGCTCAATTCATGTTCAGAAAGGGTTCTGCAGGAGGTGATTTGTGAGGGTCCGAAGATCACTGTGAATGGGGAGGTCTTGATTATTTGTTTTGGTGCGTCTTGATAAATGGAGGCTGGGGCCATGTTTGAAAGGAGTGGTAACCAGAGTGGCCCCTCTACAGTAGGTCTTGGTGTTCTAAAGATTGCCCTCATTGCTGAGTGTAGTTGCTCGTGAAGGTTTTGGTCTCAAGTTGTCTTACCAAATTCAAGTGTACAGTAAGATTTCAAAACCAGTGTTATGGATGAAATGCAAAGAACAGCAGATTGCACCACAGATTGGGTGATAAGCTTGCAAATGATCATCTGTCTGATTATTTTGCGAAGCCTTTCTCAGGTGCTTGTGTTAAGTAGGGGAGTGATCGGTGGTCTCCACGTGGTTTTTCTGTGCTGTGTGCCTTTGCCGTTTTTCAAGATGTAGAAATGATTGAAAAACAATAGTGTTAAACAATTTGGAAGCCTATTTTACTCTCAATTGAGTTGGGCAGGAGTAAATCAAGGGTTTGGGTTGATGAATATTATACAGAACAAGCAATGCTAATGTAACTTCATGCATTTCTGATTTCTCCAATTCACACATGGATGCAGAAGTAGGTCGCAATCACAGTCCCCTTATGCATAGTTCTAGAGTTTCTGCTCTGATTAAATCATTGTGACAAAAGGCGGTACTTTGTCTGATTGAAGATGTTTTTTCTTCTTCAGCAGGAGCCTTTACAACGAAAACTAAATTGACAGTTTTAAGCCTTTTGAAGTGACATTTTGTTGTTTCTCAATTTTGGAACATTAGAGGTGAATTTAACTCTACGGTTTAAAATTTGTCCACCAATGTGCATTATTTGAATCCATAATTGTCACTTACTGTTATTAACCTTGGTGAAGAGCTTCCCTTTTGGAAGGTGATCAAGTCCTATTTGTCAAGGGAGGCAGTCATGAGCAGTGCTGGCTGTACGTAAGTGTCTCTGTTTCAGATGCTCTAATCTATCATAAGCTGCTTAAGGAGAAATAGAGAGATGGGCAGCGGAATTAAATGGGACGCCGGTATTGTAGTGTTACTGCTGGACACGGTAACATTTGCAGAAGGCTTGCAGCAGAGTGTGGTTTTTATTCAACTGCTGTTAGAGAACCTGCAATCTATCTGGATTTAAGTAATGAACATGTTGGAAATTAAGAAGTTCAGATACTTGCTGTATGGACTTAAACTGGCATGATGACCTGTTGCAAAATTATTTTTATTCCTTTTTTAAGATGGATTCTCTTTTGTGATGAGAAGCCATCAAAACGGACTCTTTCTCACAAAAGGACAAATTTCAGAGGCTTTTTTCTTTAACTTGCTTTGCTAATAGCACAATTAATGGATTGAGTCAGTAATTTGGCAGCACCATTGAACTCTGTTTGGGGATTAAATGCTGTCATTTAACTTTTGTGTTCCTTGTTCTTTTTCTGTAGGGTTCTGTTTTTTTTAAGGCTTAAATCATAAGTGTTTCATGATCATTGAAAGGACAACCCGTGAGTCTCCTAAAGCTGAGTCTCTCTGACCAGCGATCAATCTTCCTCCAGTGAGAGCATGCTGATCCTGTGGTCCTGCTACCTCTTCCTCACTTACCTCTCCCTGTATCTTTCCTTTACCTTCCTTCGCAGCTTGCTCACTTCCGACAGCGAAAAGCAAAAGGTGACGGCACGCATCCGCCGAAAAAGACGTCGAAGAGGAAGGGCGCGGCTGTCCACTCGCATGACCTTTCAGCGCAAGAGCGCCCACTAGGAACCGAAGAACATTTGACTGACAGTGCACTAAAACAAAGCAACAGGACAGCCAAAGAGGTGACTCATACAAGCTACTCATTATTTTGAATTACTAATTTACACTAGCTTATGGAAAGCTTGTGCTTTTATTTTAGCTATTGAAATCTGTGAGCAAGGGTATGTCTTTACTGTATTTTGTATTTGCTCTTATGTGTAGTGGACAAAAAATGGAAATAAAATGAGGGACAAAAGGGCATTAAGAGTAAGGGCTTCCGCATAGGTGTGGCTCATGTTAAATAAGAATATAACATCCCAGCTTCGGGGCTTGTCTAAAAATGCTGGACAAGCTTGGTTGCCTATAATAATGGCTAAAATGGCATTGAGAGGAGACCTTGGTGACGTTGAGAGACGAGTGATTGTTGGGGTGCATTTTGCTGGGGCTTCAGTGACCAAAATGGCTCAGCTTGCTGATGTTTGAAGTTTCTTAGGTGATGTCAACATGGAATCATTCCAGGGTCCGTGCATGAATTCGAAGTGAAAGTCAAGTTAGACGAGCAACTGCAGATCAATTGACTGCAAATTATGCCAGCTTTAAGAATGGTTTGCTGAACATCCCAGATCAGGATAGCATAGTCAGGTTGTAGTTTGCAATCGGTCACAACTGGCAATCACATTTTGCATGTCTAATGGTGTAAAGAGCAGAGGCAGTGGAGAAATATGGTTCAGACTGATTAATCTAACCATGTTCTCAACAAATGGATGAGTGCGTGTAGCTCTTAAGTTATAAGAGTAACTTAAAGAACTCTGCAACTCTGCATGTGCCATTTCCTTAGAAGGCATGTCTATTCTACTAGCTATAACATTTCTTTCTGGATTCGAGAGGTTTTCCCATGTGACAACCCCCCCCTTCTTGGAGCACGTGGTCGTTCAATGGTGTGATGAGCCTGACCCTGATGTTATACGTATGTCATGGCTTTCTCAGTCACCATATCTGGTCCTAATTGAGCATTTATGGGATATGCTGGAACAACACCAGGTATTAGCCGATTGACGTTTTTGTAAAATGGTGCCACATCTGCAGTTTTCCAGGCACCTTTCTGCATCATGGCATAGTCTGCCAGCTGCACTGGACACATGTGGTGGGCCAGTGATTATCCATTGGGGTTTCATTTTTTGTACTCTACCTTTATGTTCCCATTTGCTTAAAAATACTATATGGCTGCGTATTGTCTATACATGTTTGAGAATCGATGTGCTGTAGATGAGATTAATCAAATATTAATAGCAGCTACAAATCCAGCAATACTTACCTGTGGATTATATATCATTAGCTGTAACTTAAATTTGATTTCTGGCCGAGGGATTTGTTTTTTTTAATTTCTCATGGCTGATGAGAATATTGAACTAAAGTTTTGTCCATTGATAAACTAGAATTTGGTTTGCCTTTTCTTGCTTGTTTTTTGTCTGAGAAACTTTATTTCTATGTAGCAGTAGTTGAAAATCTGTTCAATGTATTGTGAAACAGGTGCTTCATTACTCAGTCACCAAAACCATTCTGCTATACCCTGCAAATACTGCCCATGTCTGAAAGGCTTCTGCCTCATCTGATTCAATAGCTGTACTATTGAAAACTAGAGTTTACTTTTGTCGTATGTGAGATGAGGTAGTTAGTCTAACAGCTTAGCAGTAGTACAGCTTTCAATTGAATACTGTTCCAGAAAATGTAGGTCAGAATGCTAAATCTGTATTAAGCCATCAAATTTAAAATGACTGGGCACCTGAAAAGTTGAGATCAACATTTCATTATTTCCTCACTAAAAGCCACATTCTGGTACAGTTTTATACTGGTTTATTCTATCTAAATGCAAGGCTTCAGCCTGTGTCAGAACATTAATGTGACTAGATGTGTGCAAAATATGATTTTGAGAACGTTGGCGCATGCAAGACATGCCAGCTAACTTACATAGCTTCTGTTTGTTTTTGAAGGTGCACAGAATTTTTAATATTTTTTTTTCTTTAGACTGATGGTGAATTATCAAGCAGTAGCACTATAGGAGACTCTCATACAGAAGTAAGTAAAGGTTTTTTTTTTTCCGGAAGCATTGTAAAAAATATCCACATTTGACTTCTTGCTGTAGTGTAGGCTTATACTTCAGTAAATTATACATTTAAATTATTACACTTACTTTTTCTTTAAAAGTAGTTAAGGTTGCATGGTATTTGTTCCTTGCTGGCCAGGTTTTCAGAACTATCCTTCCTAGTAGCAAACGGTTAACATTTTGGGCAAAACCAGTTCTGTGGAATATGTTAACATAAATGCAATAAAACTACTAAAGTACTATGTTCATGCTGTTGATGATCAACTATTTTAAAAAAAGATTATATTTTTTCCTCTTTCAGTTACATTGCTTTGAAATGAAGATAAATGTAATTGTTTTTATCATGTAAAATAAAAATGCAAAAATCTGGCTCATTCATTCAAGGCTTATGATCAGAAAAAAGTATTTTAGATCAATAATAGAGTAGATCTGAGAATTATGGTTAGTGTATTGGCATTTGTGATGTTTCCCTAGTCTCAATTTTATGCAAGCAACTGAGGGAAGACACATTCTCCTGCAGTGTGGAAATAGGCCATCTTTGGAGCTGCTGTAAAGAGACAGTGACACAACTAATCCTTCATAAGAGGATGATAATACATATTGGCTTTATTTTTAGGAAGAGCTGAATTCCAGCATAGATCAGGCCCGACTGGATGTTGAGGTTTATAAGGCACGAATAGTGGACCTGGAAGAGAGACTACTGGGAAAGCAAACTGCGGTTGATCAGCTGAGCATTGAGGTGGAGCACCTTAAAGAGAAATTGGCTTTGCAGACTGGTGCCGAGCAGCTTCAGGTAATTGAGATTGTTTCATTTAGGGATGGCCAGTCCTGGTCCAGAGTGCTGGTATGTTTGCATGTTTTCTAGATCTTGTTGAAGCAGCAGTGCCTGAATGACTGAATCACTGGGAGAAGTGGTAACATTAATCCAGTTAGGCCAATAATAAGCTAATTAAGATAATAAATTGCAGAGCTGGAATGAACTTCTGCAGATATCTGCAATATTAAAACCCCAGAGGTCTGGAAAACTACTGCTTGCTACTATACATCCTGTTCATTTTTAATAAATTGCTTTCAGTTTAATTACTCAAAGCAATCTTCAATTGCTGTATGTTGGGGAAAATTGTCAATTCAAAATTAACCGTCTTTTTCTCCGAGCACCAGGAATGGCAAGTGACAGTGGTATAACTATTAACTGAAAGTTCAGGAAAACATTAAGGGCAATGAAGGCTTTAAGGTTGAAGGGTTAGCAATGTGCACTTCTGTACTTTTGAAAGTGATAAAGTCTCTGAGTTTTATAACCTGAAACATCACGTCATGATTTGAAATGAATTTTGTTCCTGCTTTTTCTTTAAAGCATTCACAGACCAAAGTACTGCGTGTATTAGTGTTGCTTCATATTTCTTGCAGTAATTACCCAGGCAAACAAAGCAACTTTTTCTAAGCAACTAATTTCCTTTTTATGTAAAACCATAACCTCTTTTTTTAATGTTAATTATAGGTATTTTTAATGTTAGAACTATAAACCAGCAAGAGATCATTAAGTGAAACATGCAGACATTTGTTTTTGCCCAGACAATCTATATATAGCTTTTATATACAAGCTACATGATTTAATTTGGTGCATTTATCTTAAATCACAAATGATAACCTTTTGCAATCAACAGGTAGATCTTAATTCCAAATACCTTTTCTATTTCAACCTCTAAGGAACTTGAAACAGCTGTACGCAACCGCGATGAAGTCATTTCCCAGCTCAGCACCAACCTGCAGCAGGCCTATCAGAACAGGGAGGAGGTTCAATTAGAAGCCTTACAGCTCACTGATCAAATCCAAGCACTTCAGCTGCAGCTGCAAGACGTGAGTAAGATGGATCTATCAGGAGCGTTACAATAATTTGTACATGCCCCGATAAGGCATGTCATTTAGGTCCTTGACCATGTGTTTAAGCTGATCTGAATACTATTGCCTGCACACTCATCTAATTTTTTTTTAAACTCTTCTTTTTGCTTCACCCCAGTGAGTTGGGCGACTAAGCCCACCACACCATTGGCAATGCATAAGTATATAGCAGTGCTTAAGACGTAAGAGTTTGAAATATGATGCATGTATCGTTTCAATACTTAAATTTTACAGATCGATATATGAAAAGAATGACGAATACCCAGCTACCTCATTTATCCAGCACTAGAATGCACAGAATCCCTCTTTACCTGTTGCTTACATTGAGGCAGTGGGATTGTGTAATCATGTATAATGTATTAAGATGGTATGTTATAAACATTTCTTAAATTGCAGGCAAGTGATTTCTTGAGGTCAAAAAGCCTTGGGTGTGTAGAGATAGTCCAGTCGCAGCAGCAGATACACAATCTGAAGGATCAGAGCTCACAACTGGATTCATTACAGAAAGAGGCTCTGAAACTAGAGCAGAAAGTTGAAGAGTTGCAGCAGGTTAGTCTTTGACATGACAAGATTTGAGAAAGCAAGAAAACAAAGACTTCATTAAATACATGATTGTCTTGGTTATATTAAGTAAATTAGATTGGAACTGTGATGTCCTTTGGAAGCATAACCGTGTTGGTTTAAAGCTTTATGTGGTAGTAAAGTAGGTTTACATATTTGTTTTGGGATTTATTGGTTTTCATTAGTTACTATTTACAAAATGGTACTAATATTACTTCACGCAACCAAGAAATCTATTACTTTAACTACACATGCACTCGTGTATACATTTTTATAGTTTAAACACTTAATCTAAATGTCCTTTTTATAGTCTTCAAATTCCCCCCAGATTCATCACAATAGCTTGACGAAATAATGCTGAAGGGATTTTCTTTGTTGTATGGAGGTACTTTATTATAAAATAAACATACATCAATGGTTTTTGCATGGAAATGCTTAATACTCTTATACAACCTTTCTTTTTATGTGCTTGATAGAATACCGGAGATCAGCAGACTCTGCTTACGAAGAAGGATGATGTAATTACACAGCTGCAGCAAAGACTGAGTTGTACAGAGAGTACTATATCTGAGTTACAACATATACTTTTGCTCAGGGACAAGGAAGTGCTGGAGCTCCGAAATGAGGTGCTTGTGTTGTCTGCAAGTCAGGAGCAGCAGATGTCTATTGAGGATGTCTGGATCAATGAGAACAGTATTCACGCTCAGCTCCAGAGGCTGAAGAATGAGCTGGAGAAAGCGAATAAAGTAAACGAAGATGAAAAAAAGCGTTCCTCCCTTTTGGAAGATCAGATCAAAGAGATGGAGAAAGAGAGGAAAGACATGGAAGATCAGCTTGTGCGTTTTCAGGAAGATTTGAGACTTGCAAGAGAGCAGGCAAAAGAAGCCTTGCGGTACAAAGAAGAAAAGGAGAAGATGAATGAAGAGATCCTAAAACTAGGTGCTACTGTTCAGAAACTGGAAGTAAAACTTCAAGAGGGAGAGGAGGCTATAAGACAGCTCAGGGAGAAATATGAAGCTGATATCTCGAATTGCAATTTACAACTACAGAAGCTAGAGCGGGAGAAGGAGACTGCTTTGGCTCAGCTGGCTGAGTCTAGTGATGGTGCTCTAAGACTTTTGCGTGATGAGCACAGGCTGGAAGTCCAGCAACTTCAGCAGCATCTAGAAACTCAGCATGGCCAAAGCATGGATATTTACAGACAGAGCATTGAGGATCTAAGGAAGAACCTGAACGAAATCAAAGCTAGAAAAGATCAGGCAAACAAAGAAACTGCTAGCGAGTCCCAAGAAGTTTTTGATTGCTCCTTTTCTCAAGATGATGGCCAGTTAATGGAGAAGTACTTGACTTCCACAAAGCCAAAAGATAGCTCATGGGTAGATGAATGTGTTGAACAAAGCCTCAATGAGGATTCTGAGAATCACAGGTTTGAGCTTGACAGTGAGCATTTGTTTCACTCAGATACAGTAGGTTCAGTTCAAGATGAGCTTGAATTGACCGAGGATTTAACTGGACTTTTACCTCAAAACAATCTTGAGCCTGAATTAGGTGGAGAGTCTTTATCTTCAGTGCAGTGGCAGAAGTATACATCTGCCTTGCAGGAGCTGGATGGAAGTGGTAATGACATAGATGTGGAAAAAGCTCTTGTAATGCAACAGTGTGCAGATTTGAATGAACAACTTAATGCCAAAGAGAAGCATTTGGAAATACTCCAAGCTGAGGTAAAAGAGATCTCGGAGAAGTGGAAGAAGGCAAGTGAAGAACTTGAAGTTATGCGGTTGGAGGTAGCAAAACAGCAGAAAATTAATGAAGATATAAATTGTAAGAAATCTCAAGAGAACTTAAATGATAAATTGAACCTTTTTGGAAATCCACAGGACCATCATGCAAAAAATCAGGAAACCAATCCCATGGTTAAAGAAGCCTCTTTTACTGTTAGTATGGATTATGTAATTAAGGAACTAAAAGAGGAAAAGGAGTTTCTCTTGACCCAACTGCGAGAACAGGAGAGGTTAGTCAAGGATGTTCAAGAACAGAAGTTGGCTGGTGACTCAGTGACAAGTGAGGTCCAGGCACTCTTTGGTCGTCAGCTGTTGGCCCTGCAAGCACAGCGAGACCAGCTGCAGGCTCAGCTTGAAACCCAGAAAGCTAAACACCAAACGACCTCTGAGCTTCTTGGGCAGAAGACATTAAAGGAGGATTCCTTGCATAGAGAACTTCAACTACTTAAGACGGAGCTTGAAGAGAAGGAGCAGAACCTGAAGAAGATTGTTGAAGAAAAAAACGACTTGGAATCAAGGTTGATATGCATTGAGCAAAATCTTGTGAATGCAGATGAAGCACTCAGTCAGAGCAACAGAGAGAAGACTGATCTGGAGCAGAGACTTGCTGAATTAGAGATCAAGGTCAAGAACTTAGGAAGTGTCCTGGAGTCTGAACGCGAGGACTTCAGCAGTCAATTAAAGATTAAATGCCAGGATATTCTGGAGCTTGAGATGCAGATAAAACAAACTAATATTTTGCACCTCCATAAAGAAAGCGTTTTGGAGCTGGAACTTTCTAAGCTCAAAGAGTCCATGGTGGAACAGGAAAGGGTGCATGTAGAGGCATTGGAATCTCTTGCACTAGAAGAAGCAGAAAAGCTGGAGAAGGCTGTGAAACAGGCTGAGGCTCAGCTCAAAAGCCTGTTTGAAGAAGAAAAATGCAAGGTTGAAGAGCACCACCAAATGGAGGTAAGGGGTGAAGTTGCAAAACATTTGGCAACAGTACTCCCATTCTCTTGTGAGTTTTATATTCAAATATTTTGGGCACAAATCTATCTCAGTACAACGCAAAGGGGCTAACACAGAAATGTGTAAGTGGGTTATAATGGGTTGTGAAAATTGATTGTGAAGACTTGTACTTCTACTGTTGTATGTTAATATTTATTTTTGATATTGTTCTTTATACTGAAGTCAGTTTGTAGGAAATGAGTGTCTACCTGAGGTAAAATACTTCGCCAGAAGAGTTATTTGACCTGTGCTTTAGAAGTGTTTGCTCTGCTTGTATTTCTAGATCAAAGAGCTGAATGCAGAGATGGAGAAGAGACTGTCTGAGCAAAAATCAGGTTTGGAGGAGGAGCAGAAGAAGCAGATTGGGTTGGTTAAACAGGTATGGGTGTGCCTTGTTCTCTGCTCTTAGTGGTGTTCAGTTCTACTGCCTGAGGCCAGAGTTTGTTTTGCATAATGTTATGAATTATTTAGATCTTTTAAATTGAGAATATATTAAATAATTAGTTGAGTTTTCAATTCAGGACCTTAGTATTTAGTAAGTGCTCGACAGTTTACCAAGGACTGCTAACCAAAATTGTTTTATTGCCCATACTGATTTGGTCAGATCCACGAGCGTGAGCATGAACGAGAGATTGCTGAGCTCCTCACAAAACAGAAGGAAGAACTCAGGTGTCTGCGCGCAGAGCTGAACAGTGAACAGCAGGAGCTGTCTGATGAGCTGAAAGAGCGCATGGAAGCAGCTTACCAGGCTGAGCTTCACCAAGTTCAGGTGAGATCAGTGCACATCCCATAACCCTTTGTATGCATTCATTTATTCCATTTTCCTTAAACAGTTCCATCCTGCTAAAAATGGTTGCTAAGGAATGCTTTTTGTAAGGGTGTAATAGAAAAAACATTTCACATTTAGCTCATAATTTGCATTTTATATTTTTGTCTTCCTGGTTCTTTGCTGGTTTACTTTTATATAAAAAGTCCTATGATTCATTACACAGATTAGGAAACCATATACAGGGGGTAGTGTAAATGGTACTGGTTAATATAGGGCGCAGGAATATATAGGAATAATAGGGCGCATCATTTCTCACAGTTTGAAGGGAATTTTAAATTCAGTTTGTAAGGATCTAATGTTCTTCAACTCTGGTCCTAGAGAACCCTAGTTCAACATGTTTATACAGTTGATCATAATTTCTTATTATGTGGAATAATTATGTATAGGAAAGCTCTCAACTTGTTCAAGTGAAGTGATTTACAGATGTTCTAATAAAAATAAAAACAATGGAGCCTCAAAGCACCTCTTCTGGAAGCTACAAGACTTGGTTGAGCCAAGCAACTTACTAAATTTCAAATCGGTCATTAAGTCAGCTTATAATGATTCAGGACCTAGAAGACTTGTGCTGTTGCTCCTTGATATGGTAGGCTAACCCCAATTTTGAAGATGAATAGATAAATGAAATTGATATCCAAGTGAATATTGGAAGCAGGGTTTTTCTTTGGTGATTATGGCAAAGCAGTTGAACTCCCCCCAACGAAGTCCCCTTGCTTCCAGATGGAGAAGCACCTGGAGATAGAGGCGTTGAGGCTGAGTCTGACCAACTTGCACACAGCTCAGCTGGAGCTGTCTCAGAACAACCTGCAGCGCGACAAGGAGGCGGCCCTGAGTGAGCTTCAGGAGAGTCTTAATGCCAAGAGGTCGCAGGAGAGTGCCATGCTGCAGACTCGCATGCAGTTTGAGCTAGAGCGCCTCCGGGAGCAGCACCGGGAGCAGAGCCAGTGTGTCGCTCGGCAGTATCAGCAGGAGATTGGTGAGTTGAATGGGAAACCATCAGTTTTAAGGTGTTGTATTAATTTCCTGGAATATATTTGATAATTATTTCCTCTTTCATTAATTCTTTGAGTACTTTAAGCTTAAAAGGAAAGGTTTATTCCCATTTATTCTTTATTCCATGTTCACCTCACCTATTTAAAGCACAAGTGGGTTGTCTGTAGTAATTATTCAGTGTTAGTTTCAGTGTTTTCTTCATATCCCTTGAGCCTCTGTTATAACTTTGTGTATAAATAGTGGGCCAGTGAATATTTAAATCATATTGTCTACATGAAAATACAATGATTTTAAAACCCCATTTGATTCCACATTCAGATACATTTTCAAAACAAAAGTTTCCATGGAGGTACATGTTCAATGGCAAATTGTTCCTTGATTCTCTTTTCCCCCAGATGAAATGAAGAATGCATGGGAGACTGAGATATCGGAACTGAAAACCCAAATGGAGGAAAATCACGCCAATAAAATAGAGGTAGTGGGATTGCTTTGTTCACATTAAAGGTTTTCCGACCTTGTTCTTATGGCTCTATAATACACACAGCCAGGATCATAACAGAGTAGGCTAATAGTAGCCATAAATTGAACCGCCAAGGTAAATGAGACCTGTTTGTCTATAATTTAGATTAGCGTGACCGCAAGAGGAGACCTTAGTGACTTGGAAAGAGGTGTGATTGTTGAGGTGTGTTTGGCAGGAGCTTTAGGGAAAGAACTTCTAGATTTAGCATGCAGCTGTGTACTATTTTGCGGACTATTTAATTCAGTACTATGTGAAGATCTCCAGCTCTGAGTTCAATTGCAACCACAAACGTGCGAGACAAAGTTGGAGACCAGCTGAACCTGTGCTAAGGGGTTAGCATTGTTCTAATTGGCAAGAACTGAAGGGGGCTGTGAATCAGAATTTACTGAACAGATTCAAATGTTAATATTTAATTTTTCCTTTGTCTTTCATCTTTGTATATACCAATGTCCCTGATTGTAATTTAAAGTTAAGAACTGCATTTATGCTTAGAAATACCAGATGATGGTATGTAACTGTTAATGTGGTACTCAATTGCAAGCAGTCATGAAACAAACGAATACAGCAGCTCTGGTTTTGAATTTGCAATTGTAATAAAGCGGCTTTTATTTCCATTGATAAATTATTCATAGGAGATCCTTCAGAAATATAAGCAAACATCACCCTTTAGATCTTATGTATAGGCTACATTTGTCTGCAATACTATAAAGTAGCCTGTGAAAGTGCATAACTTGTTGCACTTCTTCCATGAGTGTTTTTCAGTGTACCCTTATGTTTGCCTACATAACGTATTCTCTGCACCCCCATTTTCTCAATAAACCTGCTTTTCCTGGGAACTGTAAGTTTAGTCCCACCACATAAAAAAAACAGCAAATCCATTCAAATGACACTCAGATGTGACAAACATTTAAGACTTACACTCAGTTTAAATATGTATTTAATTTCAGTTCTCATTACTCCCACAGATATCTGAATATTCTCCATCACATACTGCAGTCTCTATATGCATTAGCTGTAATACTGTTTCTAATAAGAAGACTAGGCATTAAGAGTCATTATTAGTAAATGACACTTATTAATAGCATGTTTTGATAAATGTAATTAATGTGAAGTGACTGGAAAGCAGTTTTAGTTACATTTTACAATAATTTTATAAGCGACAGATACATGAAGGTCTGAGGGAAGGAGATCGGCATAGGGTAACTGAGCACGCACTTCTGTCCACTAAGATCATGCTATCTACAGTATGCTTTAATTTGAAGTGCAAGGCAAAATGGGCAGGAAGCTAAAAATCAATTGAATGCAAATTTTAACAAGGGGTTAGAATCCAGTTTAGTCAACGGTCTGCTAAGAACTCCGCAGATTGTAATTGGGTTGCAGTGCACAGACTGCTCATCACAAATGGAAATGCATGCTTGAGTCCAGTGGTGCAAAAGCACAGGTAATGCCTATCAAGCATTGAAGAAATGTGTTCAGGTGAATGATCCCTCCTTTGCTTGGGGAAAAAAAACAGACGAGTGCATGTGTGGTGCCAACCTATAGAACTCTACAGCTGTGCAACCCCTGGTTCTGACAGTGAAGGGTTCTGTAATATTAAGGGGCACTCATTCCGTTAGAAGTCAAGATCAGTGCTAATTATTACTTAATAGTACTGAATGATCATTTTCATGCCATGTTGAAGCATTTCTTTTTTTAGGAGAAATGCTTTATTCTCCCCCCCCATCTACAGAGCATGTGGTGTCACCCAATGGGTTGAATAGCATGGCACTTTCATCCATATGTCGTGGCCTTCTTAGTCAGCAGATATGAGCCCAACTGTGCATTTATGGGATATTTGGATTGATTTCTGAAAGTTTTCCACCCTCCAGGCTTGAGTTAATTAACGCATCCGTCTTGCAGAATTCTAGACATTGGTAGACTAAGCTTTCTAAAACAAGTGAAGGTGACCCATTGCCCCATAAAGTGATTTTTATATTGTCATTTCAATTTTCCGGCCACTACCCATGTATAAAATGTTATGAGCTCTAGCAAAAATTGGCGTGCTTGGTTTTTCCCAAGCAACAACTTATGAATGTTAATATTGGAATATTAAAATTCAGTGAATTATTTATTAACAATCAGATAAGGCAATATCTGAAATTAAAGTAATCGATTCTACATTCAAATTACTTATTTGGTTATGAACTCTCAAAGGTTAAAACTTACACATTGGTTTTGTCACTAGTGATTGCTGCGTGCTGGTAATTTGGATTTTTCCTACAGAGATCGTGCTTCTTGTTTTCTATAATTTGATTTGTAAATGTTTTTGGACACTTTGTGCTCATTTTTAATGGAAAGGGTTTAAGGTGTTTGTGTTTACAGGTCAGTTAATGAAACTGTACTTGACAGCATACATCTGATTAATAGCCAGAATCTAGTACTAGATTCTACTGAGTACAAACAAGCTTTTCGAAAAGTTTCCAAATATCCGATGAAACACTGGAATCAGTGCTTGCATTGCTGGTTTATGTGTAGGCTCTGAAACTGGAATGGAAGGAGGAGTCAGAGAAGAGCCTTGGAGAGCTGCAGCAGAGACTGAATGAGAAACAGGCTCAGCTGGAAGAGCTGCAAAGCCGAAGTCACCAGGAGATCCACAGGCTGGAGGAGCTGCTGAGCTGCACTTGTTCAGAAAGAGACAGCACTACCCGTGAGTACCTCTTCCTTATGCATAATGCATAAAATTATCACATTATCATAATTCATAGATCTCGCAGAAGGATGGCAATAATGCATAAAAAATATCGGAAGTCAAAAGACTAGTTGCTTTAACCTTTAACCTCTTGTTGGTGTACCTGTTGGAAAGTACAGTGATTTGCCTGATATACTGGTCTAGAGACTATTTTCACGTTACAGCACATTTGTCCATTTCAGTCCATGGAACAACAAATTAAACGTATCTAAAAGCCTTTTTTTCTGGATGGGGGTGAACTTTCCCTTTTTCGAAAAGGGACCACAGACATTTGCTTGTGTGTATATATATAGTATGTTCTTCAGTTTTTCCATGGGTTTCCGATACTGTTAGTATCACACTGTACCCAAAGTGTTGCTGTGTCCAGGTGCACTGGAGGACTTGGAGAAGAAGCATGGTGCCGCTCTGCGGGAGCTGGAGACGAGGCAGCAGGAGGAGCATGCATCCCTTTTGCAGGAGCTGACCACCAGAAACTCGGAGAAAGGACAGCTGCAGCAGCAGGCAAGGGCAGCTTATTTAGAACTTCATAGTTCTGTCCCATTGAAACAGGAGTAGCCTGTTCTCATAACTTGTCTTTTTAGTGTGACTAGAGCTGATTAACATGAGTTGTAAAATTATCCATAGAATTTAATTTAAATCAGGGGTGGCAAACATTATGCCAGATCTGTCTCGCGAACCAAGTATTTGTGGTTTCAGAAGGAGCATTTTAAACCTAGTAGTGAGAGCCTTATTGTGTCATTGAATAAAAATAGTGTCTATGAGAAGTGAAATTTAAATATTTTTGTAGAAGCGAATGGAAAGCTAGCATACTTGATTTTGACAGGTACATGTTGGTAAAGAACAGTAGCTATAATAATTTTGTATTGCTTAAAAAATATTGTTCTGCCTTTTCTGTTTGTTGTTCAGTGTCCTTTATAACCTTGCCCTTTGTGAATTTGGTTTCCCCATTTAACAACATGAAATCAAAAGGTAGATTGCCTCAATTTTCATGCTAGTGTTGTTGGTCCCTCAGGTGAAGTTTACAGGTGATCACTAATCCCAAAGCCCATATACTTGCATTTCATCTGTTTTACCTGCAGTTATTGTAACATACACCCATCTTCTTTCCCCCAGAGAATGGAACATTTTGCATAATGAAAGTCAACTTCTATTACTTGATAAGAAAATCAAGAACGCTAAATTGTCAAAATAAGAACACTATGATTTTTAGTGCATTTAACTGTACTTTTACGTATTATGTCATGTGGTACTAGTGTACAAAATTTAAGGCAATGCAAATGTTTTTGACTGCTAGTCTTTCATTCCTTTAACTTAGTTTTATAGCCTAGGGAATTGTTTTCCTTATTTGTGTACGTAACGCCTGAAGCACCAGGAATGTTTTGCTGATATATTAAATAAGGCAATAAAATCCTTTGAAGGGAAATGCTTTTTGTAGCAAAAATGGTGAAAAAGAAGTATGCTATTAACATTCACGCTTCATTTTAGCTAAAACTCCAAAATCAAGTGTTATAGCGAGTGGTAGATTTATGTAGTTTGCCAAACTGACATTTAGTGAAGATACAATGACTGCTTACTGCATTTCAAAGTTGATTTGCAAAAGTGCAAAACACTATGTAATGGTTTTGCCTAGTATTCAAATCAAATCAGGCCCATCATTACAATGAGTTGGACATTCCCGATTTAAACAATTTGCTTGATTGCCTTTCTTTCTTTTAGGCGAATATTTAAATAATTCTTGGATAAGGTAGCTTGATTTTGAAGATGCTGTTCTCCCAGTGCATAAGTTGCTGTTAAACCTTTCTTTCTTCGGCATGGATTAACAGATGGAGAAGATCCAGGTAGAATACGATGAGCTGAAGTCCCGCTCGGAGCAAGAAGTGGCCAACCTGTGGTCTCAGCTAGAGAGCATGCGTACCAGCCGGCAGGAACTGGGTGGTAGGTGCTTCCGAATTTGTGATGGTCTCCAACTTGGGGAAAATATTCCCTCTTCCCTTTCCTGAGTTGAACAATATTTTTCTAGAGACATGTTTTAAGGTAAAATGACACTATCACCACCTCCGTCGTCCCCCCCCAACAATGTGATGACAGTTGATAGATTTTTTTGTGCCGTGTTAATGTCTTATTTTGGAAGCTTTGCTGTTTTCACCATAAACTTTACCTTATGGTGAAAGGTTAAACCAAAACTGAATTGCATAGAAGGCATGCAGAAATGGAAGTTAAAACCAATGTGAAATGGGCTAAATTCATTAGGTATTGATTTTGTACACCCCCCAGAGCTTAAAGAGCAGCTGTTAGCACGTTCATCCCATGTGGAAGATCTTGAGCGACTCAAGCAGGAGTTCAACCAGCAGCGCCGGGACCTCCAGGCACACAATGAGCTTGAGCTAGAGAACCTGCGGACATACTTTGAGCAAAGACTCCGCTACGCGGAGGAGAGCTACAGGGAAGAAATAACAATACTGCAGCTCAGGTTGGAGAAAGGAGCCAAGGAGGAATCTTTCCTAGAAACTGGGGATGTCAGGTAGGTTGGGTTTCTGCTTAAACAGTATCTGAAAGCTGTATGTGCACTTCAGCTTTTTTTGCTTAGGTTGCCATTTGAAGGTTTATCTATTATAAACACTCAGAAAACATTTTTCAGCGATGAATGTGGCAATGTTTTAGGGTAGTATTGTCACACTCTTCAGCAGAGTTCAGAGCATCTCTCTAAATAAAATTTCACTAGCCAGGGAATGCTGATCATGGTCACTTGGTTTGCTTATTCGTGGCATGGCATAGTATTGGAACAAAAACAGGTAACCGATAGGTTAAAAAATGTCTTGAGTGTCTCCTTAATAAACATTTCAGTAGTGAACAAAAGAGCCCAATTTAGGATAGGTAATTGGTTTTTTCCATCCTGAAAAGAAAGGAAATACAACGTTTTGGCCGTGTAGCCTTCTTCAGGTGTGAGAAAGACAGGGTAGCCGGCAAAGGTTAAATAGCACCTGAGAACAAAAGCTGGAAAAGTGGAGGAGGGAGAGGGGAGAGGCAGAGAGGCCACATGGGAAGTGCAAAGTGGAGAGGGTTGGAGAAAGGTGTGAAGTCCAAAACCTGCATGAGAAAAGACGAGATTACATGAAAATAAATATCATTGAGAGAAGGGGGAGGGTGTGAACCTAGTTTCAGGATGAGTTTAGTTTTTGTCGTCTTTCTGCTATGGGAGTTGAGAAACCCTTCTTTGAGAACAGAGATGGAGAGATCAGTGTGATCATGGCCATCTGAGGTGAAATGAGAAACTGTGGGCTTGGAGAAATCTTTTATCTTCCCACCCCTAACATGTTCTCTGAAGCAGTCTCCTAGTCTCCTTCCTGTTTCCCCAACATAGATAGCCCAGTGTTTTTTTCAAGAGATGCAGTAAATGAGGTTGCTGGAGATACAGGGTGTCATCTGGGTGATCTGGAATTGACCTGAGGGGCCCTGAATGAGCGTGTTGTTAGATATGTATTTGCAGGTGATGCAGGGAGTTCTGTTGCAGGGGAAGGTGCCTGGTGGGGATGGTTGCTGAGTGTGGTCAAGGGAGCTGTGAACAAGAAGTTTATATAGATTGGGTGGTCATGGGGAAAAAAGGGGACCGATGGAGGGATCGTCCTGTAAAATGGAGTAGTTGTTAATGATGGTCTTGGGGATAGAAAGGGTGTTATGGTGGTGGGGAAGCACCAAGGGAATGTGGTTGTGAGACCACGAGTTCCTGATCGAGTTGATGATCCGAGGGCTGTTTTTGGCCCAGGAGAGGGCTCTCTCGATAACCTGGGTGGGTTATCCTCGGTTGATGGGGGGGGAGAATGCATTTTAAATGCTTGGTTCTAGAAATCTATACCGTCACTGCAGAGTCGACGTAGCCTGAGGAACTGTGAAAAAGGGATGAAAAGAGCTGTATAGCAGATAGCTGTGTGAATCTATGGGTTTGTAATAGACCGAGGTAGAGAGTTGTGGATGGTTAATACATAAATATACGTCTAGAAACGGAAGAGTGGTGGAAGATATGTTAACTGTATATTTGAGGGATGGGTCAGAATTAGTAATAATAATTGCTTATACTTATGTAGCGCTTTTCTGGACACTCCACTCAAGGTGCTTTACAGGTAATGGGGACTCCCCTCCACCACCACCAATGTGCAGCATCCTGGATGATGTGACAGCAGCTATAGTGAGCCAGAACACTCACCACACATCAGCTATCAGTGGGGAGGAGAGCAGAGTAATGAAGCCAATTCATAGAGGGGGATTAGGAGGCCATGATTGGTAAGGGCCAAAGGGCCAGGATGCCGGAGTTACACCCCTACTCTTTTTGAGAAACGCCCTGGGATTTTTAATGACCACAGAGAGTCAAGACCTCGGTTTTACGTCTCATCCGAAGGTCGGGCCCCGTTTACAGTATAGTGTCCCTGTCGCTATACTGGGGCATTAAGGCCCACATGGACTGCAGGGTGAGCGCCCCCTGCTGGCCCCACTAACACCTCTTCCAGCCGCAACCTTAGTTTTTCTCAGGAGGTCTCCTAGTCAGGTACTGACCAGGCTCACACCTGCTTAGCTTCAGTGGGTTGCCAGTTGTGAGTTGTAGATATGGCTGCTGACTAGTGAATTGTGAATTGATGCAGGAAGTGCTCTAGCTGGTCATTAGAGCATGCAGCAGCACCGATGCAGTCATCCATGTATCGCTTGTAGAGGTCAGGGACAAAGCCCAGTATAGGAAGCCTAGAAGCATTCTTCTACCCAGCTGATGAACATATTGGCATAGCTAGGTCCCATCCTGGTGCAATATTGGCTATATGTCTGATATATTGAGTAACAGCTTGTAGATTGCTTGTGATTTCAAGAACACTATTGCCTGTTCTTGCCCTTCTCCTGAAGAATGGTTTAGGTTACATACAGTATATGCAACCTTCTGTACCATCTTTAACTTCTGTGTAGGCCTGAATTAAAAACAACCTATAAATGAGTAAAGGTTAATATGTGGTTCTGTGGCTATATAGTAATCCATATAGCTTATCTTTCAATGTTGTGATCTGTGTGTGTGTATATATACTGTATAATCTGCCACTTTTCATAGTATGGGGAAATGCCAACTAAGGTTTTTGTACAGTATATTGGTATTTTACAAGACAGTGTATAAGTGGCTATTGCAGGGTTATTCTCCTGAAGGGCTCTACTTTAACCAGCCACATGTGAGTTTTGTTGAGGAAGATAATTGGTTTAGTTAAATTGTAAATGGCCAGTTTGGATCCTTGAGATTCACAGGACTGTATGTATTTTGATTACAAATGATATCTAAATCTCCTTTATGGACTCAATCCCCTGTCTTTATGCAGTTGAAAAAATATTTTATATTTGAACATTACAGGTTGTGACTCTTAAGGATCAGGGATTACATTGTTACACACCCCATTTTCAGCAAAGCTGTTTTTTTAAACTACTGTACATTCAAGTCCATATCTTGTAAGTTAATTTTGATAGTCTGCCTTGTTACAGAAACATTTGAAATGCTGTTTAATAAAATGAGAGGTTTTAGCCATTCTAATTTGAAATCTGTCAAGATTGACCATTTTTTCCTTGCTCTACTGAATCTTTTTGGTTGACTTTGAATGTTTCATGTTGCTGCAGTTGCCTGTCTGAAGGAATAGTGGATGAAGAGAGAAGTGACCTCTTAGGGGAAATTACTCAAAAACTGGAAAAGCATAAAGTAAGGATTTTTTTTGGAAACCTTATCAAGACCTGTTGCGGTTGTCAGTGCTTTCATGGATGAATTGACGTAACATAAATGATAGGTAATACATGTTATCCTGCAATATGGAAAGCTCACAGTAGTATTTTGTAAGGATGTACAATGTTAGTGAGCAGTGATACTTTATTGCCATGGCTTTATTCCCATTCCTTAATGTAGAAGGGTTTTAATGTTAAATTTGACAAACCTAGAAATTCTGTACTTAGTTTTTTTTTGTACAGCAGAAGAGGATACAAAGTTTCACAAACCTGTACATTTTAGGGCTAAATCATCCAGCTACACAAAATAGTTACACAAAATAAATAAATGATGCATTATCAGGCTCAGTTGTGGTTTATTCCCTCGAACAGGAGGAGCTGGACTCCCTTCGTCTGCAGCTGGAAGATAAACACAAGCAAGAGCTTGAAAATGTGAAGTCTTACTTGTTACTTCAGTACAAGGAGGACTTATTACAAGTGAAAACTGACCTTGCTGACCGTTATTTCTCGGAGATTGAAGATTTAAAAACAAAACACATTCTGGATCTGGAGCAGTTGCGGGCTAAATTGTCTGACAACCACATCAAAGGTTAGTCATCGACTTTTAATTTGTTATGGTTGGTTTTAAGTCTCTCAATCGGAAACCTAACGTAATTTTGTGGTGACTTCCAGCTATTAAATTGTATCTGAAAGAAAAATCACAGAACTTTCTTTTAATGCCTTGCTGTTTTTAAGTTTAGTGAACATTTATTGTTCTTTGTGATTCTGTTTAACAGTGTTTTGTGTTTGTTGATTTTTTTTTTATTAGTGCATTTGGTTTGCAAAAACTTTCCTGTTTCACCATCAAAATATAACCGACTCCTAAAACTAAACTATCTGCTTGTGTTGAGAGCTAACTTTTTGAAAACTTAAAGATTAGTCAATACACAGTTAATTGAACAGTCTGAGTACCATCTTATGAGAGGTTGACCTGTCTTTAGGGATGCATGTTGGTGCACATTTGTTTTGCAGTCTGCATTGTCCAATAAATTAACTGAATCTGAAAAACCAATTGAATAACTTCACAGTCCATCACCACAAACCTGTGGTAGCTGTTTGTATGTGTGTACTCAACATATTGGTGAACACAATAGCTGTTTAATCGCTTGATGAATTACCTGACTTGAATACATCATACAATTGGCATCAAACATGACCTTAGATCTTCTGTAAATTCATAAATTTTAAAAAGGATACATTGGGTTGGTACATAATAAACTTTACTTAATACTCTTTAAATGTTTATCTTGAATCTGGTGTTTCAGTATTATTGGTTTGCATGCACAGAGGTACATTTCCATTGACCGTTGGTGTTTTCCCTGCAGAAATAACAAAGCTGCGTCTTCAGAGTGCCCAGGATGTAGCTCGGCAGGTAGAGGCAGAGGTGGCACAGCGGGTTCGTGCTCTTAATGAAGAACACTCTCTCAGCCTTGCACACCTTAATTTGGAGAGGGAGCAAGTTCAGCAGCTGGAAAGGCAGATTGCCCTTCTGAAGGAAGAACATGCTGAAAACCTGAAGAGTCTTGGTGAAAAATATAAGGAACTTCAAAAACAAGCTGTAGAGCAGGTAAGTCTTGGTGAAAAATATAAGGAACTTCAAAAACAAGCTGTAGAGCAGGTAAAGAGTATGGAGCATTATTGAGTGTCCCAGCTGTCACACTTGGACCTCCCCATTGATCTTAACGAGGTTTCATGACACTCTCTCAGATCTGTAACATTTTGTTGGATGTTCACCGACCAATATACATGCTCAGTCCAGCCTCCAACATGTTGCAAAAATGCATTTCTTTTGTTCTTGATTTTCACCAGTCTTGAAACTGTTGCTTCATTACTTGTGCCAATCAACTCTCATTAAGAAGGTGATGAAGTATTTATGCAAGTCACTTTTCAGTCATGAGCAAATTCCAAAAACACATCATTGTTTAACTTCAATTTCTTTTATGATCTTGAAGCTGGCTTGAATGATCAAAGCAAACATTGTATCATGGCCTATTGCAACTTTCAAATGCTGGTATGAGAACCTCATTTGCTTATCTGTGTGGATTTGTATGTTACATTTTAAGTGTAAAATGAAGAATGTTTCAGATTAATGCTATTAAGTATGCTCTATGTAGGAGCTACTAGTCAATGGGGACAGCTTTCAGAGCAACAATGCTTTGTGGGGATGGGGATGGTAGTTCTCTTTTTTTCTCAAATTTGCGGCACACTGTCCCCTCCCCTTACACAAATCGCCATCACAAGCACATTATTAAGAACAACCTATAATATTTTATTTGAATTTCCCACTAATTGTCATTGTCACCTTACTCTGTTGGGAACTGATAACCACGAAACATGGAGCTCTTGCTAATTTGGTTTCAGATGGAAAATACACTCGTACTACACTATTCCTACTTCTAGAGTTTAAGAGCATGGATTCTGTCTTGTTTTTATACCAGATGTGCACTTTGAGACCTAGATTACTCTGCCAAACTAATATGTATAATTTATTATTCTTCTCATGTGTAACTTTTCTCCAAAACGCTGTGGCACACCATCAGCTTGGCACACTGATGGCCCTTCTTTGTGCTATAGCACACCAGTTGAGAAATGCTGCTCTGTGGTAGTGAGCTGGTGTTCATGGATATAAATTGTTTACTGTGGTTAATGTTTTTTAATTAAAAAGGTTAAGCAGGATTCTCTGGAGGAGCTCCAGCGCAAGGTGGAAGAGGCCAGGAGAGAGGAAGGTGAGATGGTGACGAGGCAGTTCTTGGGGCAGAAGGAGGAAGAGCTGCAGCGCCAGAGGGAGGAGCTGCAGGCTCAGGCGGAGGAGCGTCTCGTTGCTCTCGGAGAAGAGTTGGAATGCCTGTGGAAGGAAGAGAGAGAGGCCTTGAGGAAGGAGCTTCAGACCAGAGAGGAAGAGGTGAACCGCTTGGAAGAGCAGCTTGAGGAAGAGCACAGGCAACTGCAGCATCTCCATCACAGCCTGGAGACTGAGCAGAATCCCCATATCCTTGCTGTCCGACACAAGATCCAAGCACAGTATGACAGTGAGCTCAGCACTGCCAGAGCGACGATGGCAGAGGAGCTCAGAGAACTGAATGCTGCCCTGCAAGAGCAGACAGAAGCCAAGTTGCAGGAGGCACAGAGCAAGTAAGATCATGGCAGACCCACTGCTCCGTGGTGTTTTTATAGTATGGTAGTATTTGACCTGCTAAGTTTTTATTGTCTAAACCATAAAGTAGATTTAAATTTCTGTTTCAGATCCAACAGGTTTCCCTAAATGCCTTTGTTGTATTTTTGTTGGAGAACAAATTCTTTAATATGAAATTTAACAGTTAACCAAAATAAGAACTGTCTGGTACAGCAGTCAAACAATCTGATGTACTATAGACTATAGACTAGCCAATAGCCATATCACCCTGCAGCTCACATCTGGCAACCCACTGAAGCTAAGCAGGTGTGAGCCTGGTCAGTACCTGGATGGGAGACCTCCTGGGAAAAGCTAAGGTTGCCGCTGGAAGAGGTATTAGTGGGACCAGCAGGGAGCGCTAACCCTGGGGTCTGTGTGGGTCCTAATGCCCCAGTATAGTGACGGGGACACTGTAAAGGCAACGTCCTGACTCTGTATAGTCAGAGTTTTTCTTTAAAAGTGTAGGGATGTTACCCTGGCGTCCTGGTTAAATTTCCCATTGGCCTTTACCAGTCATGGCTTCCTAAAAATCCCCATCTATGAATTGGCTGCATCACTCTTCTCCTCCCCACTGATCACTGATGTGTTGTGAGCGTTCTGGCACTATATGGCTGCCATTGCATCATCCAGATGGGGGCTGCACATTGGTGGTGGAGGGGGTTCCCCATTACCTGTGTAAGTGGAAGGAATTATTATTATTAGGCTGGTTTTCACCTGTGACTTGCCTTTGCAGAGTATCTTTTTTAGTACTGTTTTCATATTCTTGTCTGTAGGTTCCAGGAAAAGGAAAATCAGTTGAGAGAAGAGTTTGCCCTTAAACAGGAGGCTGTTCTTAATGAGCTGAAGGTTAAGCATGTACAAGACCTAGAAGCACAAAAGTCATCACTGCAAGAACATTTTTGTAACCAGTTAGAGGAGCTAAAGAATGCACATCAGCTTCAGAAGGACTTGAAAGAGAGGCATCAGGCAGAGCTTGAGGCTTTAGAGGCAGAGCTGCTGGCCAAACACAAGGCTGAGAAGGACGAGCTGGAGGCCAGGATGTTGTCCAACATGGACACTTTGGAGTCCACTTACTTGGCAGAGATTCAGTGCATCCGGAATGAAAAAGAGCAGGCTCTCCAGGACCTGAAGACTCACTTTGCCGAGAGTGAGCGGGAGAGAGAGAAGGACCACACTGTAGAGCTGGAGAGGCTGAGAGCAGAACACCAGGTGCAGATGACATCTGCCACAGAAGAGCTGAGGAAGGAGCTGGCTCAGGTTCACATAGACAAATTCAAAGCTATGGCGGCTGAGCTGAAAGAAGCTCACAAGGTAACTTTTTTCATTAACTGTACATTTATTACACTATATACATCTCAAACCGTCTTTGTGATTTTTTTCAGGAGAGGAATATGTAAATTAATTTCTCTCTCCTACTAACTAATGCAAGATGTCTTGTACATAAAATCTCACTTAGGTTCTGTAATAGAATTGGCGTTATACAATGCTTGTGTTTGATATGTAAATAACATACTGTAGTGTGAACTCTTTCCATGGTTGAGTAAACTTCACCTCCTGCATCCTCTGAATATCTTGCACTTTTTTGCACAAATTGTGCAGGTTTTGATCAGTTTAATTACTGCTCAGTACAGTGTTGGGTCTCCTATGTTTAATTTATTTTCTGTAAATTTAAGAATGCTATATTGCATATTTGATTTTATGCAATAGCTAAGAACAGGTTGTTTCAGAGTTGATTACAAGATTTGCATAATGGCACCATTACCCAAGTTGGAAAATCGGTGCAAGTGCTATGAATTTGTTTTACTGTGTTAATATAGTATTAATACACAATAGGAGGACATGACCGAAAGCCTCTCACTATTCTATGTAAAATAAGCACTTTTAGCCATACAAAAAAGCACTAAGACCACATATTCAATATTTTGTTGAGGCATAATCACTTTGTTTTTTGTACTAACATAACAGTGGAACAGTTTGTACTATACAGTATCTAGTTACTTGAAAATCTCTAATATAACAAGCACTACAAATATAAGCTAGTTGCTCAGGGAAAAGTGTTAATAGCCCAGGTTTGACTTAAAATATACATTTTTAGATTTAGTTGAAATCTGATTACTAGAGGTTTTTTTTTTGCAGTGCCAGATGCTATGTTGAACAGCTCTCTAAACATGTCTTAATTGACTGGTAAAAGTATCCCATTTAAACTTGATGCAATATGTTTTATGAAATAGTGCTTTTAAGTCTTCTGAAAGATGAGGAAATGTTATTCAGCACTTTCATACGTGTATTCGTCTTTCTAGAAAATGTTTTTAACTAATGTTCTGTTACCATACAGATGGCTTTCAAGATATTTTTCTATTTAACATATCGTTTAAAAAGTAACTGTTCCTTGATAAGTTAACTCAATTTTTTTCTGATAGAGTGAGGTTTTCTTTTCACAGTCAGGTTTTCAGTATGGTAATGTTTCAACCCCATTAGTACAGTAGCTCTGCCTTCAGAATATTTGCTCCTTTTTTAATTAGAAGGTGGATTAAGAAGATTAGATGTCAGCCTATATCTAAAGCTCTTAACATGGTTATTTCCAATTCAATTATGAAATAATTGAATAAAACATTAACCTAGTCAGAAGCTTGAAAAGAGTGTTTAAGGTTCAAGAACAGCTTACTAAAGCCTTTATGATGCTTTTTGGAATTGAGGTCAATTTTGTTTAGTGTGCCTAAGCAAGCTCATCAAATTTGTGGGTACAGACGTTAAATGGTAACTCTCCAAACATACTAATTAACAAATCAGTTTACACGATTTAAAGTTTGTACTGATTTTATGCTAATGGATAGCTTTATTTTTCTTTTTTTAATTTTATGTGATATGTCCTGATTTCTGGGCTTGCTTTTGGCCAAGGCCAATGATACAATATGACCCCATTATACCCCTTATAGATGATTTGTGTGGCCTACAGCTGTGATGGTTGACCAGACTGGGTCTTGTAGACCTTTTGAAGTTGTAAGATTTTTTGCTGCGATGACACATTTTTCCAATTTCTAGTGGACTGTTATTTAGTCTAGCCCGTAATGCAAAGACGTTAGACTTAAGAGGTTGTGATGCCCATTACTTTAGAGTTAGATATTCTTAACTGTGAATGCAAAACCCTAAAATAGTCCTGTAAGAATTTGATCTCTTCCTTGACTACATGTGTTGCCAGGTGTTGGACCCTTATCCAGGTCTTCTGTGTTTGTGCAGGCAGAGCTGGCCACAGCCCTGAGCGATCAGCAGCAGTGCCTGGAGGCAGAGAGGGGCCAAACTCTGGAGGCACTGCGAGAGGAGGTGCAGGCATTGGAGGAGCAGCACAGCAAGGCCCTGCAGGAGCTCAGTGAGCTGCACAGCCTGGAGAGACGCCGCCATGAGCAGCATCTTGCACAGCAGCTAGCTCAAGACATCGACACGCTGAAGGCTCACCATGAGCTGCAGCTCCAGGTCACTTGGGGTGGAGTGTGGGCTTGGGAGGTTGGGGGCCATTCAGTAGACTGCTTTCCAAGATGCATTTTGTAGGGAACCATAAACTGCTACATCGCTTAATATGATGCATAATTTGAAGTGCTTCAAACTATAGTTTTAATGTTATTTTAATGTGACTGCAAAGTAAGTTACTGGTGTTAGAGTCCCATTACTAATAAGGTGAATTAAGTTCTTAATTCTGATTTTCTGTTAATTTTTATAGATTTTCAAAGACTTTTGAATCTTTCTCTGGTGTTCTTGCATTATATAGTACAGTATATCCAGGAAACACTAGCTGGGAAATGTTGAAATCACAAGATTGTTTTTCCCCACATCCATTTTATTTTCTTGATCCAGCATAAAAAGGAGAGGGACAGTTCATTCTCCCAAAAGGGTTATTTGATTATTTTCCTTTTTTTCACATTGCAAGACCCCCTCCCCTGTATCTGTAGCAGAATAAGTACATAATGGAAAAATGTATGCAGCTGTAACTAATTGTATACGCTGTACCAAGTGCCCTTGGTAAGTTAAAGGAGTCATAGCTGTGCAAACTAAGGACATTTGTTGGCAAAGGCTGGTCACAGTGTAGCAAGACTTGGTCTGTTGTGTACTATACAATTTTGGTCCTGTAATGTCATAGCACTCAAAAATAATTATTTTATCTAAACTCAGCAACGGTGACATTACTGACTGACCACATCTGGTGTCTGTTGAGTGTTTTTACTATGTAAAAATCATGTAAGTTGTTAAAATGGCTCAATTGGTTGTTTTAATACATTTTTTAAAATTACAAGACAGTGGTGTTTTTGATACTTGGTGTGTAATTGTAATTATTTCACGAGCATCAAATGTAATATCAAATTATAACTGCAGCAAATTTCAATCATCAGGAAAAATAGCAATCTTTTCTAACAGTTGCACAGACTTTTGTAAGTCATTTGTTCAATTAAAATTAATTGCACTGATTAACATTTGACATCTGCAAGGGGTTTACAATTAATATTGTCTAATAGTGTGTGCACCACTGGAAGCAATACGAGCTCTACATTGTGAACTGCTTTGCACCAGGGTGCAGATGTCTTGTTCCATTGCTCTCCTGGAGCCCGCTGGATTGTTACAATGGGACCAGCCCACAGGAAGGGCAGCAAGTGTGATCCAGGTACTTGGATCAGTTTAGTGCTGTGGAGTCAGATTATCATAGTTACTTGATATTCCTACCTGTACCAGCACACTTTGACCTCCTCATTGACTGGTCAGTTTTACACATTTACCAAATTGTTCTGCCCATCTCCTATCATTCCAAAACTCTTTGACTCACTGCTAAAGAGGACTTGGTTCTGCATTGAGTGATAGTGTGCAAATAGTCTAACCTCCAACCCAATGAAGGCATTTCTCATTGGGCAGCGTAGTGATTTTTTCTGTGGCTTTTCATTTTTGATTTTCATCAGGTTAGGTCTGATCGGGTTTGATTTAATCAAGTTAACTATGCATCCAATCATATTTCAGTATTTATACAACAGTCACTTGAGTGTTGTGTTCAGTCATGAATGATCAAGTCATGCTTAACACATTCTTGTTAGTTTTAAAAAACATCCATGTATAGGTGCTTTTGTTTGTAGCTTGTGACTATTTTGTGCTAGAGATTGGTGTAAAACTCTAGGAAAAAGTGTTTTAAGGAATTCAAAACCCCAGGATGGTAGTTACTTTACACTAAAATGTTACACTAAAAGCTACAAAAATGACTTGACCGAGTGGATAAATCAATAAGTAAAATTGATCATAACCTCCAGCTTGTAAAGAATTCTGCAAGGAATATACCTGAGCATAGTATAGTTACAAAGGAACAAGTAATAGGTTTATTCCATGCTGAAAAAAAGAAAGATAGTCACGCAAAGTGTTGCTCTGGCACAGCTTTGGTGAAAATAATAATTCAGGCACACTTGGTTAAACAAATATTAACAATGACGGTGGCACTTAACATACAACACAGTGTTATTTTTCAAGTTTTAAAGACAAGGCATTTCAGAGACCTATGTCTAGGTCACCCATAAAACCCCTACCAAGTATTTGGCTCCTAAACAATGCCTACAGAGGCCTTCTAAATTAAGTAGAATACAATCTATAATTAAATCTTTCTCTAACCCAGATAATATAAAATAAATGGAAGCCTATTTCCCTATTCTGAAATTTACCGAGAGACTGTTTTAAACCATGGGATTCTTCACTAAAAGCTACAGAATGGCTAGCTCTCTTAGAAAGATTCTAATACTTTGGCTCCAATAATTTTTGGATGATTATAAAGAAGGGACTCTCACCAGGCACTAGCTTCAAGTTTCATCTGTCTGTCTCCTCTCTTTCTTTGTCTTGATCTTATATGGTTTCTGGAATGCTAATTAACTCTTAATCATTTACTCAGAATTTAATGAACTAAGATAAACCAGAAGATTCTTTTGATCAGTGTGTCTCACCCATCAAAACTAAGTAAACATCCCTTGAATTGAAGCTCTAGAAAGTGGAAATATTGTCCCTAGTTAGGTATTAGACTAGTTAGTAGTTAGGCATTGCCTGTTGGGAATAGATGCCTAGAAAGACCTACCTCCGCCTGTAACAATATTTTACAATCCTTTCTTTCCTTTCAGCTCCAGGACCGCTCTGCTTGCTCTTTAGACATGTTCCAGTGTAGCAGTTGGGGGTTTAGAAACTCATGAGTTTTTTTTTTTTCAGGAGCTCTCCAGTACCTCGGCAGGGGAACTAGAGAGGGTGAAAAGGCAGCTGGAGGAGGAGATGACAAGACAGCAACAGCAGTTCCAGGAGGAGATGGAGCTGCTCAAGTGCCAGTCAGAAGTACTGTTGGAGCAACAGATCACCCAGATCAAGGTCTGCCAAGCAACATGTAGAGAGGAATATATCACTTAATTACATTTGTACCACGGTAGCAGTAGGAGGCCAATTTATTTTGTGTAGGTGAATGTTAAATGGGAAATTTCTTTTCCACAACCATTGTACTACAGCCAATTAAACTGTATACCTGGCGCTTGGTAGTAGCAGATGTTACTGGACAGAAATCCTTCAGAAAGCCTTTGGTGTCAGTTGTCTAGGTCACAGTTGTTTCCTGTTGGTGGTACTGCTGAAATAGCAACATTATGTGGGATAGGCCTTAATAATTTCATTTTGTGCTGTTCTTGCTAATGTTCTTAGAGCTTGCTCCATCTTTTTTGTGTGCTTAGTCTTGGCACCATGCAGTATAATTAAAACCGATTACCTGTTGCGTTTACCTTAACTTTGTAAGTGTAAGTGTGTAAGCACTAATTTTTTTGCCATAAGTGGAAAATTCAGCAGTTTTTTTGTACTTGACAAGCAACAAGGTTAAAGGAAATGTAATTTTTGTCTTGTTAAAAAAAACAACCAAAGCTAATGTATTCTGAAGCTCTTTGTCAGTGTGTGAACTGTTTTAAATAGAAATTGATAATACAAGCAAAAGAATCTCAAATTTAAAAGTTTTCTGACCTTGTAAAAGTTTAAGTAGAGCTCCACAAGGTTTATCAGATGTAGTTTTGTTCCAGCATATAAATTCATTCATGGAATTGACATCTTTGGCTATAGTTGGAAGGGTCTTTGGCAGCCTAGCCCCCTTTTGATAATTTCATGATTCATATGTGAAAAATAAAACTGCGATCATCTTTATGGGTGTTTATGATGATCGTTTTTGTATACGGTTTCAGCTACACTCAAAAGAACTTCAGGGTTGAGTGTTTTCTTAGAATTCACATTGTTTAATTTTCATTCTTATTGAATTCACAGGAGGAGTTTGAAGATGAGAAGAGAGCTGCTCTTGAACAGCAGAGTGTGAAATTGCTCGAAGCGTATGAGCAGAGAGGCGAGGATCACAGAGGGGAAAGGGACCAGCTCACAACTAAGCTCCAGAAGCAGGCCGCTGTGATTATACAAGTAATGGGTGAAATAAATCTTAATGGCTTCTTTTAACAGTTACGTGGTTTTGAGGCATTAGTCATCTTTTGCCAGTCTTTTGTTGTTCAGTTGTAGGCCACAGGTGCATGCACAGTGGAACCTTCTCGTATGACGATACCGGAGACCTGTTCTTTCACTGTTGGAAAGAGCAGTGATTCTGTAGCATAAATGTAGCACAAAGATTAGGGCAGTTCAATAAATAATGGATGTGCTTTATAAATCCTCTTATTTCTTTTCAAATTTGAATGATAGAATTGCTGTTTACTTTTAAAAGGTATACTGACATTTTCTAACACTACTAGCTTCTACATGATATTGTACGTAACTGTAGCTGCTGTATGTAGCCCAAGTCACATTTAGTTAAAAACAGTGAAAGGCACTAGCAGCTTCATAGTAATATTAATAAGGAATATGTCCCAGTTTTATAAGTGTTTTTTTTCTTGGTTTTGAGAGCATCTTTGTTTCACTCTCTGGTTCCTCAGACAAGTCCAGACATGCTTTTTGGAGAGACGTACAGTAATTGTCAGATGTGCACTCGTGCTTGGCATGGAAGGTTTATGGGCTGTGGACAAGGACTGAAATAGAGCATATAGTAACTTTGTTTTGGTAGACCAAATGTATAAACGTTTCACATCATTTAGAAATAGTTGCTATACTATCATAGCTGTATACTAATAGTTGCTAGATGTTAAGCAAATAAAAAGATATCCTTGTTTGTACTGTTGCTTACACTTTCTTTTCAGAGAACTGTGAATGTGCTAATCCTTTTACTAAAGATTTATCCACTGACAATGCAATTTATCATCTTTACACTCAGGTCTTATTAACATGACATCTGCTTAATATGCAAAGGAAGAATGTGATAGGTTTATTCCATGCTGAAAAGAGAAGAGAGAGAACGCAACGTTTTGGCTGTGAAGCCTTCTTCAGGTGACCTTACATCTGAAGAAAGCATCACAAGGGAAACGTGTTTTCTCTTCTCTTTTAAGCATGGAATAAAACTATTACTTCTTCCTTTGCAGACTGCGCATGCTGACGCAGCTGCCCACCTGATCTGCTTAATATGGGTAATCTGTAGCAGGTAATGCTTGACTAAATTCCCAAGGCAAGCTAAAATCTTTTGTTCCCTATGCTTCATATTGAAAAGAAATAATCCAGAGTCTGTGCCCTCAGCCCTGTGTTTTAATTTGTTGCGGAGTATGTCACAGCATTTGTAAATAGGTTTTTCCTTAATGCTGTCAACTCAAAAAGCAGAACTGTGCAAAGAATAGCAGGAGATTGTTTGGCTGACTGTACCGCCTTCTCTCTAGTGTAATCTAGTGCCAGCCGGGAAGCTTGTTCCCCCCTCTCCATTGTCATGGCAACATTGTGGCAATACACAGCAAGTTGGTCAGGTGTGATTTGTCAGACAGGGTGGTTACCAGAATTTAAAACTGTTTTTTGTTTTTCAAAAACTTTGCTAAAATTCAAAGCAATGGTCATGCCAGTTCCGGACAGACATTGTTGGCAAGGATCTTACGAATGCCATGAACGGAATATTCCTCTGGGAGCTGCTTTTTTTCCAGGCTCTTTTTGAAAAAAGAACTGCTGTTTTTCTTACTGCTGCAATGGTTGTCCGAGGGTTTTCAGAAATTGTTGTATTCCTTCGCGGAAAGACGCCCACATAACTTTGACGCAGATTGCAGGAGCTTTATTTTTGTGCTTGAAACTGAAAGAGACAGATGGAAATCGTAACGTGCTATGCCGAGTTCGCCAGCCTGTTTAATCCCTAGAAAATGGGTCTACTGGGGTAGACCGAGCTTCACTAGACTGATGCCTTGAATAAGGACACAATGTCGGTTGCGCAGCTTAAAAATGGCAACTTGTAATATTTTGCCACGGGACTCTGATACCAGAAATCAGCGGTAAAGGTGTGATGACGGGCTTCTTGTCCTTGGCCTCTCTTTTATCTCTGCCCCAGCTGCAAGAAGAGGTGGCTGTGCTGCAGAAGGAGATGGAGGCGAAAGACTCGGAGCTGGAGACCCTCTTGCAGCGGCGGGAGCGGGAAAACGAGGAGGGGGATAACCTGGTGGCCATGCTGAGGGCTGACCTGAGCTGCGTCACAGAGCAACGGTAAAGGACAGGGAGATGCCACGTGGAGGGCCTACAACCTGATTGCTGAAGTGTGGCCTGCTGCTAATGGTTACCCATGAAGGCAAAAGGCTTGTTTTTTGGAAGTTTTACATTAATGAAAAATACTTGGAGATGTATAGAAAGATATTGCTGTGAGTGAAGGGTATAAAGTTAGTGTTTTGGTATGCTAAAGGCTTGGATGTTTATCTCCATTTAAGGAATAACCTACAAGATGCCAATGAGCGAGTATTGAAGCTGTTGCTGGAAGTAGTGAAGAACGCTATTGCCACTGAAGACCTCATCAGCAGAAAGATTGCAATGTGCATGGGCCACGGTGACGAGCTGGCAGAGGAAAGTCAGGCTGAGAAAGCAGGAGCCGCCTGGTCTCAGTGGGGGACCAGAGACATGCAAGAGAAAGGTTTGGTTTGCTTGAGATTAAACCAGAATACAAACCTGATTAAAACCTGATATACTGTAATTACATTAACGTAATAATTGTATTGTCTATAATACTGCTGTTTTAGTTTTTTTTAGTCTCAGTTGCATGAATAAAGTTCTGTACAGCTATTTCTAAGGGCATAGCTACAGTGAGCTGGAATTTGTAAGCCCAGTTGAAATTCAGGAGACACTTTAATCCTGACAGTGACCTAGTTATCGGATTTTAGACCAGTTGTTACCTGGTGACATGAGACTGAACAAAGGATTGATTGTGATACTGTTGCTCAGCATTGTCCTGATCCTTCCTTAGGTGAAGCGGAGAGTGTTGTTGGTGAGATGGGGGCTAATTCAAGCCTGTGGTCAGCACTGACAGATGAGGGCTGTGAGCTGTCTCAGCGCTTGTCTGAGAGCATCTTTACTGGCCCAGAACTTGATCGGGAGAACGAAGAAGTGGTCCTGGAAGTATGTCATCGTATACACTCGGCAGTAGAAAAACTCTTGGACTTAGTTGCCGAGTCCCACAGACAGGTACAACCATGGAATATCACTTATAACATGTTATATTTCAAGGATTCATTCAGTGTATGTGTATGTTCAGTGCTTCATGTTATTTTAGCACTTGCTGGAGGGAAATATGTTAAATCTAAGACTTCACATAGAGTTTTTCTAGCTTATTTTGTCTGAGTTGATTGTAAGCAGTGAGATATTGGTAGTTAGCATGTTTTTTTCTCTGCACTCTTTGCTTTTCATGCCTTACTTGGTTTCACTTAAAATTGTCTACAACCCAAGGTGAATGTAAATATAGCGTCAAACTCCCAAACTGTTTTTCTAGGTTAATTTCCCTTCCTAATTTCATTACGTTCATACTGTATTTTTTTTAATTGGGATTTTAAATTTATTAATGAGTTGCATCATTACCTCTTCACATGTAAATCTTAACTTTTAAATTTAAACCAAAGAAACAGAAGCATAGACTTTGCCACTCTCCTTCAAATATTTGCCTGAAGAGCTATTCTGCAGTAGCCCAGGTGCAGCGATGGGGCTGGGCTTTGTGTCTTGATGGGAGTTGTGTGCTGTGCTTTGCAGCTGGAGCAGACCCAGGGTGTTCAGGCCCACCTGGAGCAGGAGTTCAGTCAAGGCCAGGAGGACACTGCCCAGCTAGTCACCCATCATCAGAGAGTGCTGCAGGAGCTGCAGCAGGAGGCTGCACTCAAGAACCAACTGGAGCTAGAGCTGCATAAAGCAGAAGGTGAGGGATCTGAAAGGGCCTTTCACCTGTTTTCTCACTGTCAAAACAGAAGCTTCATCTCAGTTCTGTTTGCATGTGTGATTTCTCAGACCTGCTGTGTAAGAGGTTGCTTTTGATTTTAATCAAACTGTGGTTCTGTAGGAGACAATTTAACATCGAAGTAGTTGAATCAGGTTTAATTGCTGATAGACGAGAATTTTTTTTGGGTTAAAGATGTTTTGTGGAATGCTGCAGAACAGCTGTTTTGTATATGACAATATGTTCTGTTCTTCAAACCAGTCTTCTCTGAGTAAGTCAATTGTGAGGCTACAAATATTTCCAGTTTGGTACTTCAATTTGAATGTATATAAATTGAGCATTAGGCTTTATTTGAATGTGGACGTGATCTCATCCCTCTTCGCCTCTCTCTTGTCCGGCAGGTCTGCTCGAGGGCTATGTGGTGGAAAAGGCAGCCCTGGAGGAGGCTGTGCAGCAGAAGGAAGGAGAGGAGCAGCGGCTGGTGGAGGAGCTGGAGGTTTTGAGGGGGCGGCTGGCAGAGCTGAGCGAGGCGCACAGCCTGCTGCTACGCCAGAGAGATGCTTTGACTGGCAGCATGGATGACAACCAAAAGGGTAGGAGGCCCGAACTTACGATTACAAATGAGAGGCTGCCATTATTATCTAGATGTTTTGTTTGCTCGTAAGTGATTGGTTCATTTTAGGGGTCTTGATAGCTGTTTTTCTTAAGGAAGCCTTGATATCAGCTTCAACAATGCCTGGATGTTGTTGCATACTCCTGCAACCCTGTGCATAAAGAATTCTCTCCTCTTTCTAGTCTTGAGTTCCATTTCATTCTAGTATGCTTTTTACTGTTGAAATCCCATTGGACTCACTAAGTGACTTGGAGACTCTGTGAAAGCAATAAAGTTCTGGGTTTATGGATTGCGATGGGGGAAAATAGGGTCAGTATTTTGATTATACCAAACCCAGGATGTCATTTGAAAATGCCTTTATTTCATTTCATTCTTATCTTGCTTGGCAAAGAAAACCCAGCATATGCTTTTGCCTCAAAGGTGAATATGGCTAAGTACTTTTATTTTGTGTTTTTTAGGATTGTATATCCTATCGCGTCAGCTTTGCAGGGCTCTGTCTAAGAAGTATTTAATCTAAAAGGATATTTTTTTACCTAGTTGAAATGGTCATAGACAAATGGTCTTAACTGATGAGAACAGGGGCTATTTCATACTTTAGTTGAGCTGGTGATATGCAGCTTACTTAATAGAAATTCACTATGTTCAGCATACCTGTTTTACTGTGATTTTTAGTTTATGCTTGCTTTAAAGGAACCATGACAGAGGAAAAACAGTTATTAGTGGGGTTATTGAAAGGTATTCAATGGCAGAAGTGAGTCACTTTTTTACGATGTCGTTTAGTTTTAATCTTTATACATTTTTTTTATTGTTAATCATTCGGTTCTACTTTTCCATTTTCTGTTTCTTTTCCAAATTATGGGGACACAAATTATAACCTTTTTAAAAAGCTCTAAACTAGGCAAAATTGCAACAAGAAACTTTAAACCGAATGTCACTTCTGTTGGATTTAAGTTTAGACTTTGCAGTTGAGAGCATAGATTGCTCCCACTGTTACTGTAGGGAAGCCAGTAGTTGTAGGTCTTGAAACAGATGCAGTTTGTGAGAAATTGAGTGAGGTGGAGAAAGTGTGGGAAATTATTCTTTTGATGCAGAAGGCAAAGTTTCTTCTTAAAGTCCAGAATGTATCCCACTCCTTTCCAGCTACCCAAGATAAATAGTTCAGCTGCATTTTCTCACTCAGCAGGGAGCTCAGCCTTTGACAAGTGTTCACACTACTTCTTCTGTGTACTTGTACATTACGATGATCTCACAGCCTGTTGAAGTGTCTTCCCTTTCAGTGAATGAAATTAACCCTTTGAAAATAAGATGTGCTGGGTTTTGGTCTTGATTTCATAGTAATCCACCTAGAGCTTAATTTTGAACTTTTGAAAGTTTGAACATTTTGGGATCTTACACATTTAATTCGATAACTAAAATTTACAACTGTGGTAAGGACTGGTGCCAAAGCCAAAATGCTATAGTACAAGAATGCTGTTTTGGATTGGAAATAAGACTGCAAAGAGGTGTGAAATTTGTGTAGGATATGTACAATGTATAGGATAGAATTTTCTGAATCATGCTGTGAATTACTTCCCCTATTTGTCACATTGTAAACTGTAAACTGTGTTGTGTAGATGAGTTTTTTTTTCTTTTCATAAAACCTTTGTAGGAAGACATTTCCTGTGACACTTATCAGTCTTTTAAATATATTCTCAAAATCACGAACAAAGAGCACTGTCAACATCCACAGCTTTGAGAACGTGTTTTGAAATAGCATGGTCAAAAGGCATAGGGATTAACACCTACATTGATTATCCTTTGAGGCAGAAGTAGCTTTTTACAGTACATCCTTGTAAAATAGGATTGTTCATTTGTAATTTGCCTCTGTTCAAACCTTTTAGTTGCCTTATTCTTGCTATGGTGTCCTTCTGTGGATATAACATTTTAGTGACTGTCATTGAATTAAGGTTCTTATTTCATGGCAACACAGGTTAGATCTTTCAGCAGCTTAGTTAGGGGTTCTTGTAAGGTTTGACAAGTGTTATTTAACTGTAACGTGGAGCAATGAAATGACCTTCCATGAGGACTTGTCTTAAGATGACGAAAGGTCCATCAGCTGCATGTTGGGAGCAGCAGAGCAGGCACTGGCAAATACCAGCATTTAATTTGACAGGTCTGCTGGAGGAAGCAGAGCGTCTGGCTCGGGAAAAACTGGACCTGCAGCGCCAGGCAGAAAAGGACCGCTCGGGCCTGACTGCTCGGCTCAAGCTCTTGGAGAGCGAGCTGGAGGAACAGATGAGCCACAACCAAGAGCTGGAGGAGAGGCGGCGTGTTCAGACTGAGGACTTGCAGCAGCAGATCCAGGCACTGGAGAAGCAGCTGCGCAACAACCGCCACTTCATTGATGCAAGTAGCACCATCACTGCTGTGCTCTTTGACATTACAGATGGAAGGACATGATCTGTGAAGTTTCTTGTTAGAATTTCTGTAAACTGTATTTTGAAAGTGGATGCTTGTTACTTCTGATTTCCAGTAGAAAAGAATTGGCTTGGAAAATTTAGGACACTGTATGGTTGTGTTTGTGTAAATAAGTGAAATGGGTCAGTTTACACTTGTGACATTTGGTAACATGATGAAATCAAAGACTCAAAAGGTACACTTCGTTTTTAAAGCTTGTTAGATGTAAGAACTTGTCTAATCATTGTTCTGCACTGAAGCTCGTAGCCAGAAGTTGAAACTAGTTTTTGTTTTGTTTTTTAGTGGCTAAAAACCAAAATACATTTTTTCTTTAGGAACAAGCAGTGGAGCGAGAGCATGAAAGGGATGAGTTTCAACAAGAGATCCAGAAACTGGAAGCCCAATTGAGATTCCCTGTGAAATCACATGCTGGAGGGGACAATGGAAGCCAGAAGGTAGTCTTGCTTATCTGAGAAACACCATGCTGATTGTGTTCAGTTTACTCTGAACAGGCTATGAAAAGCACAATACTAACTGATTGCTGTACATAAATTGGCATATTGAGTAGCTATGTGAGCTGCAGTCTCTGAAACGGATTCTTGAGGTCAGGTCCTGTGCTCCAAATTTATTTTACTGACGTACTGTGAAAGAAGACTTAAAAGTGAGCCATAATGTAGAATGTGGTCTTAATTTAACAGTTATGGTGATAGATGTGAGAATTAATTTTACACAAGTTTGTTAGAATAAAATACAAACATATATGTACAAGAAAGTATCAATGCCCTGTTCAAAGTTAACAAATTGTTCTTCAGGACTCCATGTGAGGGATTAGAAAAAAATCGCCCATAAGAATTCAAACAGGTCTTCTGTATAGAATAGGAACTGTACAAAAGTGTAGCTTTTAGGAAGAAAAGTTGGTGTACAGAAAAATAACGGGTATCTAGGAATTGATGATGACATGAAAGGAACCTTAAATGCACAAAACATTTTTCTTGAAGAGCAGTATTTATTCCAGTAGCTCTCTAAAAGAAGACCTAGAACACTTCTTAAGTGTTCTAGGGCTTTATTTAAAAATGTTTGTTCCGGGCTTTATTTAAGAAAGATATTAGCTCTGATTTAAGTGTCTGACATGAAACTGGGATGTACAGTACAGATAGGGATTGAAACCTATTATTCTCCCTGAAGAAATTTCAATCTTTCCTCTAGAAGAAATCTGACCTACAAGTTACTAGGGGTAATTTCAAGTAGTTTGGAGAGAATACAGTAGACTTGTTTTGTGTGAAAAAATGTATGCAAATTTGTGCATATGTGGTTGGTGACGAATTTTACAAATTCAGATCTGGCATGAGACTTGAGCTACGCTTTGGGAACTAGTTACAGAGCCTATAGCATGCCGAAGCTTTCTTTGTGCAGCATCACCCTCAGAATGGTTTGTAAATCAAAAACAATTACAAAGGGGAAAGGCAAAGCAAGACAAAAGTGTCTAATTCAGAGTTCATAATCTGTATCACTCAAGTTAAGGGGTTGAGATGACCATAACCAGTTTGGCCTGTATGCATGCCAAGAATGAATCTTCAATTCGTGCAATTGGAGACGGAAGGCTATTCATGAGAGCTATGCATCTGCTATGTTCCCTGCATTTTAAGTTGTATTAAATCTGTTTTTTTGTCTAATGTACAGTTTTCTATTTGCTGCCTTACAGTTTTCATAATACTTTAAATACGCATGTCCTGATACACTAGGGCCCCGACTAGCTCTGTTGGTAGAGCGCGAGACTCATAATCTGAGGGTAGTGGGTTAGTGTCCTACATCTGGTGTGAGGTCCTCCATGTTGGAGGTTGGGCACAAGGCTAACAACCCTGTCCCATCAAAAAAAAAAAAAACTTATGGAAACAGCAACATGCTGGAAGGCGTAACGGGCAAGCATCCATTAATACGGTTATGATTGATTTTACTTGTTTAATGATAAAACTAGTTTGCTTCTATTGTTTTTGTTCACTTCCCCCCCCATCCAAAGATTATACTGATTTGAGATATGGACCTATTTTGAAAACTTTGTTCAAAAGTGAATTTTTGATCATCATGCCATTGTTGTAATGATTTTCTTTTCTTAATGTGTTTATAGATTGAGGACTTGGTTCTCCAGGTATGACAGTTTTAGTGTTGCTTAGTATCTAGTCATTTGTTTTTGCATGATGGAATTGTGTATGTGGACTTCTGCATAGCTTGATGAATACTGCTGCTTCTCATACTGCCTTGTGCTTTGAAGATCTTTACAGTAGCAGTCACTGGCTTGGTGTAATTCCTTTCAGTTTAATGGCCGCTTTTGTCTGTTCAATACAGACGGTTTAAAAATGGGTTGTGTCAAGTCAGTGAGCAGGAATGTTGATGTAAAGAAACACTAAGATTTTATAGATTTCTCTCACTTAGTCTTAGAAATAGTGGACTTTTCTGTTCATTCAACACTGTAGTATTTCCAAGATTTTTGTTTTATCAAATCTTTTTTGTGATAAAACAGTACTCTAACCTGTTGTACGGTGCCTTAAAAAGGTATCTTGGTAGATCATTGTAGGCTTTTAAAGAAGACTTTATTCAGTAAATGTATTGCTCCTGTTAATTCTATAATGAGGGCAAATCAACATTTATTGGAAAGTTACCTTTTAATGTGAAATTAAAGGCATGTTTCCTGTAGAGTTCATATTAGTTTTGTACCATAGTACTTTGTAATGCTTCACTTACAATATATTTGGAGGAAAAAGGCTTTTTTGCTACATTACCACAACACTTAAATTCTGATGTTTAACCTTAATTGCCCTTGGTCCTGGCCCTGTGGATATTTTACATATGATCCTGTGCTCAATACATAAGATGGTGTAAAAAATATACTATATATTTAGGTTTAGTAAAATCTTAGTGTGGCTTCTTTGCTTTACTGACTTTCGCTAATAACACACTTTCCTGCAAAAGCTGCTTCTTCTTTGTAACTGCAGGTAATCTGAATGGCTCCTATAGCGCTTATTATGTTAAATACTCCCTCACTGTAGTATGCTTTTCTAAACTTATTTACTTTTGAATGAATGGGACTACTGAAATGCATGGATGCAAAATGGGAAAGCACAAACAATTGAATGACACACTCCCTGGGTTATGTAAGGGTTCCATTCTGAAAGTCTTTGTGTAACTCATTTTATAGTCGGAAGCTACCTTTTCTTAGCTGTTGTGTAATGATGAACAGAGAATTAACATTGATATGGCAGCTGTCCTCATTTATTTTCCCTAGTGGTGTTGGCCTATGACGAAGGAAAGGACGGGTTGTAAGTTGTGTATGCTAATCATGTAGTAGGTAGAGGGTGTAATGCAGGTGGATGCTGATGATGGTTGCTATTGTTTTCACAGATTAACTTTACTGTTAACATTTAAACCCATGGTAGGCTTTCAAATTTAAGTCTTGCATGACCCTGGGAGTGGGTGCACTAAATTTTAACTCGTCTTTAGTCTCTGTAATTGACTGATTCATGCCGTGGTAGAAATCTTTCTTGTAACACTCAGCTACAAAACAGATGGATGTGTCTAAAAATGAGTTTAAAAAAACAAAGTGAAAAACCATCATTATGAAATGTTGATGTTCTTTGCAAAATCTGAAGTCTTGTTTGAAATGCTAAAATACGTTCCAAATTGTGGCAAAGTGTGAATAAATATTCTAGTCTCTAAGATGCTTGATGTGACTGACATTTTATTGTTGGAAGGTGGAGACACTGCAGACCAACCTGAAAGACAAGATTGAAGATTACAATGTCCTCCTGCTGGCCAAAGAACAGTACCAGCAGGAGGCCACGGAACTCACCGAAGAGAATGATAAAATGGCAGCAAGGATGCGTGAGTTGGAACAGACCGCGCTTAATAATGCTGTAGAAGCTAAGAGAATAAGCCATCTTGAGCAGGAGCTGCAGAAGATGAAGAAAATCGAGCAGGATCTTCTTCAGGTATAGACAGACAAGGTCCAAGTGTTTGAGGCAGATCTTGTGAGTGCTTGTGATCTGATGCACTTTTTACTTTTTATTCCAGGATAAAGATGCTCTTCAACAGCAGCAATATACAAACCGAATGCAAATCTCAGCTCTGCAGTCTAAACTAGATGAAACTCGCCACAGATTCCCAGAGAGTAACGTGGACCAAGTCTTAAAGGAACAGCTGGAAGCTGGACAGGAGGCTCTGATTGGCAAAGAGAAACAGGTGTGCTATACCCAGTTAATTGGCATGAATGTCACGGGCCATTTAAAATGTAATTAACAAGGTAGACCACTATGTTTTGAGTCTTTTTGAAGGCTTTCAGTTTATGTAAGAAAACTGTCCAGGAAATATATCTTTTATATAGTGCTCAAACAGAAGATTGTTGAGTTTGCTGTTTTGTTTATTGCATAATTTGGATCTGAAAGATTCATATTTCTCAAGTTGCATTGCCATCTAGTGGTCATATAGCACAGTTTACAAGTGTTTTTAAAGAAAAGATTTTCACTAGTCGAGCTGAGTCCGTTTTCTTGGAGATGGGTCGTTTATGAAGGTTGAAAAACGAAGATGGCAAAGATATATATATATATATTTATTTATCAAAGCACTGAAATTGCTGATAGTACAGACAACCAAAAGCAGTCACCCAAAATTTCCCAAATCTCCCAAACTTTATTAATGAATAATAAAATCATTTAAGTGTTTGATGGGTTTTAGGTGAAGGTATATAAAATCATATAACAGAATTTTAACTTTCTGAAACCTTGGAGTAAAAGATCTTTTAACGTGCATTTTTTTTGTCAACTTTTAAGACTTCCTACTTAAGTGGAATGTGGTTTCTGAGTGAAAATATTTTTATTGCCCAGATTGAGGCTCTCAACATTCAGTTGGAGCACATCCAAAGGGATCTGGACACAAAATCAGATGAGGTTCTTCAGCTTAAGATGCAGCTGGAGGTACAGATGAAGCAGAGCTCTGCCTGTGTTGACCAATTGCAGGAAGAAATTATTCAACTGAAGGTAGTGTAAAGCTGATAGTCATTCACATATGTCCTGTTTTAATTCAAGACCACAGAGTTCTTAGCATCTCCAAAATAGAAAGCTTTTGGTGAAGAAAACTGAATATATATGGCATTTTCTTTCAAGTTTAGTTGCTTAATGTGTTCATCTTGAAGTCATCTTGAGTGCAATCGATTTTCTTTTTCTGTTTGTATTATGTATCATTAGGAGACGGTGTCCAGTCTCTGCAGACATCAGGGAGAGGACACTGAGGACAGCGCGTCTTCTATGCTGCTGTTCCCTCAGGCTCTGCTGGAGGAGAAGAACCAGGAAATTGACCACCTGAATGAGCAGATTATGAGACTGCAGCAGGATATGGACAACATCAGGGATAACAAGGTAGCAAGAATGGAAGAGCTGTTTTGCCTTTTTCATTACCAGGTGAAATGTAGTTTGAATGCAATTTTCTTTAGAAAATAGGGTCCAGAAGTACCCTGCAAGATTTTGTTCCTTGTAAATTACAAAATATGTTTGAATTAAGTTACAGCAAAGTGCTTTTAAACTAGATTGCTTTATGCTTATTAATAACAGTATATTGTTCTGTAAAGATTCGAGTGCAATTTTCTCTATTTTTTAGGTGCTGGAAGAGAAGCAAGCTGAAGTCGAAGAGCTGAGGTCTCAGGTTGAACATCTTCTAGTAGATCAGGAGCGAATGCGCCGGAACAAAGAGGAGGAGGTGGAGCAGTTGCATGAGGTAATTGAGAAGCTGCAGGAGGAGCTTGCCCAGCTTGGACCCAACCGCCATGAGGTTAGTGACTCCCAGGACAGCTTGGAGCTCCAGGACTTCTGGCAGCACCCCAGCCAGGAAGACAGTCTAGGCCATGAGTTGGCCAGCCAAAGCCTTCAGTCATCCAGAGCCCATCTAAAGAAGCTGGAAGCTCAACTGGATTTGGCCTCTACAGAGAAAGAGGCCATTCAGCACCTACTCCAGACTCAGGAGGAGACATTTCGGAATCAGGTTGAGAATCTGGGAAAGAGTCTGCAGGATGAGAGGAAGCAACTGGAGACCCTTCAGGAGGAATCTAGTCTGCTTAGAGCACATCTTTCCCAGCGGCAGGCAGAAGTTGACCTATTGGCTGCCCGTGTCCAGGAGCTGGAGGACATCTTGAGACAGCGGGAGGCCCAGTTGGTAGAGACTGAGCTGCAGGTAAAGACTTCTGAAGAGCAAAGAGATGCAGCACTTGCTAATTTGGGGCACCTGCCAGGGAAAGTAATGGAACTCGAGAAGGAGCTGCAGTTGAAGAAGTCTGAGACTGAGGAGCTTCTTAGGCTGCAAAGAGAAACATCTGCAGTGGATTTGGAGCTACTGAAATTGCAGGACCAAGAGTTGAAGAACAGGGAAGATGCCAAGGTAAAAAAATTAGAAACAAAGGTTCAGGATGGCTTGGCAGAAATTCTTCATCTGGCAACTGTGAAAACTGAACTATACACTGAGTGTCAGGCTCTGCGACAAAGAGAGGGCCATCTTCAGGAGGAGATCGAAAGACTGAAGAATGAAGTTACCTTTAAAAACACTCAGATTCAGGAGCTGAACCTTCAGCTAGAGGAGAAGATAGCAAGGAACTTGGAGGAACAGAAAGAAGTGCTGGTAAGTGCTTGCAGTGCAATTCAGACTTTTATAATTGGGTTTAAATAGTATTTTCTGTTTGTGAAGTCAGTGGTGACATCAAAGCCTAAAAGGAAAATACTTCACCTTAGTTTGCATTACAGTGTAAAACATAGGAACTTTTTTTAAAAGTGGAACTGTAAAATCTCACCTGATGTTCTGTTGTTGCAGAAACAGTCTTATTGCCTGGAGGATGCTGGTTCAAATTGTTTCTAAGCTATTGACCATTTTGTAGCAATGGCTATCCTTATTATACAGCTGATTAATGCAGATAACTGGGCGTGGTATAGTGGATTGCAGGGGTAGTCCCTAGTTGTCCAAGAAGAAACAATATATACAATATATTTTTGGGTACAGATGTTCAAATCATGTTGACACATAAAAAATAACATAGGTACATCCATTTCAATTTTGTAATTATCCTGCTTGGTTTTTATTACTCTGGAGAGTAAGAAATTGCTCTCTTGTTCCACTACTAGAAACAAAAGCTGCCATCTGAAAAACTTATGTTTTTTTCCAAATATTTCAGGGATAAAGTTTTGGTGGGCAGTTTGCCAGTGGTTTTGCCTGTTTAGCATTAGTTTGTTTACATCATTGTTCATCTTATTTTTCAGCATTTATAATCTGCATTATATGCTATTTAGATTCAGATAGTTACAAAATGGAAGAGGAAGAAACTGAATAATGTTGTATTCTTAGAACTAAACTGTACTAAGGCCCTAAGGCTGTGTGGAAAAAGTGTGTATACCCTCATTTAAAGACATATTGGATTAATTTAGCTGTTAGTGAGCTGGCTGCTTTTACATCTGATCTTGAGCTGGCCACTAGCAGGAAAAGGAAGTGTGCGCACGGGGAAAGAGGAAGAGCTAATGGTTGGAAGGGAGTACATCTGTACGGTTTTATGGTATTTACAACTGCTTTTTTTTTAAGGAGGCTTATCTACTACTTTGGTTTTTAATCTATCTCAAACTGTTTATATGGGTTAAACAAGCTATTCTTTTCATTCTTTTAAAGGTGCTTGACCTAGTTTTGAAATTAAACAGTGGAAACTTGTGATATTCCTCCTGCTTAAAAGCTGCCTTGGTTCTTTCTTTAACAAAGCGTGAGCTTGTATCAGACAGTATATGCGAACATGGACAGTGACAGGAATGTTGTGCTTGTCACTCAGTTAAAAATACTCAGTCTTGAGGTTTACTAGATGAGTAAATGTTTTAATTTTCTTCATCAGAGGGGAGCGGAGGAGACATTGGGAAAAGCCGAGTGTGCCCTTAGAGAGAAGGAGGAGCAGCTGGCTGAGCTGAAGGTGGAGCACGACACTCTAAGGGCAGAGCTAGCAGCTGTGAAGGAGGGGTTGAGTTCCAGTACAGAGAGAGCAGAAAAACTGCTGGAGGAGGGGCAGGTAATGTGATAGACAAGCTGCATTGTTTTGTATATGTTCAGGTGGGTAGCTGCGTCAGCATGCGTAGGCTGCAAAGGAACAAGTAATAGGTTTATTCCATGCTAAAAAAAAGAAGAGAACACAACGTTTCGGCCGTGGAGCCTTCTTCAGGTGTCAAGGTGCACACCTTCTTCAGGTGCACACCTGAAGAAGGCTCCACGGCCGAAACGTTGTGTTCTCTTTCTTCTTTTTTTCAGCATGGAATAAACCTATTACTTGTTCCTTTGTTTTGTATATGCCATGCTCCTTTAATGTGATTCGCATTTACTTTTTAAAACCACTTGAGGTTAGTGTGAAAGTACTGTCTTTTGTATTTGAACTGGTCGGTTTGTTTAGCCTCTCGTCTGGCCCAGGTAATATTAAAAGCATCATATGATCCTGTTACATGTGATGGCCTCAATGGCTGTGGAATACTGCTAGCTTAGTTTTCCAATAGTTATTGGAGCTTACATTTAGGTTAATAGTTTTGCAGCTTTTTCATGACCTTTTGTTTCATACTTTACTGTAGACCATTTCAAATTTACATTTGGTTATTTACTTGATTTCATGTTCTCTTTCTTAGTCAGCTGTCAGATGTAAGTTGATAATTTTAGGATTCTTATACAATTATAAAACTAATATTTTTCTTTATATCAAGCCTTTTCTGATGGCCTCTATTTGTCTTATTAGACAAAAGACAAAGCTCTGGTTGACTTGAAGATCCACAACCAGAAGCTGAAATCGGAGCTAGAAGGCCTGCAGGCAGACCTGGTAATGCAGGAAGAGGAGCTGGCCTACCAGCAAAGGGAACTGGAGCAGATGAGAGAGCGATACAGCTTCCGGGCTCCTTCAGTTGTCAGAGATGCATATGTGAAGCCCTGTGGTCCAGATGAGAAGTCTCCAGAGAAATACAGGGGGTACCTCATCAGCCTGTCGGGAGAGAGCTCCCCGTGTTCACCAGAGGTTCTGCGGAAGTATGATTCTGGTATGGAGCGTGGTCCTGACTTCCAGTCGTCAAACCTCCTGGAGCTCAGCACTCTCCACAGCACAGGCCTGGACCTCTTGCACAGCAAGGCTTCCACTCTGGAGAGGAACTGCTCCCAGCCTCCAGACCATATCCCCACTGACTCCGAGCATCCTAGCACCCACTCCCTGGGCTCCCATTTGGATTCTGAGGGGAACTTCTCCCTCCTGCACTCCATTGATCTGGAGAAGGTTTGTCATTTGCATGCGTTGCATAAATTTTAATCTAGTGTTTTTTTGTTTGGCTTTTCTTTAATGGTTGAAATATAAAAATCTTAATGCCATTGATCCCAACTGAGATCTTGAACTTTTTTAAAACTGTTTTTGTGGTTTTGTAGAAACCGTAAACTTAAAGATTGAAATCTTTTTCTCTGCATTTCCAAATCATAAGGGAATTTCTCTTTGCTATAGGTGAAATAACACCCGTTTTAAATTCCAACATTTGTGCTCTTTTATCATTAAAATTACATGAATAGTAATTATTTAAATGAAAATACTTCCTTACATTTAGGCAAAGGATCTTGACAACCTTGAATTTCAGTCTCCTTCCCCTGAGTGTACTGCTTCTACAGTTTCTGTTCATGAGTGGGTCAGTGATGGATATGGAAGCAGTAAGTAACAGTTGTCATTACACGTCCGATGCGTTTATGTATTTTGCTGTGAGATGAATGTTAAAATATTTTGTAGTGTTTGTGTGCAGCTTAATTCTTGATTCTGTTAAACTATGAACTGGTTCTTCACTTAGTATATTCCCTATTTTTACATAGTGTATAGAAATACCATCTGGAACATGGAGTGAGCTCAAGAAGTAATTTAATATACACAGAATATGTGATAATTTACTGTAGCTATTAAGCAATAGCATACTGTCTGCAATAGTGGTGAGATTGAGTTGCTATAGAGCTCTCAGCATTTTAACACACCATTCTGACCAAATACTGGCAGTACATAAACTTGTACCAGTACCAGGCTGTACAATTTCATCAATACTGCTGTTTAGACCAAGAAACAATCTCCTGTTCCTCGTACTAAATACATAATTGAAAAGTAAGCAATGTAAAAAAACTTGACCCTTATTTAAAATAGAGCTAGTAAAATGGCTGTGAATTTCATACATGTATGTAGGTGCTATCCGTTGTTCATTTGCCTTTGATCTCAGATTCATTAGGGTGCAATACATTTCCAGATGGAAGTTCAGAAGTAGGGGCTCGACTGAAGTTGGAGCTGGAGACAACAGAACGCCTTGATGCCAATTTTGTGGAGTACCTCCGTCAGCGTGGCATGACCCTACCAGATGACAACAGCATTTCACAGAGTGCAGTCAAACCAGAGGAAGATATTTCTCCTGAGCTGCAGGTACAGAGCAGCATGACTTGACATAATTTCTGTTTTCATAAAGATGTTAGTGGCAGAAACCTTAGTGAACTTTGTCATATTTTGTAGCAGTTTCAGTGCATTAATTGGGTGTTCTCTTCCACATAATTAGGGTGCATTACAGCCAGAACAGTAGCTGAAGCTAATTTTCCTTTTAGTCAATTTAATCTTAAGGTGCTCTTAAGTTTGAATTTATATTGCACTGAATGTAGGTCAAGTCATTGTAAGTCAGAATTTTTCAGAATATTGCTCATGGTACATGGTACTCTACTATGAAGGAAACCATTAACAAGATACAAATTAACATGTTTTTTGATGTATGAAACAGTAACATTGGATCTTGCAAGTTTCGTTTTGTTCAAATTAGTTTCTTAGGTAAGATGGTCCCCAGTCTTTCCTGAAGTTTTTGAAATCTCTTAGATTAAAGCTAAAATGGTGAACATCAATAAGGAAATGATACAGTACCTAACCTACTGAGTTGAGGACAGATTCTAAGGGCTTTACTGGTTATCTGCCATGTAATTATAAAACAACTTCTAAACCCAAGGATGTTGTACATCATGAACAAAGAAAAAGACAAGAAAATAAATATAAAATGAAGGGGAAAAAAGAGCCTACAGGTTTTTGCAAATTGACTGTAGGCAATCAAACATAGACCTTGGTAGAGGTAAAGGTAGTTTTACGTTTAGGCTTAAAGAGTTAAGTTGTCTGAGGAAGCTCATTCCACAACACAAGCAGCCGCAGAGAAGCCACGGTCACCAAAAGTCTGTGGTTTGATGTCACGCAAAGAGAAGTGACAGAGGGGGAAGACGTTTTAACATGAATCTGAGTATCATCTGGATAATAGTAAAACTGAAGACCATGTTTGTGTAGAATTTGGCCGAGAGGTAGACAAAATGCTACCTGTCAATTTCCACTGAGACAAGAATGTCTGCAGGCAACTGAGCAACACTAAATGATTTACTGTATCAAAAGCAGCACTAAGATAGAGGAGCAAAAAGGATGCTTATAGCCCCTGAGTCAGAGACAATAAGTAAATCATTCACAACCCTGATAAGAGCAATCTCAGTGCTGTGATTTGAGCAGAAGCCAGACTGAAATGGCTCAAACAAGTCATTAGCCATCATATGTGCCCATAGTTGACGTGCAAACACACGTTCTAAAACTTTCGATAGAGGTTGTTCTGCAGTTCATTATATCGGGGTCCGAGCCGGGTTTCTTCAGTATAGGAGTGATAGATGCAGTCTTTAGGGACCACACCCAGGGAAAGGCAACTGTTGATGACGTTGACAATTAACTGGCAGACGTCTGGGAGGCAAGCTTTCAATAAAGAGGCAGAGATAGGATCTAGGCAGCAGGAAGTTGTTTTTTAGGTGGTGGTAATTTTTGTACGTTGAGTGGTGTTACCTAAGCTAGATTCAGAATAATCGGGCACTGAAAGTCAGTGTAAAAACTAGGAGTCAAGTAGTTGTCTGAATTCATTGCAAGGCTGAGTATTAGTTCAAGATAACTGTAATTGTATAGCATCAATCTTTGATTGAAAAAATTGCAGAAATGTAGAGGTTGGGGGTAGAGAGCAGATTTGTGAGGGGGTTTAAGTGAGCTTATTGATGATGGAGAAGAGTGCTTTACGATTTCCTAGTCCTGAGCTATTTGTATCAGAGATACAGGAGGATCTGGCAGAAGCTAGAGCAGCTCTGTAAATTTGTAGGTGTTGTTTATAAGCCTGTTATAAGAGTGTGAACCACTAGGCCGGATTGTTTTGCTTAAGCGTTCTAAAAGCCGTCCAGCTAGCTTCAGATTCTGAAGTTCGGATGTGTGCTATGTGTGCTATGATGAGTGCTTGAAGGAAACCAAGTGAGTTTTAAGGGGTGTGAGTTTATCCAAAGCACTAGTCAATATAGTGTTTAGAATATCGACAGTTCAGCTGTTGTAAATGACCAGTTTTTTAAAGGGGGAGAACTAAATACAGCAGTAGAGAAATCAGAGTGGTTTGGAGATTTCAGATTTCCACAAACAATTGTGCTGAAGAAAGATTGATACAGACATCAAATATACCTTTGTGATCAGAAATGTGTGGTAAAATGTTGTGGCAAAATTTAGAGGCATTCTGGCCAAAAGCACAAACAAGATCAAGAATGTGACCACAGACATGGGTGGGAAAGTTATCCAATTGAGACAGATCAAAGCATTCCAGGGTGGATATAAAAACTGAAACTGTTTAAGGAGTCAACATGAATGTAAAAATCACCAAGCATAAAGACTGGACAAGTCATAGTCCTTAATGTTGTCAGCAGTTCAGATACAAAGACAGGGCAGGATGTGTGAGGACATTAGTAGAATTAACAATCGAGTACATAGTTCTCTTGTGGAAAAAGCTTTAGACTGGAAGATGAAAATCTCATTTTTTTTGTTGTGTGTTCTACCAGGGTTTGTTGAAGAAGGTGTATGATGAGGCTTGCCGGGTGCTTTTGCTTTCCGAACGGTCTGTCCCCGTCTCTGTTATGCCGACTGAGCTTCCAACTGGTGTTATGCCTGAGAGCTGGCACAGAGAGACGGTAGCTCTGCAAGAAGTCATCCAATCACTCAAAGATCTCCTTTCCAAACTGGTTGATAAAGAAAAGGTCAGTATGGTTTGAATACACTGCAACTCATTTCTCCTCTTAAACTGAATCACAGCACAATTTGTTTTAAAACTTTTTATGGCAATTAGATGTTAGTGTAGCAAAATAACTTGCACATTTTTACTGTTAAATTATTCCTGTGCAAAACTAGATGCAAGATCTGGAAACTATAGAATTCTTAACCAAGATTTTGAGAAACTGCAAAATAGTGCAAAAGTTTAAAAAATGTTGTTTGCCATGATTTTTTGCCATTATTTTCCTTAGGTTTAGGGAATTGCAAATTAAAGACTAAAATCTCAGTGAATCATCCATTGACATTTGCTTGTCAAGTTTTATGATTTTTAGCAGTTCAGTAAGCCTCCGGTTCATAACTCTTGTCTCACTGTGCAAGCAGGAGTGTAATGATGGAGCAGACTGGCGGGGGGAGCTGCTACAGGCTGTGCACAGTGTGTTTGACAGAGAGAGGGACTGGCTCCGATCTGAGCTCCACTCCATCAGCTCACGGGGCCCTGCAGACATTAGCCCCCTCTTAGACAGACTGGAGCGACTCCTAAAAGAACAGGTAATGGCACCAGCTCTTCATGTTAGATGTGGTCTCTGCTTTTGAATGAGCTGTGGGCAGTTCAGGTAGACAATCAGTGTCCAGTTGTTATAAATTAAGTTTAGGAGATGTTCATCTGTATTTATATAAGTTATGGGCCAATCAAGAAACCTTTTAATGATGAGATAAAGTGTTTTTACAGTGAAGTCATCTCACATACTGAATATAAAAATGACTAATGTTATGTAAAACAATCCAGTTAGTCAGTTCAGTAAACTCGCTGTAATTTCTCTAGGTTAAGTGGATTGACCCAAGTTATGTTTTTGAACAATTTACACCTTTTCCTGTATATCACCTGCCATCCCCTTAATTGTGTTGCACTGGTTTCGCTTGGGGTTGTGTATTGTGGCTGTTTAGATCCTGAAAACTTTACCACCTCCGATTTGTGTTCAGGACGAGCAGCGGAAAGTGTCTCTGGAGCGACTTCTTACGGCAGACCGCAGCAGCCTACTAGCCGAAGTGCAGGCCCTGCAGGCTCAGCTTCGCATCTCCAGCCTACAGAGCCAGGAGCAGCTGCAGCAGCTGCAGAGCACCCTGAGTTCTGTCGAGGAGCAGGGCAACCAGCGCCAGCACCAGCTGCGCCGTCAGGGTGAGTCTGTTCTGTTCATGTGAGCTTACCTCTTCACATTGTATATGAGTACAGGTGGTTATAATTCACACTTGAGTCTGAACTGAGGAGCTTCACAAATATTCAACTTCTGTACCAGAATGTTCACCTGCTTCTAGGTCCTATTATGTTCTCTCGCATTGCGATGATGTGATGCTTTGTGTTATCTTCTCAATCATGTAACAATGTGTTTTTTTTAATGTACAGACTACACTAGCACGGTTCTCAATGTAGTATTACACTGGATGTTAAATTCAATGTGAATGTAGTAAATAAGGTTAATGTGCAGTGGACATTGGCCATGTTCTGTTTGCCACCAAGATCACTACATACATTATAGTAGTTATTTGCTGCTGCTGAAATAGAAAATAAAGCTAAGGATAGTTTAAAGCATTCAGAGGTATAAAAATGCATGGTACAGGAGTGGGATAATGGTACCATGAAGAAATGGTACAATTGATGATATTGTGGATTGAAGATCTCGTATTAGTTTAGCCCTCTTTCAGTACTTAGCCATAAGCTTTTACAATACCTATAGAAGGAGCTAGTACAGGAAAGACCATTCGAGACTACGCATGAATGGTTTCATGGTTTTCAGAAAAATTAACTGTATAATTATGATGAGGATATAAATATCATAAATATAATTATGATAGTAACATAACCTGTTGCAGTATGAGAAAAATTATCAAGCAAACAGCTTAAAAGCATCTAAGGTACCTTAAGGTTAAATAAGTATCATTTCCATTATATTAAGAAAATTTTAAGGAGATGTTATACATCTCTACCTATTCTTATACAAGAAAATGGTTTTGCAGTCTTTGACCCTCAGTATTTACAAGTTTTCTTGTGGGGCAAATTCTCCACTATGCATTGCTTTAAGTTGCTACTTTTCAGTCCCTTATCCTGACATGCATTGGGGACTGCCTGGTTACTCTCCACTACTTTCTACACCAGTAGATGGCAATTTTTTGTGCCAACTCTGAAAGTTTAGGGTAAGAGTGTTCCAAAGTGAGATGTTCCTTAGTAGTGTGTGTGTGTGTGTATATATATATATGATTAAAAACAAATAACACAAAAATTTAATAAACTATTTTATAGTTTTATCATCCTGGTAATCTTTGTATTGTACTATATACTGGTACAGTTATACAGGGAACTAATTACATTTTTTGTGACATTGCTACCAATTTTAGTTATGTGTATGTGGTTGGGGCTGCATTAGGTTTAATGCATTGCATTTTATGCCAATTTTGGGGAAAAATTGATGTCCCAGGTTGGTTTTTAAAGGATTTGTGATCAGCAGAAATATGGTCTTCATTGCTGCTGAAGAGGTGTATCATTACGACACATGCTTGTAAGGGCCCTTGCTTATGAGACTTCACACCCGGAGAAGTTATCTCCTGATGTCATCTAGCACTGAGTCTTGATTGTTAAAGATTTATTGTTTTAATTTTTTATTCTACCTGAAATATTAATGTTTTAAAGTTGACTTTTTTCAAGGTTTTGTGTTAATAACTCTTTTCAGTCTGTCTAGTCTGTAGCATGGGATCAGCAAGATGCTTCTTTAGTTTTTAATATGCATTCAATACATGTTGACATTTTAACATAGTGTAGAAACCAAGAAATTCGAACCTGAAGCGTTCATTCGTCCAGCCAAGCTTTATTGAATGCATGCGAAGAACCACAATAAGGACCATAGTAGTTATATTACCTATTGTAGCTCAAAGGGGATATGACTCTACACTGCTTATATATACGTTTCTCTACACCTTCCCCCTCCTGTCTTTGAGGTAACTTTCTCATGATACTCCAGGACTCAGACAGCACTTAAACCTTCCTTTTCTCATCAGGAGTTGAGTGTAAACATTCACCATTTGGGGTTTAGAACAGGAGGGGGAAGTATCTGTGCTTAAGCAAGAGGGCTGGTCAGAGTTCAGCATGTGAAAGCTGCTAGCAGGCTCCATCAATAGTAACAATGTCTCTTTGTAGTGGAGTTGCTGGAGTACAAGCTGCAGCAGGAGCAGACACTGGTGAGCGATCTGCAGAATTCCTTGAGAGCGGAGCAGACCAGGTCAGCTGAACTGCGTGCTCACCTCAGGACAGAGCAGGAGGCTGTGTGTGAGCTGAAGAAGGAGCTCTCTAGCTCCAGCCAGGAGCTGCATACAGCTACCAAGGCCCAGCAGGAGCTTCAGAATGAGATCCAGAGGCTCAGGTACAGTTTAGATTTAAGGAAGCTTACATATACTTTTGGTCTATCATTTCTTTTTTGAAAGTTACGCCTTACATAGTTCAACGTTCTGTGTTCTTCTGTTGTTTATTGTGGCCACTTATAGTTGTGATGTGCAGAGAACAGAATTGAGGCCCACAAGGCCTAATAAATGTATTTCATTAGCATTATTGGGCAGGTTGGAAGATAGTCATATATGTACTTTGAGCTTCCGGCATTCTTAAAATGTTAAGAATTTTTAGCGAATGAATATAAAGATTTAATTTCAGAATGATCTGACGCTTTGTAGATCTAAGCTGGAGAATGAGGAAGCTAGGCAGCAGACAAGCTTGGAAGCACTGGAGAAGGAGAAACAGAAAATTTGGGAATTGCAGCATGACCTGGACCAGGAGAGACTAGAATCTCAACAAAGACTTGACCAAGAGGGAAAGACACATGAGGTACACAACACTTTACATTTGTTTAAATATGTTTAAACAGCCTAGTGATTTCAGTTTATACAAACGTGTTACATTCTCTTAACAGAATGGGCAATAACTAATAATGACATTAGAGTAATCCCTAGAATCAATTACTCAGTGGTGAAGCTTATTTTCTATTAATACATTTCTGTATCTAGGTTTTCATTTAGTGGAGTCTTTGATCTAAAGGTCAGCTGTTCATAATTCCTGAGTTTATTTTCCTTTCCATTTTTCCTCTTTTAAATAACATTTGTTCAATTAATAATTTTATCATTGTCCTCAACTTGTGTCAGAGATAAATTCAACTTATCTTTTTCTTTCCCTTAAATCATGCTTTTACTTTACCTATTATTAGTATCTGTAAAATGTATGGCTCACTCATTTTATATACATGTGTATTGATTAAAAAGGTTGAGAACGTGCTTTGACAGAAAATGCTCTAAGCCTTTTCTGCTTTACACTTCGCCCTTCCCTCCTACAAAATTCTTCAGGTGCTGCGGGCATCACTGGAAGAACGCAACCTCCAGAACAGCCAGCTGTGTAGTGCTCTAGAACAAGAGCGCATCGTTTCCAGTAATCTGCGCAAGGAACTTCAGATTGAGCAGTCCCGCTGTGAGGCTCTCCTCTCGCAGGAGAGGAGCAAGCTCAGCGAGGTGCAGCACCAGCTCGAGGAAGAGCGGGCCCGTTGTGACAAGCTTCGGGACAGCCTCGGCCATGAACAGCAGCAGCTGGTGGAGGAGTACCGGCAGAGGATGAAGGAGGAATCTCTGCGCAGGGAAGGAGCAGCTAGCCAGGACAGAACCTTCATTCAAGAGCTGCAGGCCCACCTGGAGCAGGAGAGGGCACGCAGCGTGGAGCTGGCTGCCATGATGGAGAAGACCCAGCAGCAGGCCATACAAACCAAACGACAGCTGGAGGCAGACACCCAGCAGACCCGTGAAGGCCTGCTACAAGAGCAGGAGGTCAGTGTCAAACTGCGCATTGCTCTAGAGAACCTGCAGATCCAGAAACAGGAGCTGGCATGTAGCCTGGACACAGAGAAGCAGAGAGTTTCCCAACTGCAGGCTGACCTTGAAGCACTGCAGGAGAAAATCAGGGCTATGAAGGAGAAGGAGAGGACCCAGGAGGAGCAGAGGGAAAGAATAAGAAAACAAGAGCAGCAAGAACTGGCAGACAGAGAGCGCAAACATGCGAGGACTGTTGAAAGACTGGTGAGGATTTTGGCTTCCATGAATCTCACCATTTAAGCTCTAGTTCTAGAGCTTTTTTAGGTGAAACAGCAAAATAACACATACAGTATAAAGTACTATGCACAGCAATATTAACATCCCAGTGTTCAAGTTTAGCATTAAGATTTGATTAACCTTTTTGAAAAATTTGAATATAAAAGTTGTTTTCTGACCGTTTTTGTTTCTTGTTTCTGACAGTTTTCCTCCCTGGGCACATGCTAATTGGGTTATGAGGTGTCGCTGAGCACTCTTGTGCTTTACTTTTCCACAGCGTGAGATGGAGCTGCAGAAACAGAGGGACCAGCAGCGCATGAAGCAGCTCCAGCAGACTCTGGCAGAGCTGGAAGAACAGGAGAGGGAACTGACTTCACATAGACTGCAACAAGCTCACACACCCAACCTCCGTCCAGCTCGGGACTCAGACGCTCTCCTGCGGCACCACCAACAACTGCAGTTCATGCAGCAGCAGCTTCAGCTGGCCACGCTCCGACTGAAGGACTTCATACAGAGTTCCCAAGACAGGTAATGGAGTGGTGACTTTAAAAAGAGCCAAGTCACCTCTGTGTAGGTAAACCTTAACTTTGTAAGGAAGCTTTTGCCTTGGTAAAAATGTTTTGCAAATGCATTTTATACAGTGTAAGAGAATGGATTTAAAAATATTTTAAGTATGGAATGTCCATATTTAAAACAGGAGTTTTCTGCATTGAAAATGTATTGGTTTTACCCCTTAACCATTTCTTTGCATACTTATAAAAACAGGCATTGTTTATAACAACCGAAAGAACCGAAAGTAATATGGGCAACTATAGTGTAACTTGTTGGGTTGCTAATAGCGAATTGATCGTAGGTTCCCTAGGATCTAATCTTCAGTCAATTCTTGAAAGAAGTCGGAATACTAGCTTCAAAAAGCAGCCTCTTCCAGACCTCAACAATCCTTTGTGACAATAGTGGACAGATCTTTTATTTCTATTGAAATGTTTATTAGGGGTGGACCTGGCCAGAGTCAGTCTGAAGAAGAGGATCTGCAGTACTTGTTAAGTACCCTGAGCAGCCTGGACAATGACTTAAAGACGCTGTGCTCCAGCATTCAGGTGAGTGGGATGCAGATGTCTGGCATTTTGCAATGAAGTGACAGGTTGACAAAGGATTGAATATATACAGGTTCTTCGTGTTGGCTTTTTGTGCCCTCTAAATGGAATGAAAGTTTCTCGGCAAATCACCTGTCAGGTTTTGCTGCATTATCTGAGGAATATGTTTGGGGATTGTATTTTTTTCCAAGCACTGTTGTTCCAAGATGGTTTGCATTGGGATCATTTTTACTTTTAGAATACTAGTGACTGCAGTAATGTACTACATTTTACCTAGTGATCAAATATGTAGTTGGTCATTTCCTTTGCTTTGGGCCCTAAGGATAAACCATGGGAAATGTTGAATTGCCAATACAATTTTAGGCTTTTGAGTGCCATAAAACTTTGTAACATCACACTTTGATCTTTACGTTGCATATAGTGATGGACCTGCAGTTTCATTCTAAATAAAGTCTAAATGTTTTTAACAGAAAACTGGTTAAAGAATGGTAGCACAATTAGTTGAGCAAATAAACTAGTGTTTTAAGCTGGTAGTTGTTCATTGTTACACAGGTGAGTGAAACTAAACTGGTCTGTTGATCTTGTGAATCAAAATGATAGTTTGTATTGTGATTCTGAGCCAGTGTTGTGATGAGTTTCTTGGATTCAAAACATTCTGTTTTTAAGTAAAGACCGCTTGGTTTGCATTTTGTTCAACCACTTACAAATGAAGCTTTGTTTTTGGTCATGAACAGTTTTCAGCTAGCACATTGACTAAAAGTAGATGGGATCTCAATTTATTTGAAATATGGCTAAAAGAAAGATGTGAAGATTGCTCTTAAACCTGAAAATTGGATGGTCCTGTAAAGAACCAAAACAAATTACTGCTGTGAAAGACTGCACTGAACGAAATGCTTGTTAAGGTAATCTTATGAATAAGGTGTGATTGGATAGGCAGTTTGAGTAACAGTAATTAGATGGATATAAAAATCTCCTAGAATTCTTCAATGTACAAATACAGCCACAAGTAAGATTTTAGTTTAATTTAATTTACAGTTACAATTGCACTAGTTAACCATGATATCTTAATACTGTATATTTCTCCACTGTAGTATGTAAACAGTTTTTGTTGAATTGTTTTGGTTTCAGGTTTTTGCAGATTGTCAATTATGTAATCAATATATCTGCCTGACAAGCTCTTTGGTTTCAAAGCCATACATTTTGGAATTGCAGATTGGTTTAAGATGTGGCTCTATCACTCGGCAAAAACTCCTCTTCTCGTATAGGCCTGAATATGATATGTAGAGAAACCCTCTTTAAACAGCAAGTATATTTGATATAATTAACGAAGAGCTCAATAGGTGAAATCAAAAGAACGTTTTAGTAAATTTAGTAAAGTTACTTATTTTAAATTACTTTCTCTAAATTAGTCTTTGATCATTTTAATTTAAACTTGTTTCATGCAGTTTCAAGTAAAGACAATTGGGGTGGCAAGCTTCAATGTTTATGAATATAAAACTAGATTGTCTTGACATCCCTGCTAGTATGTGAAAATACAAACAATACACGGGTCTTTTCTAATCAAGAAGCCATACTGCCATAGTTTGTCTAGTTTATATAATGTTTCCAGAAAGAATAAAAGCACCTCAATTTTTCTACTGCAGAGACCAGCACAAACCACTTCAAGCCTAGCTGACCGATTGCTGAGAGAGAATTCAGATTTAACCTGCCGTTTGACAACACTGACTGTCGACAAACTGGAGCTGCAACGCTCTGTAACCCGCTTGGAGAAGGAACTGTTGATGTACACGGAGCAAAGGAAAGCTAGAGACCAGGTAACTGGAGGTTCACTGGCTCTTCAGTCTTCATTCTAGTTCCCTTCAAACTGGCATACCTCAGCAGTGCTCTGTTAATACGTTTGCTGTAGATATACATCAGATTTTAGAAATATTTGAGCATTGAGTTTGTGGGTTGTGTACAGATGAAGCTGACTAGGTAATCTGTTTTGATGATGTACTTGAGCACTGTATAGTGTGGATCTGTAGAATGAGAAAATTGAGTTGTATGTCAGGTATTATTTATAGCCATTAATCAGCACGTATTGCTATAGTATAACTTACAATTAGATCTTATTGAAGTCTTGTGGTATTCTGAAGTAAGCATAGATCTGTGGTCATCTCCGTCATGTTTACTAGTCAAAATTAATTTAAATCAACTACTCCATGATTGAAATGGCGTGTTTGCATGTGATCATCAATAGTGCAATATGTGTCCAAACATATGGTAGATTTAAAATATTCTCTCATACATAATTGATTAGTATCTCTAAAGCCTGGACAATTTATTTTAAATTGGAATTAATCAGCCATTATTCATAAGCAAAATGGTTTATGATAACTTTGTATGCTTCTTAAACTTTGCCAATGTTTTTGTACCTTTCCCATTAAATGTGATTTGGAACATCAGATACTGAGTGAAATGGGGTAAAAGCATTTATACAAGTCTGAGTTAAATGTATAAATCATTAAGAGCAGTCAGTTGCACTTCATTATCTTTGTATTCCAAAGCTGGAGCCAGCTGATATTGTCCCACTGTCTGAGAAGCTAGCTTGGCAGAAGGAAAAGGCAGCCCTACAGATGGCCCTAAAGAAAGCAGAATCCGAGCTTTCCCATGTTACTGCAGAGATCGAGAACAGACCAGTTCCTGAGAGCTCCAGCAAGGTAACCATCTCCAGATTATACTTCAGTGCGTTTCTTCTTTTGCAGTTTAAAGAGATAGGTCAATAAACAAAACTAAGGGGCACCACTGTTTTTTAGTTTGTTGTTGTTTGCAGTTGTGTGCACTATTAGCGTTTTTAGAACATTCTCCATATACTGAACATTAAAAGAAACTTGATTTGAAAAACTTGTAATGTTGATTTCATGTTTTTGGTGGGGGTTGATTAATTTGCAATTTGATTAATTGGTCAATTCTGACTGTCTTGAGAATCACAGCTAATTTAAAAAAAATTATAGCAGGTAAACCAAAGTGATAAATTGCATGGTATTTCACTTTTAACCAGTAAAGATCAATTGTAGATTGCGATATTCTCGGCTAACAAATGCAAACAAGCATAGAGAATGGGAACTAGAATCCTGTAAGTCTAACAGTCTTGTTGAATAAAAGGAACATAGAGGCTTTCTGTGTTTTTGAATTAAACCTGAGCATTGAGGTAATTTTTATTTATTGCCTTTGAGCTGTAAAATTAAGTTGTGCAGAAACCCGGTCATCAGAATTGGGGACTTGCTGCTTGGTTGTTTGTAATCGCCTCATGAGTAAGAATTAAACCTGTTAAATGTTTTGGCCTGATAAATTAAAAAAACAAACCAATATACCTTGCTTCTCAAGACATCGACACTTTCATTCCTTTGGTATCTTGGAGACTAGATTGTCACTTCACCTAGGAACTGGAGCAGCCTCTATCTACTATACTGAATGAAGATTTTCTGTAGACCATCCTAATGAATCAATGAGTGTAGCACAAGCATGCGGAACGATGCACTAATTGTTCTGTACAATTAACAAATTGATATGAAGGTAAATATTCGATCAACGATGTCTAGTTGCTATAGATCTTCACTTGTAGAGGGTAATAGTGACCTGATTGTACACTGCAGTGCTCCACAGAATTACTCAAATTTACTCAGAGGCATTTTGCACACTGTCCCTCAGTCTTAGTGTAAATTCAACTTTACTAATTACAACTCCAATTTATGCTGTACAATCTCTATATTTGTAGGGTCATTTAAATTAAGGTTAAGCTAGTAAATCCCATTTTAATAACTATAATATGTACCTGATGTATATTCATTGATAATGTACAATGGAACGCACTTTATCCATTTTCATTCAACAATAAATAAAAATATGAAGGGCAATTTGGTAGCAAGTTCAAAGGATGAGCAAAATACTGGCATAACTGCTAGTAACCTTTTTTGTTTGTGTTTAAACAGCTACAGCGACTCTATGGGAAGTACCTGAGGGCAGAGAGCTTCAGGAAGGCACTGGTGTATCAGAAGAAGTACCTGCTGCTTTTGCTGGGAGGGTTTCAGGACTGTGAGCAGGCCACCTTGTCCCTGATTGCCAGAATGGATGTCTATCCCTCTCCAGGCGACCTCCAGGAGGCAATACGTTCACAACCGATCAGCAGGTTCAGATCTGCAGTCCGCGTCGTCATTGCCATATCCCGGTAAGTATGGCCAGGCCAGACTCTGTTGCACAACTGGCTCCATTACTGTTGAAAGCTAAACTGAATAGTGGGAAGAATGCAGTAAATAGTGGCACTTGAAATTGACAACATGAAAATAGTGCTGAGTCTCACTTGTTGGCTTGGTAGAATAAACTTTAAGGGAAGTTGAATAGATTAGAACTGAAAGACTAGTAACAGCTCATCAGCGTTTTCCGCCTTGTGTGAATTGTTTATTGCAGTGACTTCAATATTGGTTTGGAAGTTAGGTGAGAGCCAGCAATTTTATGAGGAACCCAACATGTGTAGCCTTGGTATCCCCCAAATTGTGTTGTGTGGTAAGCCAGTGATGTGTAGCTAAAATATAAAGCCTTTTACAGCTTTTCAATCGTGTAATTTAAAGCCACTCTTAGAGCTAGGGGTTACCAGAAATGTCTTTGGCCATTTTGCCGACTAGCAATTGTCAACTGTTTCTCTGTCTTCTCTTGCACAGATTGAGGTTTTTGGTTAAAAAGTGGCAGAAGGCCACCAGAAAAGGTCAGCTGCCTACAGCTGTTGTAAATGGAGCTGAACACAGCAAGGGTAAGTGGCTAACCAGTTATGGTAGTATGAAAAATAAGAGGTGAATGTTAAGTGTATATCCAAGTCCCTACGATTATCATTTTTCATTGTAACGAGTGCATTCTAGGAATTTTATAAACATTACTCTTTAAGGTTTTTATAAAGTTATAGACCTCAATACATCCAATTCAATTCAACTCAACTTTTTATACTTATACGGGTGCATAGGGAAAAGTGTTTCTCATTAGTCTCTCAGGTGCGGTATATAAATAGAACAGAAGACAAGACAATAGAAAGTAACACAATAACAGTGTAATCAAAAACAGTGCAAACAGAAAAGTATACAATGGACAAAAACGGTGCAAGAGTAATTTGTGAAATAGTGCAAAAATAATACCGTGCTTAATAAATATTACAACTGTTACAATTTCGGCTTACATTCAGTTGTTGTGTATATAGTGGTGTTGGAGTACAGTCATTGTGGGTATAGGAAGAAGTGAGGAGAGATCATAGTATGATGGGAGGGAGTCGGGGCGTCACTAGCTTGACAGCTCTGGGGAAGAAGCTATTTTGGAGTCTTGTTGTGTGCGACTGGAGCATCTGGAACCTTCTGCCAGATGGTAGGGGGACTAACAAGTTATGAGGGGGGTCAGACATAATTTTGGTGGATTTTTTCAAACTTCTGGTGGTGTAGATTTCCTGGATGGATGGTAAGGCACTGCCAATGATGTGTTGGGCAATTTTAACCACCCGCTGCAGTGCTTTACGGTCGGTGCAGTTGCCGTACTAGACCGTGATGCAGCTGGTCAGTATGCTCTTCACCGTACATCTGTAGAAGTTGGTGAGGATCTGTGGATGCAGCAAATTTTCTTCAGCCTTCTCAGGAAGTACAGCCGCTGTTGTGCCTTCTTGATGTGACTGGAGGTGTTGAGTGCCCATGTGAGGTCCTTAGAGATGTGAACACCTAGGAATTTGAAGTTATTCACCATCTCCACCGCAGACCCTTCGATGTAGATAGGGGAGTGGGCTTTTCCTTGTCTCCTGAAGTCAGCGATCAGCTCTTTGGTTGTGCTGATGTTGAGACATAGGTTGTTGGTTCAGCACCAGTCTGCAAGTTGTTTTATCTCCTCCTCCCTGCAGACAGTCTCATCCTACAGGCCCACGACTGTGGTATCATCAGCATACTTGATGATGGTATTTGTGCTGAACTTGGCAGTACAGTTGTGGGTGAACAGGGAGTAAAGCAGTTGGCTGAGCACACAGCCTTTAGGGGCACCAGTGTTAAGGGTGAGTGTGTTGGAGGTGAGGTTGCCAATCCTGACAGTCTGGGGTCTGCTGGTGAGGAAGTCAAGGATCCAGCTACAGAGGGTGGTTTCTAGACATAGAGCCCTGAGTTTGGTAGCAAGTTGTATGGGTATGATGGTGTTAAATGCTGAGCTAAAGTCAATGAACAGCATTCTTGTATAGGTGTTCCTTTTATCCAGATGGGTTAGTGTGGTGTGTAAAGGTATAGAAATTGCATCCTCTGTGGAGTGGTTTGTGCGATAGGAAAACTGGAGAGGATCAAGAGGATTTGGACTGATGGCTTTAATGTGTGGAGTAAGTAGTTTTTCAAAGCACTTCATTATGATGGGGGTGAGTGCAATAGGCCGGTAGTCTTTCAGGCATGTGGGGGCTGATTATTTAGGTACTGGCACGATGGTGGTCATCTTGAAGCAGCTAGGTACAGTAGCCTGGGCCAAGGATATGTTGAAGACGTCAGTACAGACATCAGCTATCTGCCAGGCACATGTTCTGAGTACTAGGCCAGGGATACCATCAGGTCCAGCAGCTTTTTGTGTGTTCACTCTACTTAGTGATTTCCACACATGTAGCTTGGCTAGTGTGGGGGTGGGGTGGCAGGGGAGTCAGTGGTCCAGGTGGTTGGTTCAGGGTTATGAGCTTCGACGCGTGCGTAGAAGGTGTTAAGCTTGTTTGGAAGAGAGGGGTCATTAACTTTACAGGGCTTGTTTTGTTCTTGTAGCTTGTGATTGTATTTATGTCTTTGTCTTCTTGGTGTTGTAGTGGTGTTTTATCTAGGATTTGTAGTGTTTCTTGCCAGATTTTATGCCAGCTCTTACATGGACTCTGTAGGATGAAATGCACATCCTACATTGGGCATCGTGGACTCTGGCAGTACAACAGCTCAATATGGGAAATATTAACGTGAGATAGAAATCTTTGGTTTATCATGCATCATCTGTTCAGATGTGGTCAGAAGCTGTCGCTTCACTCATTAGTCTGTCATGAAATTTCCCAAAGAAATGTAATAAGATAAGCATATGTCTCAATCTTATGTTTACAGCTTTTCTCAGTGCATGAGGAAACTGTAGTATAACAGTATAACATCTGCATTAAAAATCATAACTTCATTTTTGCAGTCCCTGGCATCAGAACTGAAGTGCTGAGACCGCATCACTCTGGCCTCGTCTTCAACTCTCCGCCCACTCGAGACTTCGGAGTTCACCAGAGGAGTCTTGTTTCACAGGTGGTCTCTTCACCCAAATCACCTTTCAGGCTTCATAACCGGTAAGAAATCTGCAAAGTCGCAAGTTAGAGACTCTGGTCCTTCTGATTTTTTCTTTCCCTTTGTGCTTTTACCTTTATCTTTTAACTGTTACAATAAGGGATCATGTACTTGTGACTTATGGACATTTGAATTTGTAAGGCAGTGCTTTGGAAGAATTTATGAATTTTGTAATTACCTCAGGGTATAGTACAGTAGTTTGTGTAGGTAACATTTATGGGGATTCACATTATTGAAGTGCATGTCAGCACAGTCCTATTTGATTTCAATATTCAAAGGGCACAATACCTGCTGAAGTTCATCAATAGCTCATGGAGCCATTTGGATCCCATGTAATCCCATGGTTACTGAAGACATGGCCTCTATTTTCTTAGTTTCTCTGAAGGAGCACCCCTCACCCTGTAACTGTTGGTGTTAGCTATTTAAATGCTCCATGTAGCATCTGCTTAATAGAAAGCTTGGCTCTTCTACACTTTCATTTAAGCTAAGAATAAACATCTAATTCAGAATATGCTATAAACATTAAGTGGTTTGACTGAAATGATGGGTTTTATAATCTACAATTTATGTACAAATGCATAATGTGTAAAATTAGTGCTTACACATCTGACCTGGCAGATGTCTTGCAGAAAACAATTTACATGTGGCCTCTTTCATTTGCTTTAGTTTACCTTTAAGCAACAGTCTATACCCACAGGACTGACTTGAAATGTTAAAGTTAGGCAAAAGAAATGCCTTGGAGTATATAATTCTTAATTCTGGTCCAGTTTTGGTCTTTCCTTAGATTTTAAAGACCTGTGCTATAAATCCATGTGAACTCTTTACCTCAGGTCTTGCCCTAGTTCTATCCTGCTGAAAGCCGATCAGTCCCACAGTCCATCCCATGACCCAGAGCACTCCCTGACAGAGTACATTCATCACCTGGAGGCCATACAGCAGCGTCTCGGGGGTCTGCAGCCAGGTGAGGAGAGGGAACCAAAATAAACCCAAAGAGATAAAATTGAATAGATTTTCAACCTAATAATCACATGGGGTGCGAATTATGACATGAAGGTTACTTTTTCCTTATGATTATCTGCTTTCTGTGAAAATTACTATTGTAATCTTTAATACATTGTACTTTGACCTTTCAAAATATTAAGTTGAATAATTTGTGAAATTACCAAATATTAGTTGTTCGGTGATGTTTTATCTAAAAATCAAAGCATTTTAGTTTTCTTTTTTCCAGGTAAAAGTATTTTTGAATTCCGAGTTCCCCTTTGCAGATTTTTAATGCGTTACTATGCGTCAGGTAGTGTCATTGGTATGATTGGCTGTTATGGGATTGGTTGTTTAAGAACTATAGAGTGTCTGCTACCCTTTTTCCAGTTCAACTCAGGTGAATATCTTTTGAATCACTCCCAGTTTTGCAGGATTGCTAAGAAATTACATGTTTCAAAAGACCAAATTTGTGTGAACATTTGCTTATCTGGACTATAATGGTTTATACAAGAGTCAGTCTAAATCCTTGATCATTTTGGCAGTTTTTGTAAGTGTGGTAACCTTTTTTTACTTTAATACATTGCCATCATCTTCTGCAGGCTCTCCTGCTGGGCTTCCCTACTCCAGGAAATCTAACCGATGAAGGAATGTTGAAGTGCCCTCGGTTTAGTCTGTAGAAGCTTCTTTATCACTGTATATGTAATGAACAGCAGATTTTTAATAACTTTTTTTAGTTGTATCTTTTAAATTGCTGAATCTGAACTTGCCCAAGAAAATTGAATCACTTTGAGGGGTTGATATGAAAGGTTTGAAGGACTGAAACCTGTTTTTGTTCTGTAAATATTTACCTGTTTTCTTAATGCCTGTTTACTACACTTATTGCACATGTTCTATAATTTTGTAAATGAAGCCAAATAGGTTGATCACTGTTTGAATGCACAATGTTTAGCACAAAGGTTTTATTTTTTAAAATTATTTTTTATGTTGGCATTTCTACTAAATAAATATTTTAAAGACAATAAATCTTGAAACTGGTGGTATTGTCATTGAGTAATAAGTGTATTTGTTCAGAACCTTTGACAAAGTATTTTTCATACATCAGTAATGAAAATACCCTTATACTTTAATAGTATTCTATCCTTTTTATCCATGTACTGATTTCTAAAAAAACTGCACGGGAGGTGAAGCATATCTGAGAAACCTAGTATTTTCCCTACTGTGGCTACATGGTTCTGGTAGATAAATTGCCTGCCCTGTGCCCTAAGATTGCTTAAATGTTCTCTGCACAAAATCGAGAAACGATCCATTTCTGAAGTGACATTTTTTATTGAAGTTCAGAGATCCTGAGGAATTTGACAGGGGTTGAGGGGTAAGTTCTTCTGTTTGTTGCGGGTAAGTCTCGTAACCAAATCCATCTTGATTTTTCCATTTCTTACACAAGGCCACCTTATGGAGGAAATGCAAATAAAAAAAAGTTAATCCAATTAAGGTGCTTCAGTATTTAAATCTCACTTGACTAAAAGGCATTGGGCAAGTATATTCTAAACTCTTCCTGAGGGTGTATGCAGTCTAGGGGATTTCAAACCACAAACTAATTTACTTCCTTAGAGGTCTTAAGCAGTTGAAAAGCATCTAATTAAAAGTTGTATGGTCATGGTCTTGATGGCTGTCAGAGGTGGTCATCTGTGGAACTTGTCCAAAATAACTAGTAGTTCAGGTTACAAATGGCATTACGAGAGAGGAAGGGAAGTCTAGATGCGTTTCTTACCACATTTGTAGAGGGTATTTATTTTCAGTAGGTCAATGGAACTGGGGCCTTCTCTCTGTCCAATTGGAACATTAGGGTTCGGTTTGGGGACAATTGTAGGATCACCATCCTCTGAGAAAGCGTATCTGCATAAAAACATTTCAGTGTAAAGTTGAGATGTTCAGCAATTATCAGTGCTGAATCTACACCAATAGCAATGATGACCTGTATGACAAGTATAATGACAATTGTCCAGCTCTTAGACACTTCATATGCTCCTACATTCACCTAGCTCGTCATGGTGACCTGAGGAATGCTGTGAATGTATCAGAATTCCCATAATTCACTCAACAGTGTTGATTTTTATGCATTTTATCCACTGACTAGTTTTGCTGTGTCACTGGGGGGGGGGGGTATTATTGGATCGTAATCTGTAAATCCAAGGCTCCATTGAAGTAAAACTGAATCTTGCTATCTTGAAAATTCCTTTGCTATGATTCATTTATAAGTTAACAAGTATATTCAATTTTATGTAGAATATTTTATTCAAGACATTTTATTAAAACTAAGCCATTTCTTTACTGTTACAAGCACTGGAAGCTTAGTTCCAGTGCTGCAATTTCTATTTATGTCAGGATGTCACTATAAACTATAATGACTTTTGACAGTTTTAAACCTAAAACCATAATAAACTCTTGCTACTTCATCTCCTCCTGTCTTTACAATCTTTTAGAAAAAGATGTGCTTAATGGTTAGTTGCCTTCAGTAAACAGTTTACTGTTTTTCTGCAACTTAATCCTTCTAATTCACTCTTTCTTTACCAGGAATCCACATTTCCTTTTATGGCGATACTTACTTTCCATAATGCATGATAGATCCATAGTCATAGGGAGTATTCAGATTGTTTGTGTTGTACTTCTCAAAATTATAATTCCTGTCTGTGGGGACAAAATACAAGATGACAGCTGTTAGTTTTTTTTATTCTGAAAATATTTTCTGGGTTCTGTGAAACTGACAGAGGATTATGCTGTTCTGACCTTTCATGATGTTTTCCCACATGATGGTAACATGGTTGTCTCTGTCGGAGCGAGACTGTTCATGGACGAAGCCCAGAGCGTGCATGAGCTCGTGGGAGGCAATTCCGGACCACATGCAGCCTGGTGCCTGCAGTGAAAGTGGCTGGGCTCCACCATTGACACCAAGGAAGGACCAACAGCTGCATGATAGGATATAAACACCATGGACTTTACAACTGTTTCAACTGCTGCGGTTATTTATAAATGCTAAAGTTAATTGTGAAGATTTCGAATTAGATGGTAGTTACCCCTATGACAAACATTTTGAATGGTTTTATTTTAAATGGATATATTTTTCTCTATAATTCTTTCCCACTGACCAGTAAAACTCGTTTTAAGAAAGGGCTCACCCGAATTTAGGCTTAATGTCCAGATAGTTGGTCTCATGGCTGCGTGGAACAAACTTCACGCAGGTGCCACTGGAGATGTCCTGCATTCCCATCTCAACGGTTATTCTGTCCATGTCGTCTGTGAGATTAGAATAGCAGACTGATAGGCCACTCTCTGTACAGCTGAATGCTTCAAATATACTCTGAGCATGAGAAGAAACTTAAGTGCTTATAATGGCAAAGAATTCAGTTTTCAGAAAATGTTTTTTTGAAGCAGATGCACTATTTTATTGAACAGTCATAGGTAAGGTCATTATAAAAATGACAATTATTCATAACCAGAGATACTGCTGTGAAAGTAAGCATTAGTAATTATATGTAAGTGCATTAAATACTGAGCACAGGAGGCAATTTTTAAAGTAAAGGGTTGTGGGAATATGAAATAAACTAGACAGCCATACTGTTGAAGCTTATAGGTATTAGAGGAATACTTGAGCTTCTTAAAGTAAATGGTAAAATGAAATTCTTTTATCAATAAGCTCCTGGCTACCAAATAGAATAGCTGAACCAATTACCTTTTCTCATTTGTAACTATTCTAATGTTTTAATTCACAGGCTATTAGTGTTCATTGCCAAACCACATCCATACAATGCAGGGTGCAGATACTGTCTTGTCGGATTCTGTTCCATTCCTCTGGGAGATTTGAGAACGCATGAGCTGGTCACTGAGCGCTATGACTACACAATGTCCCAGCTCCTCCAACAAGTAAATGGGGCTCAGGTCTAGGACTAGGCGGTCTATGTCATAGTCACATTTTTATCTGTCAATGCTGTTACATGTGCAGCAAGAGGATGCGTGCTGTTCTACAGGAATGCTGTAGGGTGAGGATCAGCCCATGGGAAGGACAGAAATTGAGGTCCAAGGACATGAGCAATGTAGCGTTCTTTAGCATTTAGAAACCCAGACCATCTCACTTGAACTTGAACTGGGGAATTGAAACTTCCCCATCAATTAGTATATCATTCATTATATCTGTGACAAATTCCTTGATGTCCATCTGCTTAGTTTACACAAAGCCTTAATTCATTGCTAAAGAGGGCTACTGCTGGTGAGTTTGGATGGTTCATGAGATGATTTAGTGATACACTCTTGATCAAGGGTATCATGGTCAGTCATGGATGATCCATCAATTCATTTTCTAATCATTTCCTCAAATTGAGGGTTGAGCTGGATATTGGCAAGCAATGGGTGCAGAACATACAGTAGTACACCCTGGAGAGGATGCCAGTCTATCACAGGGTAAACACACAGAGATGCAAAGACTTATACCAGGGCCAATTAACCTGCCAGTATGTTTTTGGACTGTGGATGGAAACCATCAGGGACATGGAGATAACATAAACACTCCACAGAAACCTCACCCCAGGCCTTGAACTAAACCCAGTATGCCAGTGCTGTGAGGCAGCAATTCTAACCACTCTGCTACAGTGGCACCCTATCATGAATAATTTCTTAATCAAAATCAATCAGAAAACATTATCCAAAATCTGTGTATGTTTCCAAAAACATGCATACTGTTTATAGGGCAATAACCTTCTCTTGGTGCTCAGTTTACTTCATGCTCATAAAAACAAAGCTTATGTATCTATTTTTTTCCAGAGCAGAGAAATGGAAGCTGTAGTAGTTTGAATGGGAAGCTGCATCAGTGTAGGTTAGCTGCAAAGGAAGAAATAGAGGTAAATTGTATGCTGAAATGAAGCAAGAAAATACCAAGTTTTGTCTAGGGAACCTGCGATAGGTGTCTTCACACGTGTTTCATAGTTTTTTTCTCTTTTCTCTATGTAATGAAACTACTTAATTATACCATGAAATATATACTAATCTACTACTAAATAATAATAACTACTATATAAATAAACTACTCTGTAAAAACAATAACTTGCATGGGATGAAGATAAAACTATTGCCAAAAATACTTTCAGTGATAACCCAGCTAAAGCAAAGAAATGTAAAAATGATCTTGTTTATGTGCAAATATTAAATAAAATGATGTAGTTAAGGAGGCCTGAGGCTTGATACCTGGAAGATTCTGGTTTGAACTTTGGCTTTGCGCAGACTCACTACATGTTAGTTTGCTCAAGCTGACTCCTGTAGGATTTTTCTCCACTTAGCAAATGCTTTCCAAATGTAGCTGAACAACAGCAGCAGTTTTTAAAGCATAGCTCACAATCTGCAGCATGTCTGCTGGATGGGGTAAAAATATCTGCCAAATGACTTCCATCCATCCATTTTCTAAACCACTTTATCTAATAGAGGGTCGTGGGGGAGCCAGAGCCTATCCGGGCAAGCAGAGGGTACAAGGCAGGACACACCCTGGCTCTTAGGCCAGCACTGTGATTATTTCTGTGCTCTAAATTCACTCGGAAGTTAAAGCACCTTGGAGGAACAGCTATGGGGAAAGCGAGTTGATATACTTACTGTAATCCGGAGATATGATGTAAGGCACGTACACATAGCCATCTACAGACTTCGGCCAGAGACAACTATTCCCCTCGCAGATAATTGCGCTGCGTTTACTGGGCACGGCGATGTCTCCTTCTTTAAAGGTTAAGCCTGCATGTTTCGAGGACACTGCATGCACACAGAGAGTAAAAAATTGCATGGATTGCATCATAGTTGGGAGCACCTGGAAAATCTTCACAGAGCATCTCTTGGCCTGTATGGTGATTTGGTCATTTCATTGCCTGAAATATTCACATTTCCCAAGTTGTTTTTTTTTTTTATAGTGCCATTTGTGCTCATGACTTTCTGAAAACAATGTTAGAGCTCTCAAGACCTCTTTCCTGTTGCTGTATTCCACTTTGCAAAACAATAAATATTACCAAGAAAACAATGTGCTATTTTTCGTGTCTGTTTTTTCTGAAACCTCTTACTCTACTACCATTTGACCAGCTGCTGTACAGGACACCCTGCTTGACTCTCCTGATCCAGGCAGCTCTTGGCCAGCTCCAGACTACCCTTAGAGGAACACCAGCCAAAGTTGTCTTATGATATACAGTAGCCTTGATCTGAACACCTCTAGACCATTAAACCCAACCTGCTGTCTGCCAGAAGACCTTTGCTGGCTAAGTCAGTGTATTCCATTATTTGCTTGTATCATTCATTGGTACTTTTTAAATTTTCTGTCTTTCACTGCAGTGCTGCCTTTCTCTGGTCATTTTTGTGTATTCTGATGCTACAACTACAGTATGCTTTTTCTCCAACAATGTAAGAGTTTGATTCTATGTAAGTATTTCACTTACGATGATATTCATTTGTCTCCAGGATTTTGTCCATTGCATTCATGTCATTTTCAGCCACGCGCTCTCCTGTGTGAGAAAAAAAGGTTTTCTTACAGCTTTTTTTTCTGCTAGCACAGTCTCTGATGCTACTTGTTATAACTCTTTAAAAATTCCACTCTTATATAGTAGCAGTTATGACAATTGTTTTCATCCACCTATCACGATCAGTTCAATTGTCACTTCACATGCAAAATATGTTGCATAAAGGGACAGAATAATCTCAAGTCATTGTTTAGCTAGTGACATTACTGTCATTATGTTTGGCTCAATGAGTGTGTCACTTGCTAAAATTCACTCCCACGTGTGTGCTTGTCCTGTTGTGCTGTTGTGTCTTAGTTAAAGTTCTGAAGGACTTATAATGCTCATCAGCAGCGACAGACATCAGTGGAAGGTGGTGTCTCTCCTGCAGTGTCAGTGAAGGAGTACCTAATTTACTTTTTCCAGAATGGAACTGCTGAGAACTGTATGTATAGAAATGATGCTGGACCCGAACAATGACTCACATGTACAGTAAGTATAAATATTGACATTTTCCCTCTGATTTAACTAAACTCCCTTCACTTGACAATGCTGGTTCCTGCTTAGGTGGTATTTTTCTGACACAATGAGATGAACAAAGCCAGCCAGCATGATATCTTTCTCTGTATCAACAAGGAATTACAGTACCTGTGTGTTTTGTGCTCGCTATACTGTAGGTCTATAAACAAAACTGCTGTTCATAGTGTGTTTCTACCTGGGAATCACCAAACATACTGGGAAAAACATTTAGGGTCCCTGTTCCTACTCAGAAAAACAATTCTTGAGAAATGTTGCAGAAAAGTAAAGCTCCAAAAAAAAAACACCCACTTTGTTGTTCACCCTGTGTGTTTTTAAAGTATTTGTGTAATTTACAGATTTGTTCTTTGTTTTCCCTTTTTCTGTTAATCTGTATGAGTTTTTCCCAATCTTCTCTGTTTCTGACTAGTCTATGCTGTATGGAGTTTGCTTGTCTGATATGTGATAGATTAATAAGGCTGGTATTAGTTTGGCTGGACCAACAAATACTTAAAAAAAATACCCTTCCACCTTGACTTTGAAAATTGTCAATCAAAACTAAATTTGAAGACAAGCAGTTACCTGAATATCCTCTTTTAAACCTGTGATTTTCTGTAACAGACGAATTCTGTGAAGGAAACATGAGACAATTTACAAACAGGGCAATGTCGAATGAGGTTTTGATTAAAGAAGATACAGGCATGGCTTTTATTAGTTGACATTAACTACCTTGTGGTTCACCCAATACTGTATCTTGTGAGATTATTTTCATATAACTGCCTTTCATAGAAATATCATACCAAAGAAATGTGAAGACAATTCCATATATATAGAATGTATATCAATTAAGTGCATTAATTTATTCAACACAATTTGCACAGCAGCCAGTGTCTCTTAAAACCTAAAATGGAACAAACCTTCTATGAATTGGAAGTTTTATTCTCATCCATGAAACAGCAGTGATAATAAAGTGTACTTTACCTGAATAGGAAATGCATAAATGGATGCCACGAGGCCCAGGAGGATGAAGATCATGGTGGAGTTCATTGCACAGCACCAAACAGGTCCAACTCCAGCTGTACTGCTCTGGGTCTGTCCCAGCTATGGCCATATATACTCCTCTCAACCCTAAGTGCTTTACAGGGGATTTGCTGATGCGCGACTTTCCTACAAGTTTCAGACAAGTGACTTGCATTGCACCTATCCTCCAATTGTCACCTACAGATCATGAAGTCATGCTGATATTAACATAGGCCCTAATTACAACTGCTGTGAGTCAAAACTCACCTTGAGAAAGGGGCTTTGGGATTATACCACACCCTGTAGAATAAGCATTTTTTAAAATGGGAATTGGGTGGATTTTTTGATCCATCTTCTCCGATTAGTGTGACGTGGTCTTATACTACTAACTTGCTGCTTATGCAATGTTCCATTTGCTTCATATAAACATTATTTTTCATTTATCTTTCTAGTTGATCTGCTTTTCCACTATACATAGATTTGTTCTAAAAGTTAGTTTTATACCATTTGGAAAAAAATATACAGGATCAGTCTGATCTCCTTATTTATCATTGCCTGAATGAGTACAACAGGGGTTCTTTACAGAAACTGCAAAAGATCTTCAGATAAAATGGCCTCCTGTTAGAATTGTACTCATGTTTTCACGTTCTTATCTCCTTCTTATCATGACCATTTCAATTTAATGATCAAACACTGTGGTTCTGAAAAATATAGTTCTCCCACACATGGCAACAGAACTTTGATTCTGTGAGTCCTTTTTATGGTAACATGTCCCATACCATAAGCAGTAAATTACAATTCCTGAATTTTTAAATTATTTTACTGGGTGGGGGTGCCCCCAACTAGCTCTGTTGGTAGAGCATGAGACTCATAATCTCAGGGTAGTGGGTTCATGTCCTGTGTTGGGCACAAGGTTCTGCAACCAAAGAAGTCTCCAGTCATGACAGTTCCCCATACTACTGGACCCAGGCTCCTAAGGTCAAGAGAGTGAGACAGCCCCAGTGCAACAGCTTTCCCACTTAAAATAAGTTCCCACACAGGTCTCAGTCATCATCGGACACGATAGACAACCAGCCAAGACTGGATGGGGACAAAGGTTACCATACTTCTGCTTTTACTGTTAACATGTTGCCAAGATTTTAAATAAGGAAAGAAAATGTATACTGTAGATAGGTAATATAACTGCAGTAAAGATACATGGTGATGAACAACTTTGTATAACTGGAACCCTGCTGCTTTCTTTTTAAATGTCCCCCAGTCTGTGTGTTATCTCTTCTCTATGTCCCTTCCCAATGTAATTCCAAGACAAGGGTTGGTTCTTCCACAAATCTGTCTACCAAGACTAGTGCTGGAATAATTCACGTGGACTTGCTGCACACTTTCCATGGATGGCAAGATTATTCTACACCTTAATGTGGCTTTGTAGTTAAGTCATACTTAGGTTTTGTATAGCATTGCTGAATACAGTATTTTATAGACTGAAAACTGATTAGGTAAGGCACTCTGAAAGTCTACATACCCTTTTATAATGTTTCAAAATCATCTAACCTTTCAAAATTTTACTTTATTACTGACATTTGCCTTTAGTAACGCCCCATGAAATCATTGTGCTTACAGTGAAAGAAAGAAGCAGGTGATGTTGATGATGGTGATGGTGACCTATTGAAGGAGCTGCCCACATCAGAGTAAATTGTTTCCTCCTGTCTTTCATGCGCAGCAGCTGCTCCTGAGTTAATCTCAGCAGGATGTGCCTGAGCTTGGAAAAAATGGGACTTCTATACATTGGTGCCCAAGACAGTGAGCTATAATTATTATTGGGTTGTTGCTGCCCTGGAAACAATGTTAGTTGGGGGAGCCTACGGTCATTTTAATAATGGAAATGAACATAAAGTAACAAACTGACTGGGGAGAAGTCAGTAGAACACCATTTCAAAAATAACTGGGGCCAATGTCTTCAAAATAATTTTATATAAAAGGGGGCTTTTGGTTGCTGTTTTGTGTATGTGTGCAATAAATGTTTTGTGTATGTGTGCAATAAACTTTGAAACTGGAAATAGAATTTCTAAGTAGAGAATTTGGGGAAAAAAATCTTTAAGAGCTGTATGTTTAAAATGGTATTTGGTGGCACTTGGTTGATTTATAAGGCTTTCTGCCAAGGTAGTGGAAACCCAATACTGTGTTGTGTGCTGGAGATCTTACAAATGCCTTTATTGATTTGTGCCCCTTTATCTCAGAACAACCCCCCCCAAGATACCTTGATATTCTCTGATGAATGGTGATGAGGTGTTATTTAACTTATAGAAATTACTGGAAATCAAGTGGCAATATGTCTATTAGACAAAGATTTCAGGATTGTAATCAATCTTTGTTACTATACGCAAGTTCAGGTTTTTCCAATCATGATTCTTGTCTATCACCATTCTTGTTCACAGTGGAATCCCTGAGGAATTCATGGGATTAATATAATTTTTGGTGTCTAAACTAGTCCTTTATTAAAAAAACATACATCCTTTTATTTTCTCTATGATCATGTCTTTTTCTGGTGCCTGTTTCTGTCCTAAAGATTTGGTGACTGAACAGTGTTGTATAACCTGTACTATAAAAAAGAACTACTGGGTGGACTCCAGCTAAATAGTGAAGGTTACTGTACATAAGCTTGAGGTTTGACTCTTTCTGAAGACAGCAGGATCTTCAGAACACCTAGAACTTTTATCCTTAATATCACACTGATCCATAAAGCAAGTTTTTGATCTAAAGCTTTCAAAGGTTATTGAAACCAACATATTACATGTGCCATTTAAGAATACTAAACCATGAACAACCACTGTTTTTTATCACAAATGTGCTTATTAAATAACATGACAACAAAGATGAAGGACTTGTGGTTGTATGTTTTCCATGAACCTCATTTCTGCACTCACTTTGAGGATTGTAGACATGCTATAAAATTGCTGTGCACAAACACCTTTAGTAGCTGTCTGTGAGAATAAGCAGTTCATTACACTACCCCATTATTATTCGCTTATAAAATAAATCCACTAGCTTTGTAACAGTTTTTTCCAATGTTATGTGTAATATTTGCAGTAATGTGTGCTATTTTGTGCTATAAGACAGACATTGGGTGTGGGTCAAAATGTGTTTGTGATAACAGTGTGGTACTGCTTAGCTCAGCTGGGCCCTTATTTTAGTGTTTTCCAACCATTACCTATGAAAACACGTGTAGGTGGGCTGGTGGAGTGTGCCTACTGTTCCTCAATCTCCATGTGTGTGGTCATGGAGTTTGTAGCTGTTAGCAAAGACATGAAAAATACACAAGTAGCGGGCATAACAAAAACAACTTGAGATTCGAAATGAAAATAAAACAACAGACATGATCTGAGATGAGGCATGAAAATCTTTATTGACTAGTTGATAATTTAGCACTGTTCTAATAACTCTGTTCTAAATAAGATAGTGTTTTTCTGCTACTAGCTCTTCTTTAAGGTCTCATGGGTGGGCCTCGGGTTAGATTCTGTCTTGCTGCTTTGTCCTGTTACAAGTCTTTATCTGTAAAAGAAAGGGAAAGTAGCAGTATTATGAATCAAAAGAATATTTTCAACCTTACTGCTACTTTTAACTCAGGTCTTTGACTTCACACTCATTTAAAAGGAAAAACAGCATTCAGAACTACAGTAATGGCAAATCTGGAAAACCTATGGATGTTAGGACTTCTATACTATATAAAGGCAACACAGGCAATCAGACTGCATACTCAAATGTCAGACCTTCTACTCCAAACACCCTTTAAGAAGAAGAAGTTGGATACTGTTCAAAGAGAAGGAGGAGTTTTGCACTTAGGAGCCTTTTTAAAAACTGTGTCTTGATACACAAAAATACCAGTGAATACTATAGAATCTTTCCAATAGTGTCAAGAAGCAGCCAAATGAACAGGTGAATCCACAAAAACACATAAGCATATTTGCACATTAATTAATAATGCTGTCTGACTGAACAGCATGAGAATGCTCTTTTTCACCTAAACTTCACGTTAAAAATAAACTTTTTAGTTAATTTGTTTTCTGAATTTTTTCATGATAGGGTGAAATCTTAACACCTGAATCAGAGACATAGCTAGCCAGATTAAACTAACAAAACAAAGTTAAACTATTTTGAAAATAACATTTTTTACTTATCATCACAGAAATCGTTGTTCTAAGTTTATTTTTACAAAAATGGAATCAGACTGTTTTGAAGACTGTCCTGAAATATAAACAAATCCTTAAACTTATATAGTACTTTTTACAGTGCTGTGTATCCAGCACTCCACTCAGAGTACTTAACTAGGGGTGGGGACTCCCTTCCACCACCAATTTAGTAGCACCCTCCTGATGATGTAAGAGCACCAATGTGTGCTGACACCACATCAGATATCAGTGGAGAGGAGAACAGAGTAATGAAGCCAGTTCTTAGATTAGAATTTTTAGGGGGTTGTGATTAACCAGGACAGCAGGGTTAACTCCCTTACTCTTTCCGAGAAGTGCTCTGTGATTTTTAATGGCCACAGAAAGTCAGGACCTTGGTTTTATGTCTCAGCTGAAGGGCAGTGCCTTTTACACTAAAATGTCTTATAGCTGCATTAGGACCCACACAGACTGCAGAGTGAGCTCCTCCTGCTGGCCCCACTAACACCTCTTACAGCAGCAACCTTAGTTTTTCCCAAGAGGTCTCCCATCGAGGTACTGGCCAGGCTCACACCTGCTGAGCTTCAGTGGGTTGCTAGTTGTGAGTTACAGGGTGATATAGCTGCTGGCTGGCTTTTGACTGGTAAGACCTCTTTTTCGTCAATGTGAAATCAGTTTTCATAGCAGTTTTGTGTATTTAGGACTAGACTTGCAGAAGCAAGGGAGTGTTTTGTTACTCTGTGTACCCACCGCATTTGTAGAGCTTGTTGATCTTCATTATATCAACAGCACTTGGGCCAAACCTCTGGCCGATTTGAATGGCTGGATTGGATTTTGCAAGAATAGTTGGGTCGCCATCCTCAGAGTAAGCATACCTGCATCAGAATAGAAAAATTATTCACTCTGCAGTAGCCCATTGCATCCTGACAGCTTGAAGCGGAAAAGTTTGGTGAAATGCAACTTATTCCTTTAAAATCCCAGCACACTTTTCAATTTGTAGGTTTGAAAACATATTTCAAATTTAACTATAAGAAAAACAAACTAACAAGAGAGGATCTAGTGTTCTAATTTTTCAGTTATATTATTGGTCTGCCCAGTTAAAGCACATGGTTTGTTGGCACATGATAGGTCTTACTAACTCTTTGAGTTAGTACAGAATCAATAGCATGTTATCCATTACCCATGCAATCCCTCCCCTTTATTTATAACTTTAATCAGTTCTGGAGTTTGTCAGATAAATTTGGAGTATATAATACCACTGCATAGCACCAGAAAGATAATTTTCCTGTGTCTTTTCACAAGAAATCAGGAATTTTTCCTTTTGATCAGAAAGATCAGGACATTTTTCTTTTGATCAGAGTTTTACAAATTTCTCCAATTACATTTTGTCTCTTAATTAAAGATTATAGATTGACATTTTGTGCTCACAGAGATCAAAATAAGATTGGTACCTCCTGGTGATCAAAATTACATAGCATATTGGTAAATAACTGTAAATATTATACTGTACAACCCTGAAGTCTATATGGGAGGGAGATTTTATGCTTTCTTTTAGACTGGTCCAAAGTGCACCTCTATTGTAATACAAAAGTTTAATTTAAAATTTATCAACACATTCTTTCTTACTCCAGCCTGCTTACAAAATATGCACCCATATAGACTAACCAGTGTTTTAAATGCTGCTCTCAGATAGGTACCTTCATTCACTTATTATGTTTATGTGATAAAATTAAATGTTACATTGCATTGTATCATTGAAAAAACGTAAGGTAAACATTTTACTATGTCTGCAGACTTTTACCTCCAACAAAGTGACTATACAGTCAATTTGGACCCAGATTCAGAGTGTTTATTTTCTCTGTTTGTTCACTTTGCAAAGAAATGTATTTTGTTGCTGTGGTCTTTTTTCAAGGGTCTGACTATTGAAATGTGTCTCTCACAGGTAGCTGTAGTTTTACCACTAGAACAGCTGACATACAATCTCTATTTGAGATTCGAGCATTTTCAGATTTTTGATTTAGTCAATCTGAAGGTCTCCACCCGATCCATTGAATTCATTGTATTAGTGAACTCTCCACAGTTCTCTCTCTAACATGTTATTGTGTATTTTTTATTTCCATTTGCATAGATGGAATATTATGTTATTTTGAAAGTGGGTATGCTGCAAATTTGTATATATTGTTAATGTTTAAAAGTAAAAAAAAAAACAAAAGTGAAAATGGAGCAAATTTTGTTGAATTCTCACATACACACAAACACACACCTTCTAGTTTTACATATTTGCCATCCATCCTTTCTCCACAGAGCTTTGTCACTACCATTTTAAAAAAAAACCTTAACATCTCTTAGTGGGGTAAATGAAATAAAAGGCCAATAGTAGGTTTCAGCAATCTTACATTAACTGAAAGTGAAAAGTGATGTGTGATAAAATATATTAAGCATTCATGAAATTACTATCTTTCATTTGTACTGAAAAAATGAAGCTTTATAGCAGTCTGAGTTTTATATCAGGTGAAAAGTTAATAGTAAGAGTAGGGAGTGGTATCAATGTGGGAACTGCAAGGGAACAAGTAAAGTTTATATTCAGAAGTTAAGGAAAATATACTACACAAGTTTTAGCTGTGAAACCTTCCTTAAGTGTGTAAAGAAGAAGCCGATAAAGTAGGAACTAAAAGAAAATATATATAATTTATATAATTACACACAGCTGAAGAAGGCTCCACGGCTGAAACATTGTGTTTTCTTCTTTTTTCAGCGTGGAATAAACCTATTACTTGTTCCTTTGCAGCCTACGCATGCTGACGCACCTACCCACCTGAACATTATTTATGTTAAGTGTTTATTGTATTGAATTTAGGATGTATACAGAGTCTGCTTTTCAAAAAATGCCTTGTTTATACTGCAAGTACTCACTTTCCAAAGTGCATGATGGAACTATAGTCGTAGGGAGAGTCCATATTGTTAGTCTTGTATCTCTCAAAGTTACTCACGCGGTCTGTTAGGGAAAGAGAAGTAAGATTTAAATAATTAATGAAAGTTAAGCAAAGAAGAAAAAAGCAGTTTCCCGGCCTTGGATTTATGGATTTTTTTGGGTTTATGGATTTCAAATAAAGGGAAACCAAAATCCCAGTAGAGCCCTGACTTCTGTCAGGCAAAATTGCAAAAGAGCACATTATTTGAATGTTATTTTTAGGAAGGGTTTAAGGAAAGAATAGTCATGATTTGTTATTCTACCATCAAAGGGGATCCAAAAGTAAATCCCCACTGTCCTGGCGTGTAGCTCTCATTCCCCATCCAAATAGAATTGATCCTAACCATTTCTGCATGACATGCACAGATATGTAAGAGACACAACAACAATGTATTCTCAAAACTAACTCTCGTAGTAAATTGATGCACCAAAAATTCCCTAGAAAGGAAATACAAAAATAAACTTTGGCAAGCACAGTGGTTTTGACACTGATTTTTCAGCTTTTAACCATTGCTCTTTATTAAATAAAATCAGTATTTTCTTATTAAGGTATTTTTCTTCTTTTTTGGAATTGCGAATTTGGAAAGTATAGCCATAGCCGACTCCACATACAAGGATAGCACAAGAAATCAGTTCAGAGTTAGATAATAACATAGGCCAGTGTCATAACAGAGGTCCATAAAAAGTAGAGCTCAATAAAAGGCTTGTATGTTCACTGTGTGGATACCAGTATACAGTATGGTGATTTATGTCTTTTGTGCCATCTTCCCTACCTTTCCAGATGTTACCCCACAGGATGGTGATGTACTTGTCGCGGTCAGCACGCGATTGTTCGTGGAGAAAGCCCAGGGCATGCATGAGCTCATGAGTGGCGACGCCAGCCCACATGCAGCCAGGATTCTGGAGGGACAGTGTCTGTGCTCCACCGTGGACACCAAGGAAGGACCAACAGCTGCAAAACACACAGAGGCACCTGAAGGAGGCAGCTGACAAACTGTAGGAGGATTCCCCAACATCACTCAGAGGGACAGATGCGGCCAGTGCCTTTGTTTTATTTCCGAATCTCTCCCTTAACTGTTATCACAATGATGACTTTCAACAAAGGCAAATTAGTGCTAACTTGATATCAACTGATTTGCTTTTGTGTTCTGGAGCTTCACAAACATGTTGGATTGCTCATTTCGAGTGTCAAATTCACCTAATGGATGTTGACACTAATGCAACAGAATCTTCCATTTTTAAACTGCAACATTTTAACCTTGTTCTTTGAGATGCCAAATTGATATAGTTGGTGTGGAATTTATACAACCACTGCTCAATCTACACAAAATACTTGGTAAATTCATGGAATATGAATGTTTGAAGTATGAATGTAAAAATGCAACCCCAGTTATAACTTGCCCAGTTATTGATAAGCTCCACTAAGCCTGTTTTCTGCCTTAAAAAACGATGAAGATGAAGAGAACCAGGGATGTCCGAATCTAGAGCACAACACTTTTTAATAGCTTTATATCATTTAACTTTCTAATGGCTTCACATCCTTCTTAGAATTCTTCTTGCTAAACACAATCAAACTGTCTGCTGAAAACTTACTTAATCTGTAATGTGATCAATTACATTCATTAACTTGGCACATTGGATTCATACAGTTTTTCTTCCAAATGTCCTGCATATATATAAGTACTGTATCTGTGGGCTCGTAAAACTGTTTTTTAGATTTTCTTCTAATTTAAAGTGCTGACATTTTCAATCTTATTTTTTATATTGATGAAGTGATGCCATTGAAATAATTATGAAAAGGAAAATTAAAAAAATAAATAAAATTAAAAAACAATTCTTCACATGGTTGTTAAAGCGGTATAATAAGAAAACGTGACTCACCCAGACATGGGCTGGATGTTAAGATAGTTCCTCTGGTGTGTCCATGGCACAAACCTGATACAGGTGCTGTTAGAAATACTCTCCATCCCACTTTCAATGATCATTCGGTCAATTTCATCTACAGGACAGATTCATTTGATGAAGCATGTGCTTAAGAGTGCTGATTAACACCAGTTTGTAATAATTATTATCAGCATATAGCTCCTTACAAAACAGAGGACCTCTTCGTAAAGAGATTAAATAATGTGGGTGATTCTTTAGTTTAACAGAAGAGTTGAATTCAATTAAATAATCACTGTTTTCCTTTTTTGTCTGTTAATTAAATATTAGCTCCTTTCTGGGGGCCTTTTAAACTGTGTTTTTTAAGGGAGGATTCTTTTCATAAATCTTACATTTGCTTCTTGCTTTTCGACATCTACAGTATATCCTGAACAACCTCTTTGATCTTTGCTTCCACTATTACAAGTCACTCATGGACTTGAAAGTCCTGCTTGTAGAGAAGATTTTGTAAAGGTTTTTCTCTATACAGAAATGGATTAATAAAACAAACAACAGAATAAACAGGTGTCTTCGCTGCTTTATCCTGCTTTATTTGCAGAAAATAAAATTCAGTAGTAAGCACCCATTGAAATTGTAATGTTTGCATTTTTAGTGATCGAGGCAAGAGAGTATACTTACTGTAGTCTGATGACATGTTATAGGGAACATAGACATATCCGTCTACAGACTTGGGCCACAGACAGCTACGTGCAAAACAGGACATCGATCTTTGTCCCTTTGAGACAGCAATGTCACCTTCTCTGAAGCTCATTCCCGGCATAGGTGGAGCTGCTGCAGTGTACACCAAGTGCATATATATGTATCAGGGTAAAATATATAACAGGCAAAGAAAAATCACCTTTCTTTTATACTGCTAATAGGCTGACGGTTTCTTGTAAACCAATTTATATAATGGCATTTTTCAACACTAAGCAAGCAGTTTCATTGAATAAACATAATAAAAAAATGTCACCTCTTCCTCCTTTTTTTTTCTGCCCAGGATGGACATTTACCTTGATATTCGTTTGCCTCCATGATTTTGTCCATCGCAGTCATCTCATCTTGAGATAAAAGCTCTTCTGAAATAATTGTATTAACACCACAGTGACACATTACATGAGTCTGTGTCTTTTCCTAACACTGCAGCACATTCTGCCACTTGATTAAAAATGATTTAAGAAGAAAGCAACTGCAACAGACATTAATGACAAATCTGATTCCATTTATTCACCCATTTATTCACCCATCTATTTCCTAAACAGTTATATCTGATGGGAGCCAAAGCCTAACCTCATGCGTAATGGGCACAAGGCGGGATATACCCTGGACAGGATGCCAGTCCACCGCAGGGCACAGACAGAAATTATATAATGCATACACTCATGCCACGGCCAATTTACAGAAGCCAATTAACCTACCAGTATGTCTTTGGACTGCAGGAGGAAACCAAACATGAACACAGGGAGAACATTCAAACTCCACATGGATAGCACCCTAGGAACTGAACTCAGGGTCCCAGCACTGTGAGCTAGCAATGCTAACTACTGAGCCACTGTGCTACCCTTCATGAATTAACATGAGGGAATATCACGAGAAATGAAAAATACAAGCATACAGTACATAAAGCACAACTGGCATCAACAAAAGACAGTTCCATAGACGCACAGAAGATATCACGTGTTAGATCCTGAGATGGCTGTTCATAAACAATGTACTTTGAACCAAAGTAAATAGGCTCCGCTTACCCGAAAAGCTTCTTTTAAATCTTTTGGTTTCTTCAATTATGTCAGATGCATTCTGGAAAAGAAATGGAACGGAGACATAAAAATACAAAACTCTTCTGCATCTTTCGTACCAAGAGTGAGGTGCTTTAACCCGATTGCTCAGAAGCAACCCATGATTATGATGTAGACTAGTGTTTCCTGGGAGTAGGCTCTGTGATGTACTGGCATCCCATCTAGGGGGAGTCACGTACTTTCTGTTTACTTAATGCCATGGAAACCAGGCCCAATGGCCTGTTGTGATATGAATACAATCTGCTTACCTCCCTGCGCAGGGAGCAATAACTGATAAACAAACTAAACCTTAGCGATGCAGAGTTGTGTTTATATAACTATAGTTGACATGCATAGCAGAGTTAAATGCATATTGCATTGTGATGTATTATTAGGGTCTTACTTTAGAACTAGAAACTGCCAATTGTGTTTTCCAAAAACACATTAATCAGCTTTTCTGTAACATGCTGCTCAGAATTCAGAGCTGTGTGCTTACAGTTAGCAAAAAAAACCCTATATATAAAGTGTATATATTAATATAAAACATTTGGTTGGCAGATACGTACTACGAAGATCCTCTCTATATATTTAAATATGCAGTGCTCCAAAATACCCCACAGTTTTGTGAGGTATTCAAATGGTAGGAGACATTCCAAAACCAAGTTAAATATTGAAAATGTATTTCCTAAGCTTGCATTTGCTAAATTGCAAAAACAGATGTAATCACTGGTAAACAATAGCCATTAAGAAATTGTAGCTGATGTTAATTTCCCTGCAGTTTAGTTTATGTCTTGGGAGATACATAACAGCCTCTCAAATGACTCTTCAGATCAAACAGATGTTTGCACAGTTTAAAGATTTCCATATGTCAAGCACATGGATGAAAATAAAACTTGCCTTGTATAGACATTGCAGTCATTTCAGTAAACCTGAGCTGAAGGCTCTCCCATGTTATCCAGCACCCGATGATGGGTATTTCACGTTAACACAGTTTTCAATCTATTCACAGAGGTTAGCATTGCTGCCTCGCAGTGTTGGGCCCCTGGGTTCAGTTCTGGACCTGGGGTGCTCTCTGTGTGCAGTTTGTATATTTTTCCCATGTTTGCATGGGTTTCCCCCAGGTGCTTTGGTTTATTTCCACAGTTCAAAGACATGGTAGGTTAATTGGCCCTAGGTATGAGTGCCAGTGCTCCTGTTTGTGTCTCTGTCCTGCGATGGACTGGCTTCCCATCCAGGGTGTACCCTGCCTTGTACCTGCTCCTTGCCTGGTTAGAATCCCGCACCGCAGCGGGCTTGAACTGAAAGAAGAGGTTAGAAAATGGATGGATGAAAATTAAATTTAGCACACGTAAACATGTTTTCGTCAATGCAATGTTTACAGGAGCCTTCTTCTCTTAAAAAAGGTACGGGATCAAATTCCTGTGCAATGGAATTTTTATTCTTTTTCCTGAAACACCAGTAGCAACAAAGTGTACTGTACCTGAATCGGAAATGCACAGGCATATGCAGTGAGGCCCAGGAGAATGAAGATCATAGTGGAGTTCATTGCCGAGCACCAGATAGGTCTGACTCCAGCTGTACTGCTCTTGGTCTGTCCCAGCTTTGACCATTTATACTCCTCTCTGCCCCGAGTGCTTTACAGGGGATTTGCTGATGCACGGCTATCCTACACGTGCCAAATAAGCAGAGGCCCTTCTGTCACTGTGTTTAAATGGTCATCAGAAAATGAATGATCCTTGCCTGTTATACACCCTGTAGTTGGCTCGACCTATCTAACACTTTTAGGGTTGAACCATCCACACAGGGCCTTTGAGTGAGGATGAGTGAAGTCATTGCCTGCACCTATCATCTGCTTCTCTCATGAGCTGGTGATGCAATCCTGTTGGATACATCCTGCATTTATAACCGACTACCTAATTTTAAAGTAGCTTTAAGAGTGCCTTGTATGGTTTTATTTTGCTGTCATGTACACCTCCATCAAAAATATTACAGAATTCATATAATTATAGATTGGATCTTCTCTAGTCTGAATGACAGCAGCAACACTGTTGGTGGTGCGGTGGCTCTGTGGCTCAGGATCTGCACCTGTGGCTGGAAGGTTGCCGGTTCGTATCCTGTGGCTGGCAGAGGAATCCTACTCTGTTGGGCCCCTCAGCAAGGCCCTTAACTCCCAACTGCTCTAGGGGTGCTGTATAAATGGCTGACCCTTTGCTCTGACCCCAGGCTTCTATTTCTGTCTGTGTATCCCATGGAGAGCAAGATAGGGTATGCAAAAAGACAAATTCCTACTACAAGAAATTGTATATGGCCAATAAAGTGGTCTCTTATAAAACTATGGTCCTATCTTGTTCTTGGAAATGTGAATGCGATGTGCTTGATAGTCAATGAGCTTTCTGACTGCCTTTTGTATTTTAAGTCAATGTACATAACCATCCATTAGAAAATGCACTTTATATCTTCACCTTGGTTCTCACATACTAAATTACCCTTGAAGAATAAAAAACATTTCAACTACAATAGTTAAGCCAACTATGAAAAAATAAAAAATTAAAATAAAGCAGCACTGATTTTCAGCCATTATTGCTAACCCATAAGGCCCTTAATTAATGGGATAGCACCCAGCTACATCACTAAACTATTACATGTAGTAATATTGGAATATTTGTATATTACTGTGAATAATTTTTTGCTGTATTCATCACAAATGTTACCAATTGCCAGGTTAAGGCTTTGTTCAATGGGACATTATGCTATTATGTATCTAGGCTCTGGAATGAGTAATCAAAGTATTCAGAACCAGAGATGTTTTTAAAACACTAGGATTTATCATGGTTAAAGTTTCTTGTATATTGTTCAGTAATTGCTGTTTATAGTTTGGGTTCTTGTCTTTTTAATTATGTTTTTTCTCACACTTTGAATTTATTTGTTGTGATCCTAATGTTTTTCTTGTCTCTGCAACCTTAAATGTATGATAAATCCTAGTGTTTTAAAAACATCTCTGGTTCTGAATACTTTGAGTTGCTTTGCATTTAGGCACATGAAAATATTGATTATATTTATAGATTTAACTAATAATATTAAATATTATTCTCACCGTATTGGCAGTGGGGTAGGTCTTTAATGTTGTATTGATTCAAAGTGATGATATATAAGCTAGCACAAATTAATATGCTGTTAAAAAGTCTCTGTGTCTGATAACTGACATTGTTTAAACAGGTAATAGGTTTATTCCATGCTGAAAAAAGAAGAAAGAGAACACAACGTTTCGGCCGTGGAGCCTTCTTCAGGTGTGGAGAACACCTGAAGAAGGCTCCACGGCCGAAACGTTGTGTTCTCTTTCTTCTTTTTTCAGCATGGAATAAACCTATTACTTGTTCCTTTGCAGCCTACGCATGCTGACGCAGCTACCCACCTGAACTACATTGTTTAAACAGTATAACTTTATAATACTGTAGCAATTAGGGGGTTAGTGTGGGAAATAAACAGGACTACATTTATATTTGGATGCACAGGCATCACTTTATTTTGGACCTCCGTCCACCAGCAAGAGCAACAGAGACCATAGAAAGTCTTGAACAAAGGGTTGAATACACAAGGGCAGCAATGGGAACAGGCTAGGTTAGGTTAGGGTGGACACAGGTCTTGGGAGAAACAACACAACTATTTACATTTGTGCTTACTATCTCTCTACACAACTATTTACATGACCAGGGTCAGCTGGCGGACAGTCGGCTGACCCTCAGTCCGTCCCCCAGCGGTGATTCCCAACCTGCACTGCGGCGCATTCTTTACCTAGGTGTGCAGCTGCCAAGACGTCCCGCGAGGGTGCCACACTGCCCCCACCTGAGGCATCCGGCATCCCGCCAACGTCAAACAGACCGTGCAGGTTGCACTCATAATCTTCCAGCTGGCGAGGGACCCTATGCATCCGCCACCCTTGGCGAGGTGATGGCTGGCAATCCTCTGCCCCACTGCCACTGGGAGGCCCTGGCCCTGGCTCCCCTGGGCTCTTCCTGGGTCTCCGTACCGGCCACCTCCACGCGAGTCCTGCATGGTGGTCCCAGAACCAAATTGCCCCACGCCCCGCTGACCATGTTGCTCGCAGAGCGCCCACAGCACCACCAGCTGCCACTGTATCTTGCTGCTGGAGGTCACCCACCATCCCCGGCGCAACACCCCGTCCTTTACCTTCAAAGTCTCTCACAATGAGCAGAGAGCCTGAACGGACTTGGGGTGAGGAGCGAGCTGTCTTCCAGCGGAGCACCGGCCCAATGTCGGGGTCCACTTCTTGCTGCTGTGCCAGGTCAGCGAAATCCACCCCCAGCAGCCCCTCCAGGGCTGTGGCTGCAATACTCGCCTTCACCCTCAACACGGAAGGCCCCTTTATGCTGTTCCCGCTGGGCGCAGTAGCGGCAGTCCGCTGCCTCGCAGGGTCACTGCAAGAGAACGTCTACATTGAGGTGACGAGAACCCGTGCGGTGCATGACAGTGAAATCGTACTCCTGCAGGATCTCAATCAACTGTGCCATCTGGCCCTCCGGCTCTTTGAAGTTAAGCAGCCAGGTTAGGGACGCATGGCCCGTCCGCAGCTGGAATCGGGTCCTGAACAAATATGGCCTGAAGTGGCGGACAGCCATCACCAGCTCTCGTTGGGTCACAGAGTAATTTCTCCAGGCCTTACTTAGCGGCGGGCTGAAGAATGTGACAACCCGTTCCATGTCCGGCCCCTCCTGTGCGAGTACTGCGCCCACCCCCGAGTCACTAGCATCGATGTCCAACACAAACGGTAACTTTGGGTCGGGGAAGGCCCCCACCGGAGCGAAAGGCCACATCACAGTCCGAGTCCCAGTGGAAACGCCAGCCTTTTTCAGTGAGGCGGCGCAGCGACACGGCGATACTGGCGAAGTCCCAAATGAACCCCCGAGTCGCTACAATACATTAAAACACATATATTATTGTAGTCCATATGAAATAATAATTTTCTCCTCTAAAGTGCAACAGGAGAGCCACTGGTTTCTACAGAACACTTCAAATAAATCCATGAAAATGTTTTTGTATTTGGTGCTATAATTTCATTTTAATGTATTGCATTGTAAAACAGTTTCTTAAAGCTGGACATTGAATATATAACTCTTCGTCTTCACCTAAAGCCTCTATAAGTCTTTAAAGAAATAACAAAATTGTGATTTGTTTAAATAAATAGGGTCCAGAGATTTTCTTCTTGTCCTGTAATTTCATTTCATCACTGGGCTGTGCTTGTTTACATCCTGTAGCTCACCCTTTCCCAAATACCATTTTCTGTGATTTGATATATTGAGTGCCTATAGAAAATCTGACCACCATCATTATTGTTATTACTTTTTATGAAGAATTACATTTATATCTGCCTGTCTAGACAGTAGTTGCTGCTGCAGTGTTTTTTTCCAAAGTGATTGCTAGTTTTTGCAAAGTCATGTTAGCTAAACAGCACTTCAGCTCAGGACTGCTACTGTACCATATGTTTGTGCTACCTGTTTACTAATTCCTGATGTGCAGATCCAGTGGTTGTGGAACACTGACTAATGCATATGATTCGAGTCATATCTGTCTTATGAGAGTCAGCTTAGACATGCTCACAGCAAGCTGATACTCATACTCTCTATGATAATTGCTTATACTCTGTTGTCGAATATGCTCATAGATTAATTCTTCTATTATGGTGTTACATTTCCCCTTTTATTTTAAAGTAACTTTCTACACATTATCTCCCAATATCAAAACTGAATTACTGTTACCAAAACTGGTATGATCTTGAAATGGTAAAGCCATTCAACCATTCACAGGTTAAACTGAAGTGGGGTTTACTTTTGACTTTTTAATGTTGTAAGATGGGACACAAAAGTGTCAACAGGAAACTTAAATTGAAGGATTCCTTAACAGATTTGATTATAATTTCATACAAAAACAAACTAATATACATACAAACATAATCTTTGTATATTCACTGGTACAGTTTCATAACAGACTAGTGTTCTTTGCAAATTAAGTCTTTATTTTTCTGTCAAAAACAATCAAGAACAGACTATACAATATCAATATCAAATCAACTTAACTGCCAAATAATGGGTATTCCCCAACAATAACACCCATCTTCCTTGCAGAAGGGTGGTAAGGTTTTCAAACAAACCTGAAATTATATTTCTATTGATGGTGGATTACATGCAGATTGTAATATTGTTACAGGCTGAGCTAGATGACCTGTGGCTGACTTAAATGGAGATCTCTCTGAGGCAATACCTAACTAGTGTCAATATTTCTACTTGTTAGAGCTTTAAATTAAGGGATTTTTATTTAATTGTGCTGGGTGTGAGATACACTGATCAAAAGAATCTTCTGGTTTACCTTAGATAATCTAGTTCTGGATAAATGATTAAGTGTCAATCAACAGTCCAGAAAGACACCATATAAGATTAGATCAAGACAAAGAAAATGGAGAAAAAGAACATACCACAAGAGAGAGGACAAAGGGGGGAGAGGGAACTAGAAGTCAGGCCAGAGTCCCTATTTCAAGATCATCAGAGAAAACCTGTTTGGAGCTAAGTATCTGAACCTTGCTAAAGAGAGCTTGCTTTCCTGGGTGAATAATACCTCAGTTAAAATAGCCTATCCTGCTTGGTGGGAGCACTTTTAGAATAGGGAGGTAGGTTCCTATTTATTTTGTGGCATGTGGGTTTGCAGAGAGAGAGATTTAACTGCAGGTTGTATTGCATTTAGTTTAGAAGGCAGCTAATCTCTTATTTTGCCCTCTATAGACAATACCTGGTGGCAGTCTGAGGTTTACCTGGTAATCTAGACTCTGAAACTCCTTGTTTGTAAACTTGTACAGTAAATACAGTAACCTATATGGTGAGTGTTCATATTGTGTAGTGGGTGTCACTGTCATTGTTGATAAAGATTTGTTTAACCAAGTGTGCCTGAAATATTACTCTTTTCACCAAAACTGTGCTAGAGGACAAAGAATTCACGTGCCTCTAATTATACCAGCCGCTCAGGAATATTCTTTGAAATATCCTTACGAGGTGGGAGTTATGATTATATTAGTTATTGACTAAGCCGCCCGGTTATTGCCTGTTATTCACCATTTTCGTAATCCCCAGTACAGTACGTAACAATATTTTGCTGCTAAAAGATCTATATATAGGAACAAGTAACATTTCGATGCGGTTGTTTAAAAGTCCACAGAACAACAGAATAATATAACACGTCATTAACATGATGGTCTACGGATTGCCATCTACGCAGTTATAAACCCCTCTACTTTTCAAACGGACTATTGGATCGGTGCATGTTGTTACCACTACGCATTAGCTTCTAAATACTGTACATCACAAATTACATAGTTTTTGCTGTTACATTTTAATTCAGCAAGTTGTCAGTTTTAATATCAGAGTACAACACTTAACCAAAACGATTAATGCACAGTAAGATAAGTGTCAATACTATCCCCCACCTCATAAAACACCTTTAATTCGACTGAATTGTTTGATTGTCACCTTCTTAGAGTTGGACGGTCTATGTACGAGCAGACCAAAGACGTAATGGGCGGTGCGAGAGGAAACCGGAAAAAGAAAAGTATTTTAGAAGGATGGCGGTAGATTTGGAACATGGTTAGGGAGAATAGAGTCCGGCCTTGTTTTTCTAACACTCTGTTTTGAAGCAAATTGCACTGTAGTATACAAATATTAACAGCACAAGAGTGCTGTGTTGCTTTGTTTAATCTTATACCATTAAAATAAACGTTCCCCGCTTATTACTACTTCAGGACGCATCAGGATGAAGAAGCATCTACAAAATGAACATATTTCAGAAGACAACGAGTCTAATTGCAGCAAAGAAGAACTAGAGGTAAGTGTCGAAAAAGTCTCCTTCCTAGTTGTATTTTATGTTGTAAGGCATTTGTATGTAATATTATCTTAACCACACTAGAAAAGTAAAATAGCTAAAATGTGGCAGCAAGGGACACTTAACATTGTTTCAAAGACGGATGTTAGGACAACCCTGCCGTAGCAGAATGTTTAGGTTTAGTTTGACAATTGTAGAGCAAAGAAATATTAAACACCTTTAGTAAATAAAAGTTTACGCAATGTTGTTTCTCCACAACATGTAGGCACGGTTGAATGAACTGAGAAACGCGGTCAAAATGTCGAAAAAGCAACTGAGAGCTGTCAGAGATGAGATTCAACAGGCTGAGGAAGATATTGAGCAGAGGTACAGTACCCCAATTCCTTTTTTCTTTTTACCGGTGTCTTCATAAACAGATTAGACAGTACTGGCACTCATTTATTTGTGTGGAAGGCTGCCAGAAACTAACTTAAAAAAAAGCTTTTTGCAAAAGGAGAGTGTTATTTCTTATTGTGTTATTAATCTTTCTTATTTGCTTGTTACTATAGCCATAAAAAAGCCATAAAAACATATTTTATCTGTTTCATCTTGTCATTGTAGGCTAGGTACTAACTAGTAATTAAAAGCACTGGAAATGTGACATTTATTAAACATTTACACTGTGCACACACCTGTGCCTGTTTGACACTACCTTCTCAAGTCCTTAGTTGCTGTGGAAACAAAACTTGCTACTCTCTTAGATAAGAATCCGAATTTTGTAGTCTCTGACACTTTCTTGCACACATTTCAAAGCTTTTTGTGCCAGAGTATATATGATTTGCTACTCATATTTCTAAGCACTTTAAAGGTGAAATATACATCGAGCAACATCGGGCAGAGTAGGCTAGGAAAAGAGAATTCTAGGTGAAATACAAGTTTTGGAGAAATTGGTTAATTTGAGGTAATTCTGACAATGAAAAAGTGAATTCATTTTTGCTATGGACTCTTGTACGTGTGCCATGCTATGTGACAGTCCCTGTCCATTTGCCAGCACTGTGCACCGGGACCGACTGCAACCACTGCAGACTGAGACAGGAGAACTGGGTGCAGCATTGAGAGAACTGGATAGGGTGAGGCAGCAGCAAGCGGACTTGTCCCATCAACTCAAGGAGCAAACTGCTGCAAATCACAGGTACTGTATCTTCCTGGTTACTGTTCGGACACCCCGCACCTAGAATACACTGCTTGAAACTTCATGGGCGACCAACTGATGTTTCACACATAATTTCACACATGAAAACCAGATAATCTATAATTGTACCAAAATTGTACTAAAATTAGGTAACTCCAGTTTTAGCAAAATAAATGTCTGACAAGTTCAACTTAACATTCGGTCTTCTTCCGTGTGATTTTTGTTTTCTTCATCTTCTTATAGATTGTAGACTTTTTTAAATTTAGTGGTATTTAGTTTTGCTTCCTTTCACTGAGATGGGTAGCCATGGGCCAGATTTTGATCACAGGGTAAAGTACTTAGTCTAGGGCTAATGGGATAGAACACAAATATGAATCTTAAAGAAATAACCTTAGTTGTTGCAGATGAAACTGCAACAGTCACTTAATATCACATTTGAGATGTGGGTTCATTATTATTCCCTTGTGAAGCATTTTTGATAAAGGCACAGAGCACATTAATGTCTTGTGATTTAAAAGACACTTTGAGAAGCTTTTTAGCAGCACACACTAGAACAATTATTCAGACTGTGTTAGGGAATGCTCAGAATTAACTGAAATGTTCAAGAACATAAGGAGGGAATGATAAAATAACATTTCAACATGCAAAAACTATAAAATGTTACATGTGGGTTGTTTGTGTGCAAGCATAAACACAATACTCTTTATATAATTATCTGTGCTCCTGTCTCTTAAAAATCGCATACTGAGCATATGTATCTGTTAATATGAGCTCTGATTAAGCCATCCTGGCATTCTTGCAAGATATGCATTCTGATCATACATAATACATGAAGTAACAAAAGCTTTCTACTTTAAACATTATTGTACTTGATTTGTTTGTTGTAAACGAAGTTGAATGTTTCATTAATTTTGTTCTTCTGCAAAATGACTGCAGAGTTCAGAATTAGTTGCATGTATTGCTTGTACAATGATGAGTGAAAATTACACATGGAAGTGGAATGGTGAAGAAAGGTATTGTCATCTTCCACATATTCTCTTTTTTAATTACCTTTTTAATTTGGGGTCAAACATCATTCCATCCTCATGCAGGATTTATCTTCAATGAAAATTAATATAACTAAAGTCATTAGCTCTCAGGTCATATTGGTCAATATTATCAATTAATCTGTACACAAGTACTGTAGATATTTTGCCAGGTTGTATGTATTCTTCATCAGTGCATGGAATACGATGTGTGCAAACCAATCCTTATTATGAATTGAGTACAATACACTTTGATTTAATGGACCTAGTGCATGCATATTTCTGAACTTTCTCTTTGCAGCTCTCTGGAAAGCATGGAGAGGAAGCAGAAGGCAATGGAGAAAGACATGAGGAGGGAGATGGATGTTCTGGAGAAGAGACAAGTCTCCCTGTGGGATCAGAAGAAAGCTGTCAGCCTCCAGTGCAGCAAGATCAGGGAGTCTCTTGAAGAGACAGAGGGCCTGTGCCAGGCAGGTTAGTCCAAAACAGAACATCAGTGAAAACAATTTATTTTGATTGAACCAAGAAGCAAGATATTTAAGAAGGGATATTGTTTATATGGTAGTTTTATCTTATCTTTGAAAAGAGCATCTGCGAGACATTTTATCCTGTTTAATTGAATTTCACTAGGTATCATAGAATCAATGGCCATTTACAGAAATACACTCAACAGTTTAGACATTCTTCTTGAGGGGATTGAAAGAGTACAGAAAAGAAGAGCAATGTATATGTTATCGTATACAGAGTTGTATTACAACACCAAATCAGAGTAAAGGTATACTGTGTTACCTACAGAGTACTGCAGTACTGATTAACAAAGAAATTGCCTTGCAATAGTATAGTAACTTTATTTCATCCAAGTCTTGAGATGCTTAACAATTATTGTACAAAAACATGAAAATGTATTTCTAAAATATGAAAACAGCTTTGTGATAGTGTACACAGAACTAGTTTACCAGAGCAGGAGCAAGTTTGAAACGCATTGCTGAGAAAAAGTTTGCGATCCCATTAGGATCTTCACATATTTTAAATTTAAAATGTTATTAGATCCTAACATAAGGCCTAATAATAGATAAAGCTAAAGTGATGAAACAAGTGACACAAAACATGATACTCTCTCAAAATGTATTTATCCTCAAATGATGCAACATTCAATATCCATGTGTGACAAACTCCATCAGTGGCACCCCCTTTTGTAGTAATGACAGCCTCTGAATTGTTTCCTGTAATGGTTGATAAGTTTCTCATATTGTCTTTGGGTAATTTTGACCCATTCGTATTTACAGAACTGCTTGCACGGACAGCTTGCTTCAGGTCGTGCCACAGCATTTTGCTGAGGTTTAGACCTTTGACCAGAACACGTAAAACGCTGAATTTATTCTTATCTAGCCATTCTTTTGTAGATCTGCTTGTATGTTTAGGATGTCTTGCTACAGACCTGCTTTCGGTTTAGCTCCAGGTCATAGCCAGATGGTCTGACATTCTACTCTTGAATCTTCATGGTTGTGTCAGTGAATGTCAGCCATCCATGTCCTGAGGCAACAAAGCAGCCCCAAACCATCACACGCTCCCCATTGTGATTAATGGTTGAGCTTACTAGTTCTTCTTTTCACCAAACATAATGTTTCTCATTGAAGTCAAAGAGTTCAATCTTTGACTAGTCTGTCCAGAGAACATTATTACAGAAGCCTTGTTGATCATCTGTGTGCTCTTTTGCAAACCTCAGACAGGAAGGCCAGCAATTTTCTCCTTGGTATCCTTCCACGAACACCATTCTTGTTCGGCCAATTTCTGATGGTTGAATCCGGAACATTGATATCGGCCAAGGCAAAAAGTGACCTGCAGTTTGTCAGATTTTGCTCTGAGTTTCTTTGTAACTCTTTCAATGCTTTCCACTTTGTTCTTGGAGGGGTTTTGGTAGGACGACCACTCCGTAAAGTGACTTGAACTTTCTCCATTTAGACTGTCTGACAGTGGGTTGTCGGAACTCTGAATCCTTAGAAATGGTTTTGTAACCCTTTCTGGACGCGTGACCATCAATAACCGTTTTTCTGAGATCCTTGGTGATTTCCTCAGATTATGGTATAACTTGTTTATACATACCTGTATGGGGAGCACTAAACTCAGGTTTCTGATCTTTATATATGGTGGGACTTTTCAATTGTAATGTTTACGCTCTGCCTAAATGTTAAAACATCTGATTCTAATTATTCCCTTAACTGAGCTAAGTACAGGCTTAACTGTACCTTAATTACACATTATTGTTTTAATTCATACATTATTTTGTTTCATGAGACGTGGAATTAGTAACTAAACTTTATTGGATATTTATATAATATATCATTTTGATTCAAGAAGGTTGTCATGGTAAACATACGAAATTTAATTAAATTAAAAACTATGACCCCATATTTATCTTGGTGTTCATAAACATTTTTAGGCATTGCACGTGTTGGGATGACTTGACCAGAAAGCAGTGAGAGTAGAAGGAATTATTACAGACTAGTAACAAATCCACTACACACTGCAAATCTGCTTTTGCTAGAAGATTTCTCTGGGGCTTGAATGAAGTAAACAAAAGGGAAATAGTATTTGTTTTCCTCTCTGTCTCTTTTGGTATATCAGTGGAGGAGAAAATGAATAGTGATACCCAGAAGAGAGGATCCAACCATTCCCAGAAAAAGGAGGACCTGCTGTTGGAAGCATATGTCGCCAACCTGGGTATCCCTGCAACTTTAGGAAAAGCTGGCATTGCACGAAGGAATGCTAAGACAGTCAAGTGAGTCTGAAATCCACACATTCGTGAGAACATCCTCTCATGCAGTTTTAGAAGACAGAGGTGTTTTCTGTTCTGCAAGCCTACGTGGATTATAGTTTTCACTTAATCTTGGAATTTACCCTATTAAATTGAGTCTGCAAAAGGAGTGGGTTTGTGAATCGTAGGAGCCAATATCTCACTGTGTTTGCAATAACTTTTGATTTAAATAAACATTATAATAGGGAAGTACTGGTAAAGATGTAACAGAGTTTTTCAATATCCATGTATGTAATATTTAGTATAATTTGACATTTCTGTTGGAAAATCAGAACATATTAAGTTTTGTTGTGTGTTGTAGTGAAAAGGAATATCCAGCTTTTTGTTTTCTAAAAATGTTGTGTTTTATACTGCAAAAGAAAATGTAAATCTAAAGGAAAATATTTTACCTCCTTGTATGTGTATTTTAAGTTTATTAAAGACTGATATTAGTAGTAAGTTTTTAAGTGAATAGCTTAAAGCTTTTTGTGACTAATGTACTAAATCCAAATATTTGGAGGCAGTGAGGGCGTTGAAGGCATTGGGTCACATTTAATGAAGAAAGGTAAAACTCACTATACTGTATATGTTTTATTAATGGATTATCTAACTGTACAAAATATGCAATATACATACGTTATATCTATAAAAAAGAAACATTTATGCACAGTACTATTGACAGTCACACTTGAGTTTTGAAAACTAATCTGACCTACAGTAAATTTCAGATTGATGTTATCTACTATCACACATCCATGACAGCAGCTGAAGGAGTCAAGTCATGCCCTGTCTGGCAATACATTTCAGAACCATATTTCTGCAGCAAGAACCTCAGTTTAATGCAGGAAATGTGTAGACATTTCTACATTAGGATTCTTTTATCACACCCCTTTGAAAATTAACTTTATGCTGAAGTCTGCACAGCTCTTTGGAACAATTCATATTGGTGTTGTGCAAAGGCCATGGGCACCATTGTTCATATTTGCAACTGGGAACGCTTCATTTAGTTATGCGTTATTTTCTCTTTCCCTTATGAAAAAAACAATTACTTCTGTGACTTGTTTATACGTTAACGGTTTTATTAGAATTTAAGAATTGTAAACTTGGATTATGGAATTGATTAATCAGAAACTGGGCCTCACAATGTTTGAAGTAAAAAAATTCCTTCAGTACAGAAGCGTTAGTCAGACCAGCAAGTTGGATTTTCAGTCATAAAATGAAGCATACTTTCAAGTGTATCTTATAGTTTATGGTTTCCCTTCCATTCCCTTCTTATTTTCAGTGTAGATTTTTAGTCTCTTCTCATTTGTATTTTCTAACACTGTAAACTCTCCAAGCCCTATATACCTCAAACCCTATGACGTGTTCCTGTGAACCCTTTTATATTCACAATAATCAATAATCAAGCACTTTTAAAACAGGAGATATAGTTGAAAACCCTCTAACTGTTCCTCCCAAAAATGCTGACTGTAAAAGACATCCTTAAGATTTTTTAAACAATAGTGCATTTTGAATAGATGAGAACATTTGGACAAACAACAACATTCTATTGACTGCATAATTCCCTAATATCAAGAATGTGCTTGTACTCTACATACTGTAACCACAGGGCTACTTTTACTCAATGATACTAGCTATGATTTTTAGTGGTTCTAAGCAGTTTTTACAAACGGAACATACGTACAAATTACAATTCTCGAAAGCATAGGGGAATTTTAAGCATTGCTAAATATGGCACAATTTATTAAACTAAAGCACAGCTGCAAAAAGACTGCTTTAACTTGAAAGAAGGCATTTCATGACAAATTTCTTGAAAAAAACTTTTAAGGTTTCTGATCATTTAACTGTTGATTATTAATTTTTAAATTAAATCCTTCCCAAATCAAAACATTTACTTTATAGTTACTCACAGCATAGGCTGTGTGTATTGTGTGTACTTCCACATGGACACTGTAAAATATAAGCTGCTTATTTGTATTAACATATATTCAAAGAATTACTTTGCATTTCTATTTTTTGCCATTAAGATTACCATTATCTTTATGTTATTATATACTATATACTGAAGAGTCACTACTAGCAAAATGATAGTTTCAGTGTCATGTCTTTACAAGGATAACATGCCATATTTAGAAATGTCATATAAAAATCACTAATAAAAATGGAATAGGTTTGTATATAAACGTCCTTCTAAAACACAGGTCCAGAACTTAACAGTTATCCATACCAGATTAATAAAGTGCAAAAATAAAATATCTTAATTGACCTTCTGAATGTACTTAATTCACAAGACATATGTACAGCACTTCCCCAGGATCAGTTCTCCTGTTTGCTGAGGATTGCCACCTGCTGGGAAGAGCACTGCAGTGTCTTCAAGGGCCAAGTGGAGAGCCTGTGTCTGCAGGTTTTCCATAACTCTTTAAAGAATGACAAATGGAAGAGCTGGGAGAAGGTGTTAAACTGGTCGTTAAGATATTATTAAGCTTTTTGGGGTTTTTGCTCCAGCTGAGTACATAATGACAAGCTAATTTAATATTCTGTTTGGGTCATTTTTAAATTTGCTGTCAGTTGTCAAAATGCTAAATGGTATTTGTAATCAGTAATATTCATTGTGGGACTGTTTAACACTTTACCAGTCCCACCTGTGTCTATACATCACAAATTAATCAAGGTTGTCATTTAGTACGGATGTTTTGGAGGTCATATGGTACAAAACCAGCAGTCACAGTGGCTTGGAATACTGCATATAAACCCATCATCAAGTAAGACAGCAGTTTAAGTAGGCTAGAGAGCCTGGATGTTTGAAATGTTTATTTCTCCAGTCTTAATTGATTTAATCACTTATAATGAAGAAACTGGACTCATTGATTAATGTAATTTTCAAAAATTAGTGACGGGGACACAATACTGTAAAAAGGTGACGTCAAACTGAGGTCCTGACTCTCTGTAATCATTAAAAATCTAAGGGCATTTCTCGAAAAGAGTAGGGGTGTAACCCAGGCGTCCTGGCTAAATTTCCCATTGGCCTTTACCAATCATGGCCTGCTAATAATCCCAATCTAATAATTTTCTCTGGTTGACTGTCTTCAATTGTATAAAACATGACAGCAATTAAGTTTCACATGAGAATCTATCCTTAGTTGCAACATGCTACTGATTTGAGATATTCTCTTTAGAATTATTTTTTTCCATTTGTCAATAGAACAATCTGTTTTTGTTGCATTGTTTGGACTATTGTATGACTTCAAATTCTTTGGGTCACCTTTGGTTGCCAAGACCTACAGAGGCAGGACGGCATAAAAAACTATTCATATTCCTTACTTTAAGAATGGATGTCAATTTTCTCTGGAACCTGGCTCTTGCAGTGATTCAAAGCACAATTACCTAAAATATTTCATAAGAACACAGACAGTCACTTCGTGTGGTAGTCTCCACTTTGGCACTGACTTCAGTCAATGTCTCATATGGCTGTAAGGAGTATTCATTAGTATAATGTCTCATCACCCTCCCCACACAAAACATTGAAAGATTTTTTCTAACAGAAAAGATAGGAGAAAGAATGGTGAGTGCTAGTAGTTTTGCTCAGAAACGTTCCTGCAGTCCCACAGTGTTGATAACTATAGAGAGGATGTGTCTCTGTTGATGGTGCTTGAGGTTCTCGTGAAGTGTAGCCATCACTTTCTCGGTGAATGGTTATGTCAGTTACGTCACCTGAAGCCGAGGCAAAAACAATCGGGAAACATTATTAAGGCTCAGTGTACAATTCAGTGTATTATGAGCATCCCTGCTGCAACCTCCACAATTACAATTAACTCACCTTCCTCCAGAGGTTGCCTACTTTTAGCAGTGTGTTTTAGTGCTCTGTAGTGTGTGAATATAGGGAGGTTTGCGCATCTGTTCACATGGGTTTCCATCCACCTTCCAAAGATAGACTTTTTGCCCAATTTCCCATTAGAATCAAGAATGGTTAATTTACCCTGTCTACTGTAGCTCTACTAAGGTGCTGTTCTGATGTACTGTAGCAGGGGTAAGGTTCAGGTGAAGAACACATTAATTTAAAAGCTCATATACAAAAGGTCTCAGTCCCATAAAAAGCTTTTGAGATATATACAATTCAAACTGATTAGAGCCTAATTAGGCACACGATATTCACTGCTGGTGAATGTAATGCTCTTGACATAGGCACTATTTGTAGTCAGACAAACAGAACACATTCTTGTGTTGTTAGCCTATAGAAAAATCATAAAACACAACTGCATTATTCAACAGATGAGTCTTTTTTCTTTGTTAAGCTTTCCCATAAACAATAAAGACTGTATGAGTAGGCAGTGACTAGTGGGGTGGCTGTGTGGAGTAGCGGTTAGGCCTCTGGACTTGTTGAGCAGAGGACTGTGTTTAACTCCCAGGTGGGAACAATGCTGTGCATACACTTGAGCAAAATACTTTACCCAGATTGCTCCAGCAAACCTAGCTGTATAAACAGGTAACTGGGTTTGTTTGTAAAAAAACAGGTAATTAACGTCTACATAAGTTACTTAGGATACAAGCATCTGCTCAATTAATAATAGGTGATCCTGTGATTGACAAGGTACCTTGTGGATATGTGGGGGCAGCTCATCCTCAGAGCCCTCCTCTGGCACGGTATCATGGTGCCGTCCTGCTTGGGCCTCGTCTGCCCAGCCGCCCATGGGGAGGCGGGGGCCCCTGGCAATGGTTCTGGCTCCTCCGGTGAGAATATCTAGGGAGATGAAACAGATTGCATCACAACTTCTCTTCCCTTGCTGAGGCCGTCTATAAGTGATCTCATAGACCTTGGTGTGGGAGTTCAACAAACAGGCCTCGATGCCTTTAGCATACATTAATATAAAGTTTGAAAAAAAATTGAAAGCATGGCTTTTAAATCTGGACTTTTATTATATTATAAGATGGTACATAAAATCACTTCCTGCATCTACTCAATATTTGTAGGAAAACAAAGAATTCAAGAAGTAAATACCATCACCAAGACTAGAATAAAGAGATCCTTTCCCTCAGTTTTTCCCCCCATAGGCTATCTTCTTTTCTTACACAATCGTCCTTCCCGTTTTCTTGTCCCACTACCTCCTGATGCCCTGTACCTGTGTTTCCGCCATAGCGGCGTTGCCCAGTGGGGTGCAGCGGCGCCCCCTCCTGTCGGTGTGTGGCAGCAGAGGGAAAGGTGTTGGAGCGAGGCAGGGTGGGCAGTGCCTCACCCTCATCGGGAACACTCTCGCTGCTCTCGTCGCTCTCCTGCCGGTGCCATGTGTGCCGTGACACCTCCCCTCTGGAGTGCTGCTTGTGGACCTGCTTAAAGACCAACACCAATTGGAGGTCTCAGATGTCAAGATATGCAATATTCTGAACAACATCAAGTAGTAACATTGTCCCTAAAATGAATCCTTTTCAGTTCTTTATACTGGGAAAGAACATTTGGACTTTTAAAAAATAGATCTCTTCTTGTTTGAGAACAAAAGGATAGGATACATAGGAAAAAATAATCAAGAGTGGAAGCTCACATGGAAAAGAAAAAAACAGGAGAAAATGACCAGTTAAACAGGAGCATCGACCATAGAAAAGGCATAGACCATGCTGTCCTAGCAAAAAGCAGGACTTTTTAAAAATAAAATCTACAGAAAGTATCCAATCCTTCACCCAACCCTAGAATTTTAACAACAGAAGTTAGACCCACAAACAAGATGTCATGCCTCAGTCCCACATGATTAATACTCATTAATTATAACTCTCTACTAATTATAACTCTTTAATTATAGCTCCATTAAGAAGGAGCAGTCTAGGACTCGGTGTAATCGTCACACTAGGGACAACCACCAGCACATTAACCCTGTAAATTCAAAAATGCTCTATCACAATACACTCCCAAAAGAGGAAGCTACAGGCTACACCCTCAGTGCATGTGCATCCTACCTCTGGAACTGTTGCTGTAATGTTCCACAGTATACTGTACATTGTATGTGCAAGCTTAAAATAGTTACATTTAAGCCGCCAATTGATTTCTTTTTCAGAGGTCTAGAAAAGTCTAGTACTTTAAGAAATAAATCACAATTTTATATACAACTGTTGTATGATGCTTTCACTAAATGGTGCAACCTACTATATGAGCACAAACAATGGAAATGGCCATCTGTGGGCTCTGCAATTTTAAGCATTGTTGGAACACAGGTAAAAGAGTCAATTTTTTTTTCTATTGAAGGACCATACCTCATGCATGTAGAGTGCGTGAATGCTCATCTCTGTAGAGGCATACTCAGAGAGGACCAGGCTGGTCAGCTGACCCTCCCACGCGCTGCTGCCAGAGCTGGCTGTGTGGGCATCAGTTCTTTATTGTCAGAATAGAAAACACCTGTGTTACTGAATGTTACAGGATTTCTAGATTTAAGATATGCTTTTAGTATTAGTTGGTTTTTAGTATAGTACATGATCCAAAAGAATTAATCTCATTTTTTCAATGTAACTATTGCTTCTGCACATGACTGTTTTGTTAAACGAGCCCGAGGTCAGGCGTGTGCTCTTACCCAGAGCCCACCATGGCTCTGGTCCCTGTGAGAGGGGCCAGGTCACTGCGGGGCAGACGTGTGGAGGTGTAGCTGCCCCGGAGATGCTGGCTGGTGCTCAGAGGGGAGAGGGAGCGCAGGGCCGAGGCCACGTCACTGCCAGCTGTGCTTGAGACTTGATTGGCCACAGGACCCTCCCGGCCCATCTGGAGCGACAGCAGAGATGGGGGTCCTACCAGAAGGTTAGCGATCAGACTGTGAGGCTGTAAGACAGAAACGAGCAATGTGGTCTTTTGAAAACCATGGGTAAACACAGAGGTTCTCTGCTGAACACCTTAATGTGAAATATGTTAACCACTGAAACAAACCCAGCTTGTAGTGGGATGCTTGCACTACAAATGTTATTTGTAGTACTGTTATTTAAACCTAATAATGACTTAAAAATGCAAAATTAGTACCACACTTGGAAGCGTTCTCCTTTAGATCATGCGGAGAAGTGCTGGAAATGTCTGACAAAATGTTGGGCATCCTATATAAAGTGTAAAATTGGAATCAAGGGAAGTAAAGATTACACAATGCACTGGGCAGATATTGTGTATGAAAATTGGACCTGCACTGCAAAGTAGCACACAGGGAAAAACATTTTTTTTAATACTGCATAAAGAAGAATCTTAAAGGAACTGACAAAGCCCGTTCTATGGGAGTCATGTATGTCTGGAACAAATGACCCAGCAGTGTTGTCTAAGCCATTTGCCTGGGATCCTTCAAGAAATATCTGGATGAGTTCCTAGGACTAGTAAGGTACTGTAGAAATAGGTGCAAATAAGATGCAAATGGATCTAATGTCATCCTCTCATTTTTAACATTTCAAAGAAATTCAAGCCATAAGCACATGTGGCTTTTGAAAAAACTTTTTCAAAGTAAAAAATGTTTCACCATAAATCGCTTGTATTGTAACTGTGGGAAGTTGCCCTATAAGTTCCAAATGTGGTGATAGACAAACTAGCTTAAAATAAAAGGACAGCCAGCAAGACTGTAAGCCTGTGTACCTCAGACTCCGACTGGATTGAGCTGAAGAGGTGGTTCTCTGGCAGTGGCGCGCTAGCTGCCTCGCGCTGCACCCTCTCCTTGAGCTGGCTGATGAAGTGTGTGCTCTCGCGAGGAGGCTGCCAGTGTGGGTTGGTGATGGCAAAATGCATGAGAGACAGCTCTGTTTTCCCATCCTCCGCCTGCTGGTAGATTGAGGCCTCGGTCTTCCCAGCGGACATCCACTATGGGACAGCACGTAAGTTACAGTCAAAGATATAACAGACTGCAATGAAATAATGATACCAATACTGTATACAGTATACACATAAACTTTATGTAATAAGGAGTGTAAAAAATCAAAATATAATGACATGCTACTAAGTGAAGAATGATAGCTTTGAAAACAGAGATGAAGGTTTCATCATTGACGCCTATTTGTAATGTTATAGTTTTCTGCAAAACCAATACAGTCTATGAAGCATGCTTTGTAAATTTCACTGGATTCCTAGGAGCATGTACTGTATGACCATAGTCTGATGTTGTGTTTTAAACACATGAAAGATATCAACACCATAATGATAAATGAATCGGACAAAATGAGCCAGCAGTAATGTCTAAAACAACTTCTCTCCAACAGTCTGGGACCGGAAAAGTCTGGTCAAACATAGCGTCCTTCAAAGCCCAAAGCTCTTACTGCCGGGTGGCCGTGCTGCCGGACATCCATCTGTGCGAAAGAACAAGTGTCCCCCACTCCTACCACCTCCACCGTGAAGTTGCGGAAGAAGTCGATGATCTCCAGGGATTTGCGGCGCAGACAGAAGATCAGAATGAGAGGAGTTATCACTGGGCTCACTAGCTCCTCCAGAATGAACACCTAACAGGAAAATGAAAGAGTTAATTAAATTAAATGTTAAAAATGTGGTTATTAAACAGATAATTAGAATAATTTGTTTGATTTTATTTTTATACATTTAATATCTGAGTAGTCACAAGTAAGGGGTAAATACTGAAATTTGGGTGATGTAATTAGTGGAGTACTGCAGGCTGTATTAGAGCCACTGCTTGTTTTAATTGTGTAAATGATCTAGATTACAGAATGCTTAATCAATCAACTTTGCAGTACCCTAACGGTTGTATTTTCAAGAAATGGCTGGATCAGATCCCTGGGTCAATTAACTAATAACTACCAAACAGGATATATGGGCCTAATGGTCTCCTCTCCTTTGTAACCTTTCTTATGTTCTTATGAATCCTTCACGAAAAAATATGGAAAAAGAGGCAGGGGACTGTTCAATCCTTTTAGAATCCTCTGCTTTTGATGAGAAGGCAAGGTTTTCAGTTCAACCCAGGAATACTTGAAGGACCACAATAATTCAACCTCAGTAACTTATCCCCAGTTACAAGTTTTTTTAATAATCATTTGAGGTAAGGTGTAGATTTCTGAAAATAAAATATAATTATAGTAATAGATGTTTTGGCCTATAAAATTAGGATTTGTAAGACCAATTTCATCTTGATCTGGAAACACCTTATAATGTGCATCACGGTACACTTGAAAGTTCTGAATTATCTTAAAGGTTCCAAAGTTAACCAAACACAAAGTCTACAGTTTCCTGCATTCTCTTACTCACAGCTTTGTATTGGAAGAGCTGTGCAAACTCATCACGAGTCTCATAGCGATGGGCGTTTCCCTGCCAGTGGTCAGGCATGTAGTGGATATGGGCTAAGATCACCTTCAGTAGCTGTTCTGGGCAAAACACCATGTGCTTGTCTGGGATAAAGGACCTGCAATTAAGCAGTAGAAATGGACTATGGTACAACAGCAATTAACTCATAAAAGACTCAAAAGTAAACTTATGAAGACTCAGAATAGTATTTCTCTTCATAATAAGGTTATTGTTGAAACCTGTATTCCATACTCAGTAAGATTACACAAGAGAATTACATGCTCTTCATTTAGGCATTATCACTGGAAAGAAGGCTCATGTTCAAGACTAGATGCTCATCTGGTCTTTTTTTAATAGATTTTCCCTGTTTTCAACTGGATGCTAGTCCTTTACTGGGATACCACTAGCAATGCTTGTATGATAAATGATCTTACTCAAGGATACAACATCAGTGTCTACACCAAGGACTTAAACCTTCTAGTTATGAATACCGAGCCATAGGCACTACACTATGCTGCCCCCAGAGTAAAAAAGTCCATAGTCCCTTAAACATTTCTAAGACTCAATTTTTTAAACCTCAGTTTAGACTCACTTTCCTGACAGCTGGGAAAACTCACCTGCAGATGGTGACACAGACGCCCAGTAGGGTGATGCTGGTCAGAACGTGCTCCACAGCCAGCACATCCTCATCATAGATGGTGAGAGCAATGAGCACAGCCAGGATAGATCCAGCAAAGAAGGCCACATTCTTGGCCACCACAGTGAGCAGTGGTGACATAAAGCAGTTCATGTACTTGGAGGAAGCCTTGTAGCCCTTGCTGAGCCGGGACATGAGCTCATGATCCAGCTCATTGAAATGGCGCAGGTAGCAGCGCCCATAGAGGGACCAGCAGCGGGCACCTAGACTGCCAGGTTCCCTCTTGATGACCTCAGTGTAGCTAAAGAAAGCATAGAGGATCTGCCAGATCAGGATGACAGGGCACAGTAGTAGGTTTGCCACACCGATCCATAGGATCCGGTTGCTCAGCTTATCTGCCAGCTCCAGTCGATTGCCACCTCGCTTGTACTCAGGCTTCAGACTCCACTCATTCTCGAAGAGAGAGCCTGGACCCCAGAAAAAGATTAGCTCAAAGTTGTACTTGAGTCCCCGGGTGTAGAAGACAGCGTCACCCAGGACAGGCACACGAAATCGGATGGGCAGCAGGGACTTGTTGACCATGGCGACCATATAGTTCTTGAAGCGCAGGATGCGGTGGTAGATGTCCAACTCAGTCAGCTCCTTCTTGTGGATGCAGATCTGGTGCTCCTTCTGGATCTCGATGATCCTCGCCTGTACCTCCTGCCATGTGAAGTAGGGCAGGTCAGCCTGTGGGGGTCAAGATCAGAGCTAATTCATATTTCTCTATTGTAAAAAATGATAAATTAAATGAACAAATTTTAAGTTAATAATACTCCAAGATCAGGCGCATTTTAAAGACATCAAACTTTGTAGTACATTATTTGCTCTGGATGTAACAACAGATAGTAGAATGCAAATATATTTTGTCACAGTGCCACTGAATGAAACATTTATGGGTGCTGATGACCATACTGCACATCTAATATCATGAAGATCTGTACTGGTGGATTGCTGGCTCATGATGGCATTGTAAATGCAAAGTAAAAAGGACTGAGATGTTCCTTGTGAAAAATCAAAATCTGTGTTTCAGTTTATATTGCCATTTTGCAATAAACGTTCTCCACAGTACTTTTATCCACTGTAGACATCGATCCACAGTAGACAGATGAAGAATCCTGAACTTTGCACAGTCCTAATGCACTTCTTACATCAATTTCACACATTTAATTAGGTTTCAACAGCTACTCAGCATGGACTATAATCAAGAAACAGGAGTATGGTACTTTTGACAGGGTGCGCAAAAAAATTGTAAAGTTTCAGGGCAATCCTTAAAGAATCCTAAAAAAAAAGAATTTGGTTTCAGTTAGCTCAATTTATAATTTAGTGATTTCCATGCACATTCCTATGAATGCATGATCAGATGTTCTGTTATGTTATGCAATTATGGCTAGTGTTAGGATACACTGTACATTTCCAAGTTCTTATTCAGCTCAAGAGTTCCTCAGATTTTGTAAACCGATGCCCAAATCAGAGGTCATCTTTCAATCTTGGAAGTGTATAGAATTCAAATGTACAGATAACTGTTGAAGAAGAAGAAGAAGAAGAAGAAGAAGAAGACTAGTAAGATGGGGATGGGTCATAGCATGCTACTACTTTCTCTCCAGCATATGCTGGCAGTTTTATTGACAGGAACATGATTTTGACTTAGCTGAAATTAATTTGCAGTAAGTTAAAAAACTTTTGAGGAATACAATGGACATTCCCTACCATGGACATCCTCAAAGCATTGACGTAGAAAGAACGGATTTCCCAATAGCAACAGATATTGTAGATGAATTTAACCAGGCGATGGAGCCAAAACACTCCAGCTATTATCAAAATGAAGATGACAAAAACATTGTTTCGGATCCTGGAAAAGAGATAAGACACAAGATTATTTAATCTTTTTATGAATGAAAACAAAGAATGATTTTGTGAAGTAAGATTAACTTCAATAAAATTTTAAACAGTAATGACACTAAATACAGTGCCTTGCGAAAGTATTCGGCCCCCTTGAACTTTTCAACCTTTTGCCACATTTCAGGCTTCAAACATAAAGATATAAATTTTTTATTTTATGTGAAGAATCACCAACAAGTGGGACACAATTGTGAAGTGGAACGAAATCTATTGGATTTTTGAAACTTTTTTAACTAATAAAAAAATGAAAAGTGGGGCGTGCAAAATTATTCGGCCCCCTTGCGTTAATACTTTGTAGAGCCACCTTTTGCTGCGATTACAGCTGCAAGTCGCTTGGGGTATGTCTCTATCAGTTTTGCACATCGAGAGACTGAAATTCTTGCCCATTCTTCCTTGCAAAACAGCTCGAGTTCAGTGAGGTTGGATGGAGAGCGTTTGTGAACAGCAGTTTTCAGCTCTTTCCACAGATTCTCGATTGGATTCAGGTCTGGACTTTGACTTGGCCATTCAAACACCTGGATACGTTTATTTGTGAACCATTCCTTTGTAGATTTTGCTGTATGTTTGGGATCATTGTCTTGTTGGAAGATAAATCTCTGTCCCAGTTTCAGGTCTTTTGCAGACTCCAACAGGTTTTCATCCAGAATGGTCCTGTATTTGGCTGCATCCATCTTCCCCTCAATTTTAACCATCTTCCCTGTCCCTGCTGAAGAAAAGCAGGCCCAAACCATGATGCTGCCACCACCATGTTTGACAGTGGGGATGGTGTGTTGAGGGTGATGAGCTGTGTTGCTTTTACGCCAAACATATCGTTTTGCATTGTGGCCAAAAAGTTCGATTTTGGTTTCATCTGACCAGAGCACCTTCTTCCACATGTTTGGGGTGTCTCCCAGGTGGCTTGTGGCAAACTTTAGACGAGACTTTTTATGGATATCTTTGAGAAATGGCTTTCTTCTTGCCACTCTTCCATAAAGGCCAGATTTGTGCAGTGTAAGACTGATTGTTGTCCTATGGACAGACTCTCCCACCTCAGCTGTAGTTCTCTGCAGTTCATCCAGAGTGATCATGGGCCTCTTGGCTGCATCTCTGATCAGTCTTCTCCTTGTCTGAGCTGAAAGTTTAGAGGGACGGCCAGGTCTTGGTAGATTTGCAGTGGTCTGATACTCCTTCCATTTCAAGATGATCGCTTGCACAGTGCTCCTTGGGATGTTTGAAGCTTGGGAAATCTTTTTGTATCCAAATCCGGCTTTAAACTTCTCCGCAACAGTATTACGGACCTGCCTGGTGTGTTCCTTGGTCTTCATGATGCTCTCTGCGCTTTCAACAGAACCTTGAGACTATCACAGAGCAGGTGCATTTATACAGAGACTTGATTACACACAGGTGGATTCTATTTATCACCATCAGTCATTTAGGACAACATTGGATCATTCAGAGATCCTCGCTGAACTTCTGGAGTGAGTTTGCTGCACTGAAAGTAAAGGGGCCGAATAATTTTGCACGCCCCACTTTTCATTTTTTTATTAGTTAAAAAAGTTTCAAAAATCCAATAGATTTCGTTCCACTTCACAATTGTGTCCCACTTGTTGGTGATTCTTCACATAAAATAAAAAATTTATATCTTTATGTTTGAAGCCTGAAATGTGGCAAAAGGTTGAAAAGTTCAAGGGGGCCGAATACTTTCGCAAGGCACTGTATAGTCCCTGACAAGTCATGACATTATATGAAACAAAAGGGAGTCATTTGGAGCCATTTGTAAGGGTAATATTACCTAAAAAATGATCTACTTTTAGAACAGACCATCAAAAGGAGACATTCTAAAGCATAAAGCTGGTTTTACCTGGAACTGCAGACATTCATAGGCAGAAATGCATCGGGAAGTGTGACTTTAAAAGTCTCCTGTGTCTGGTGAGTGTGGTTGACCATTTTGTTAGCAAACAAAATGTCATAATCAATGCAGTTTGCCAGGAACACGGTAAAGGTGACAACAAATACCAATTGCCTGTGAGACAGAAATTAACAATTATATTTAATAATCATAGATGTTGTATAACCTGTTGAAATAGTTAATATCAATTGGACAAAGAAAAACATATAGTTCAATGTTAATTTTGAAGAATGTATTTTTATAAGAGAATGTGTTTTAGAGCCTTCCAATCACCAGCACAACATTGCTAAAACAATCAATAATATCAAAGTGGAAATAAAGGCTTTAGACAAAAATGATTTGTGAATTTTGAAGATCTGAAGCATACTAAAATATCTAACATTTACTTACACAAGCTCAAAGATCTCCCCAAGCAGCATACATGTGAAGCCATTTTTCTGGTGCAGGTTATAGACGTAGAATGTCAAAGTTAAGGGGATAGTTCAGTAAAATGATAAACGGTGCAAAAAAAGAAGCATGCAATATATTCTGATGTGATGTAAAATTTGGAAAAAAAACCCTCAAATATTGTTTCCATGCCAGTAACAGCTTGTGAGGATTTTGTTACAAAATAAAATATATTTTCTTAATTTTGAAAGTGAAAACTTCTGAGAGGCAAAAAAACTGAAGACTCTGCCTTGACTGAGTAGTGAGGAGGAAAACACCCCCAGTTTCTCAACACATCCTCAGCAATGTGCACATTGTGTATGATGTGGTGAAACAGAAACTGAAACAGTTTTGGTTGGAGTTTCAGCATGTGTCTGTTATTTCTTTCAATTCACTTTTGCTGAATTAAAACTCTCAAACAGACTATACATGTGCTACAATAAAATAGTCTAGATAGGAAAACTGATCACTGTTCTGAGTAAACTGTGTATTCTGGGCTTCACAAAAAGGATATTCTCTGAAAAAAGAGGTCCAGGTTTTCTATATGATGCCACTGGGCTGCATGCGAGAAAAAAAGCATACATCATTAAACAGGATCAACAAGTACAAAAAATGTTGCACAATGTGTGCTCTGTATATTCAGTAAGACGCATTAGACCAATAAATGAATTAACTTTTATAAGCCATCTTTATCAGCTAAAACCATTAGAAAGAGAAGGATATTTTTTTTCACAGATTGCCATGTGATTTATTGGACAGTACTCACACTGACTAAATATAATGGTACTTCTCGCTAAAGCTAGGTTTGGTCTTTTACATGAAGCACAGTTATTTACAGTTGTTTTACTGTTTAAAGCACAACATTCCTTTTTAGCAAACACAAAACTCTAATGATAACAGTAAAACATATCACTGCACATTAACAATAATGTAATATGTATAAAGGCTGAGCTTTCTTCCCCAGGTTCCAACAATTTGGCACCATTGTGTCTTCAAGAATGTACATTTTAAAGAGGTGACAATAATCAGGTAATGGAACCAGTGATGGAAGGGTGCCAAAGTCCCGTAGGTTTTGCCCTACAGGGTAGCTAAATGGAAGGAAACTGAAGGATTAAGAAAACACAATCTCCAGGGTAAAGTGAATGAAGAGAGGTGATGCTTACACTTGCTGCCCTCTGGGACATGCACCAGCAAGTCCTCCTCCCCTGGTGGCGAGTCATTGTAAGACGCCTCCAGACGCTGGTACTCGGTGTCAAAGTGGGCCATGTTACTGTCTCATTCCACACCATGCCTCATTTGGAGCCATTACTCGTCTGGGTGGGAGACACAGGGACAGCTACAGAACTCTGCATGCAATCTTAAGCTCATTTACAATTTCAGAAGTCCCAGTCTAAAGTCCCTTTTAAATCTGTTTCAGAAGTGTAATGATAAGTACTTTGCTTGCTTCAAAAAAGAAATGATTTCATTTTTGCCAGCTCTTCTGAAGCCAAAGAATCAATCACCTAGTTTTTGGTATAGCATGTGATGATGTACTCATTTAGGTCCACAAGAAAATAACTGAAACGATTCAACTTCTGTGAGACTGGGCTTTCAATCTTTGTCATGCTGAAAATAACCAACCCAATAAAAAATCAATTCAAAGTTTGAGGATGTTTGTTGAGTATTTAAGTATAGTAAGATTTGATCCTGTGGTCGTAGGATGAGGAGGCTGGGACCTCCATCAAAATGAGGAGATAACCAAGTGATAGTTTAAAACTATAACCAAAGAAGTATAAAACAAGGAGGTGACTTATTACACACATATCACATATCCTTGATCTTTTAGTCTTTAGTCACCACTTTGTGCTAATGCCTCTTCTATGTTCCAAACATTTGTGGGAGGAGTTGGATTTGTTGAACCATGTAAAATGGAGGAGACACAAATAAACCTTTAATCATGCTGAATATCACTTCGTATAACAAGGATGATTTCTTAAAATTATCTTTATTCTTACCGTCATGATTTGTATTTGGTTTATAATGTATTTTTTCTGCACAATGTATTAATTCTTGTAGATTTTACTGAAACATTAATGGTTTGCAAACATACTGTACTATTCATTTTTGTGGTGAGGAGGCGGGTAACCCCAAAAGTCTGTTGTGTATAGAACTGTATAATATTCTCCCTGCAGATAGGGAACAAAAGTGAAAAGGAAAACGTGGATAAATACATTATAGGATAGCAAGCGCAAGCTTTTCCTCGCGAACTGGTGAGAACAGCCCTGACTTTTCGGAAGACTAAATTGCGTCTCTACTACTAGTGCAGAGCTGTAACAATGCTATCGACTGGTGAATCTACGCAGGTACTTCTACAGATGGATCTTTGCACTAAACGCCAATACAAATTTCAGACCGTAACATATAAAACGACAAACGTCATGAACATACTTTCCGTTTTCTGATTCTATCTGAATACCTCTATCACCAGCCAAAGCCCACAATGGTAAACAACTAAGTTAGTTTCTGCTGCAGGGTTGCCGAATCGGATTGGCCTGCTTTGCACACCACCCACACAACGATCGCACTCCTTAATCCGTCTGCGTTTTGTAATAATCGCTTTCTCATTACCTGGTGTATTATATTAGCCGAACTCTCTTAAAAATATCAATTTAGCAAAGACGCCAAACTCCAAAGTCGCGACACTCCTTTTGGACAGGCGTTTGGAGTAATTAGTGGACACACAGCACCCTCAATCGGGTCAACATACTGTATGTCATGTCAAAACGAAAACAGAAAAGCAGACGAGTGCGGTATCCTTTCTCTTCTTCCGAACGAAGGTCCAGTTTCCTTTCCGACAAGATTTTCCTAGCACAACTCCAACCTCTTACCTCTTGCATTTCAATCGACCTGTTTAAAATTCCAGTCCTAGCCTCATAAACTGCGTCTGTGGAATAAAAACAACACTGTGAATTACATCTCCTTTAGATAATCTAATGTCTTCAAATCATTTACACACTAAGTCACACTGGTCTGGAGAGCTGTGCATCGCAGTATGATTTGGTTCGTGTTATTGTAAATACCATAACCTGTCCATTCGACCACATCTATTATTTACTTGGCAACTGTATTACATGTCGTTATGAGCAATACACTTATATCGATAAAATTATGTTTAATGTAAAACCTACAGTGAAGTCACTGACATCCATTTCTGTCATAGGTAAATCGAATGTACACGTAATGTAGATCCGTAAACCATTACATAAACACGGCAGTGCGGTTGGTAATTTGCAGGTTGTCCTTCACAAGTACTTACCTCTATATTTTCGCTTACCTTTAAACCTGTATTTGAGAGAATGTATCTTTTCATATGTTTCTGGCAAGTCACAGACAAGCAGTTTTGGTTTCATTTCTCACTATACATCCAGAACCTGTCAATGTAGTGATCGACAGCCACTACAGCCAATCCACGACGGATTCTTTAAGAAAAAGTACAACAACAACCAATCGATTTAGACCGAAGCAGTCCTCGACTATCCCCCTCCGTTTTTTTCTGTCTCATAACAATCGTGCAGTGTGCACTTCTACAAACTGAGACTCCAGGAGTATGTACTTTATGTATGTGCATACCAGTCATAATCTGAAATCTGAAAAGATTGTTACCGATTAACATAATCATTGGAGTCCTTTATACACTCGATACGAAGCTGCCAAATAATTTTGGACCTTTCCGGGTTTTTTTTCTTCTGAACGCGGGCAATACATAAAGTATGAATCATAATTGCCTGTCCATCTATCATCATTATTATTTAATTTGTCAATCATTGATACGGTGCAGTAGTTAAAATTTCATGAAATTCATAATGAAATTACTGGTCAGTACCTGGATGGGAGACCTGGGAAAAACTAAGGTTGCTGCTGGAAGAGGTGTTAGTGGGGCCAGCAGGGGGCGCTCACCCTGCAGTCCATGTGGGTCCTAATGCCCCTGTATAGTGACGGGGACACGATACTGTAAACAGGCGCCTTCCTTCTGATGAGACGTAAAACCGGGGTCCTGACTCTCTGTGGTCATTAAAAATCCCAGGGTGTTTCTCGAAAAGAGTAGGGGTGTACCCCGGCGTCCTGGCCAAATTTCCCGTTGGCCCTTACCAATCATGGCCTAATAAACCCCTTCTATGAATTGGCTACATTACTCTGTTCTCCTCATCACTAATAGCTGATGTGTGGTGAGCGTTCTGGCGCACTATGGCTGCCGTCGCATCATCCAGGTGGATGCTGCACATTGGTGGTGGTGGAGGGAAGTTCCCATTACCTGTAAAGCGCTTTGAGTGGAGTGTCCAGAAAAGCGCTATATAAGTGTAAGCTATTATTATTATTATTATTATTATTATTATTATTATTATTATTATTATAGGATTTAGTCTGACCTATATCATTTTTGTCAATACACTATAGATTTCGGGGGGGAAAAAACAACCTGGAAAATTAAAATTTCACTGGAAAGTGAAATCTACTTCAATTTTTAAAAATAGGTGTCCCAGCTTTGTTTGTTTTATTCTTAATAATATTCTTAATTCCAAATAAAAATGTAAACGGATATCTCATGACCAATAATTTATTCTGCTATTTAAAAAGATAAGATTTCATGCATTGTAAAATAATTTCAATAATTAGCCTGGTTGATTTTATTCAAGGCGAGGCGCAAATCAATTAAATTAAATTCATTACAGGTGTGCTGTAATTTAAGTATTTTACAGTAATTCAATACAAACTCGTAGCTCTAAATGGGCACACTGTAAGTTTAAATTTTCTATATAAGATGGAATTTTCCAAGTAATACTGTAGATGCTATGTATGGCTGACCTATTGAGTGTTGAATTGTAATTAAAAAAGAAACCTTTACTAGTATTCCAATATAGAACAGAGTATCACTATCAAACCTAGTCAGTACGTCTCTGGAAGGTGGGTGAATTCGAAACACATGAAGACACGATAACATGCAAACTCCACACAGAAAGCTTTTCAGTCAAGGCTTGAACGGGACAGAAAATGCACTGAAATGTGCTGCCGCTATAATCGTCGTAAAATCTATTTTGATTGTCCCTCTTCAGCTTCCGTACTATGCAGTAATTCAAGTCCTCCTCGGGTAGGTTGTGTTTTTGAAATGGTAGTACGGTATGCTTATATAGCACGAGTTTCTGAATTGATATAATCGTATCGTTGAAAATATACAAGTAGTATAATATAATCGATGTACGATTTGATTCTTTCTTATAAAGACGAAAATAGCCTGACGGGGAAAACGCAAAATATATTGTCATTTCTGGACTGTTACAGTATTAACTTGTAGGTACAGCCTGCAATTTGTATTTCTGTATACCCGATTTTCCAAACTATATGTTTGCGGGGGAATATGGCAAGAACAAAGTTCTGGTGCTTCTTGTGCTGTTGCGACACGTGTTAAATAGTGAACTTTGACACAGATAAGAATTTGTTAATACGATACCAGCGCAAAAATCAGTTTAAACTTAAAGTCCGAGGTGCTTCTAGTAATTTTTCGAAACATTTTGAGAATTTATCATGTTCACAGTTATATATATATATATTGTACTTTTTCTTCCATTTAAAGACAAAGTTGGGTGTTGCTTAGTCATATCAAATTTGACTTGCTCATGAGTCTTTCGGTTTGGTGTTGCGTTACATACTTTACATACAGCGCAACAGCCAACTTTGAACTGAGAAACCCGGTATTACATCATTTGCATTAAAACACAATGTGTGACAACAGCCGTGTTTAGCAAATGTTGTAGTCGAGTAAGCATTATCTTGGGAGGCGGTAAACAACGAGTTTTTACAAGATAGTACTAAGTAGGCGTCTTTAAGAAGTTTCTTATTTTAGCTGTTCAAGCTTTTGAATTTAGAAATTAAATTATGTCATGGTACTTTAGGTAATTAAACTTCAATTTATATATATATTACCACAAAAGCCTCTTTGTTGCAGATACCCTGGCTTCTTATAAGAAATGTGTGGATGAGACGCGCGGCTCGATTAGATCGTTCTAGATCATTAACGATGTAGAATGAACCGAATGGCCTCTCGTTTGTAACTGTTCAACCACGTCACGGGGTAGTTTGATCCATTCACCCATATGGTTGTATTGAAGTCATTAGAAGTGAACTGAGTCAGAGGAGGTGTCTTTAGTGATTATTGAGTGTCAGATCTTGTGTGGTGCAGGTGATCCCACCGTGTTGGCAGCCATGGCACATCCAGAATCCCATTCAGTGTTTGACTGCCACCAAGAACCTTCTTTGCTGGAGGGGCTGCAGGAGGTCACTGACACCCAAGGACCTGCCATGCCTACCAATGCCATCTCTCCTAATACAGGTACATTTTAATGTGTGCACTGCGTTCATTCTGCCTCTTTTCACCCTCTTTTCCAGAAACTTCCCCCTGTGATCATAAAATGTGTTAACACACCTTAAAGCCAAGACACTAGTCAACCCATTGCTTAAGCGTTAGCAAAAATGTTATTAGAGCTTCATATAGTTTTATCTGAGAGATTTGCTGCCTTCCAATTTAAACATTTATTTATGGAATGCAATACAGTATATGTCTCTATTGTGCTTTCTTTTGCTTTGTTTGCCTTTTTACTTGTAACTTTTAGCTGTGCAAAAATGTCAATTACAGGATTATAAAAAAACTGTAAATAATGTAGTGTAAATTATGCCTCCAGTTGCTTGTGAATGAATCAGTTTTATCTCTTTTGCTTACATTGAAGGTTTTCCATTGTTCATTGCATGGTAGAGCAAAATATAGTTAAAAAATACTCTGTAGTATTTTACCACCCCATACTGATTAATGAGCTAATGCTAGAGTTTGGGTAAGTGTTTTTCACAGCATTTTTACAGCTGTCTTTAGACAGTGTCAAATAATTTTCTGATGCAAGACTGCTGTAACTCCATCGCGATCATCAGTCATTAGGAGCTCTTACAGTTCTCCTGCTGTAATATACAAAAGAGCTAAAGGTGACCAAATGTGTGCTGAAGTGGTGGTGATCGAAGAGGGGGCTTTGCCTATGCATAAGACCTTTCTACAGTGTGGGTAAGTCACTAATGGAGACTTCTTTCCTTCTTCCAGATGAAAAACTTTTAGCAGATAGCAGTAAGGGTCCGACTGTAACTATCGTCGAGGTATCTGACAGGATGTTTTGCTCTGCCTGCCAGTGCCCTTTTGAGAGCCGGGAAGAGCAGGTGAGCCTCTTAGACTTCGAAAGACTGCTTTTTAAGTTCATTTACAATTTCAGAAGTCCAAGTCTAAAGTCCCTAGTCTGTAGACAACCTAAACAGTTTAGTAAAGAAGAAACAGTTAAGCCTCCAAAATCCCAAAGTTTGACAAATGGAGAGTCTTCTGTAAAAGAAAGGGCTGCATACTCTTTCTTTGTATTTTTTTGTGAATCTCCTCTCCTTTCTCCCTTTTTTATTTGTAGGTGTTTTTATATGAATATGTATGAGTTTAAATCCTTTTAAATCAGTTTCAGAAGTGTGATGATAAGTACTTTGTTTGCTTAAAAAATGATTTCATTTTTAGAAATAGTTTTGAAACAAGGTGGTCTGTCATCTAACAACATGAAATTTCACATTTGACTCACATTAGAATACCATTGAGAATTCCTTCTCTTAAGAGATTTCTTTATTTTAAGTGACTGTGACACTTAACTCTTCTGTACTAATGTTAGTTCATTAGGCTGAGGCCCATTATCAGTTTCTTCCTCGGCAAATACCTGAGTTAATTGAATACATCTGTAATTTTCCTCTCATTTTTAAAAAATAATTATTATATACTCAAGTATATACTGAACTATATATCCTGGCCTATTTAAATTGCTATTTTTACTTATAATTCACTCACTACTTTTCTTTAAATAATATCAAATCATATCATAGAAAGCAGTCACCAGTCAGTGATAGGTAATGAAAACACAGCCTAGACTTGAATGTAAATAAAAAAAGAAAATTGTAATTAGTATGTCTTCAGTATGTCTATTAATTTAAAATTTACATTTAAATATTTGAAAATTCCCTTCAGGATAGCTAGGGTGGGGTTCACATAACTTATTTCTCTTCTGATTGCTCTTCACAAACACAATATGTCACTTTCAGAGAAAGCAATGTCTGTATGCATTCTTAACTGACAAACTACTAATTTTGTACTATTATTATTATATGATATCCTTGGGGACTGGATTCCAGAGATCTGGGGCATAACAAGAGAAAGCCCTGTCACCCATAAAGTATAAGCTAGTCTGGGGGACAAACAGGGGACCAGAATCAGTTGAACAAAAATTGCAAGGTGGAGAGTAGGAAGATAATGAGGTACTGAGGTGCCAAGCCACATAAAGCCTTATACTGTAGGTGAGCATGGGGATTATTATGTAGACACAAAACCTGGTAGGAAGCCAGTGCAAAGACTCCAGGACAGGATTGCTTGGAAGCAGCTTGTTCAGAATTCTGGCTGTACTGAAGTTGAAATTTGTTTAGTTTGGATTTAGATACCACAGTGATTGGGGAATGGCAGTAATCAATTCAACGTAAGATGTAATCTGATTGTCCTATTGTCTATTGTCCTATTGTAAGTGACTCTCAGCTGCATTTATAGTCTTGGAGATGACCCATGCTTAATGTGCTTTGGTTAAGACAATCTGAAAACAATGATGTGTGCTGGTTTCCTTTTGCTCTCAGACAGAACATTACAGACTGGATTGGCACCGGTTTAACCTGCGGCAGCGGCTTTTGGGGGCACAGCCCACCACTGCAGAGGAGTTTGAGAGCCGGACTGGAGCAGGTACCTCATGGCGCTGCATAGTCTAGATTGGTAGGGGTACCAAGTGTTATAGGAAAGTAGTTACAGGTTTTCACACTACCTCAGAAACAGTCATGCTGTCGGGTTGCTTACAGTCCCCCCATAAAATTATCAAATGTTCTTATGAACTGAATAATGAGTATAGTTTTGGCACAGAGTTTGGAGCAGTTTAAGTAGCAGTGCAAAGATGACCTGCCTGAAAGCTGATGAGTCTTTCAGCTACAGTGGGTTGTCTGTAGTCAGAGGTAAATTGGTATTCTTTAGATTTTTTAAAAGAATGTTTCTTATTTCTACTGATCCCAATCCTGGTCCTAAAAGCCTACACACCCGCTGGTTTTTGTTTCAACTGAACTCTCAGTTACACAATTGTACCCTTTTTGGACTCAGCAATAGGTTTATTTCAGTTCCGAAACATGTTGCCTTTTAACTGTTGCATAAAATAAAATCCCAAAATTTGGAGTAGAAAACAAACTTGCGGATATTCCAATTAAGCAACTTTTTAGTTCAGTTAAGGCTCTAGTTACCTGTAGGTAATTAGGGTCGACTGGATTCAAAACCAGTAGGTTTGTGGTAGGTAACCCACGTCTTATATTACAGACAACATAGAGCATTTACCATTTTTTTAAAGTAAAAATGACTTTAGAAGTTTTATTTGATACTTAATGAACATTGTTTTAGATTTAGGCATTATATTTTCTACATGGAAGCACAGCACAATAGATAAGGATTATTGGGTATTTCACTTAGATTATTCTTCCTCTGTTTTTAATTGTTTCATAAGTTCCTGTTTGATTTGCTAACACTGTACCTTAATGCCGATCCATGTGATAGGAAAAGAAAATACATTTTTTTCATTTACAGGTCAGTCTGCCTCACAAACGTTTCGGTATTATGTTTTATTTCTCTTACTTGATGGGTCTGAAATATTGATTATTGATCAATAGTATTGATTATTGACACTTGAGATGTCTGCTGTTGGGAAATTCTGCTGTTTTTTCTCTGTCAACTGCACCTTTATCAGAAAGATGCTTTTAAAAATATTCTCTTGAAAACAACTTTGCAGGGGTGGATTTGTTATTCACTAGATCTAGTACCTGCATTGGGATGTATCTGAAGGACTCCTCCATTACCAACAAAGCGATATCAGACTAGCTCCTAGGATTTTATTGTTTTGAATGCTTGAGAAATAACAGTGCTTGCTGTTTGCTGTCAGGTGACCTGTCCAGTATCTCTGGGTCAGACTCTGAAGATGAAGGCTCTGACAGTGACTGGGGTTACCGTGGTGATCGGGACAGTGGCTCAGCTGGGACAGACAGTCCTCCTGACAGCGAGGTGTCGACTGGGCGCATTTCCTGCAGAGTCCTCTTCAGTAACTCCAAGGGGCAGTATCTGTCTGTCTACCGCTGCATACTGTGCAGCAAGAAGGTACAAGCAAGGATAGAGGATAAGCCAGTCGAGAGCAGAAACACTGTCGTATACTGCATCTATACTTTCTCCATACATTCTCTCACTTTAGGGTGCCTGGGTCTACAGACTGTATGGTTGGATCATTTCTGGCAGATGTGTCAGTTTTAAATATTGAGTGTAAAAGCCATGATTTTAAAAATACAAAAAAATATTTTTTCATTGTGGCACACTGCGGCCACTCTTGCATCCATGCCCCAGAGTGAAATGAGGTTCTTCTAAAGTTCTTCTCTCTCAGTTATAAATTCAGATTTAACACCTGGCAGTGCAGGTACTTTATAATGTGATCCCCAGGTGCTGTTGATATTAAGACAGAATGCTCAAAAAATGATAGTCTAATGTTATGGTTCTGTACCCCCCTGTTTAATGCTTTTTGCTTATAACTAGGCAACTGTGACTGATTCAATTTATTTTTTAACTAGTCCAGCTGTTTTTACAGCATTATTGTATGTTTTAGGAGGGAGTTAAGAATTCTTTGATGTTAATGCTGTCAGTACTGTCCCAAATGATATTGTCCTTTGGATAAAGTTTAATTGTGTCAAACTCTCCTGCTGTCTTGCAGATGGAGAGTGAAAATGACCTGGCAGCCTCCCTACAGAAGCTCAGTAAAAAGGCTGTGTGGGTCATCCTGATGGCTGGAGGAGGGCATTTTGCTGGAGCAGTGTTTCAAGGGTACAACAACTCCCTTTTTGAAAAAGTTTTTATGACAGGAAAGTGTTGACACTGTTCATTGTTGACACATTTATTTCAGCAGGTGCTACATAGTTATTTCTAGATTCATAATTACACCACCACATAGCCAGAAACAAGAGTCTGACCCAGAGATAATGTAACAAATAATAATAATAAAAATTGCTTAGCGCTTGTATAGCGCTTTTCTGGACACTCCACTCAAAGCGCTTTACAGGTAATGGGGACTCCCCTCAGCAACCACCAATGTGAAGCCCCACCTGGATGATGCGACGGCAGCCATAGTGCGCCAGAACGCTCACCACACACCAGCTATCAGTGGGGAGGAGAGCAGAGTGATGAAGCCAGTTCAGAGATGGGAATTATTAGGAGGCCATGATTGGTAAAGGCCAATGGGAATTTTGGTCAGGATGCCGGAGTTACAGCAATACTCTTTCAGAGAAACTCGCTGAGATTTTTAATGACCACAGATAGTCAGGACCTCGGTTTTACGTCTCATCCAAAGGACGGCGCCTCTTTACAGTATAGTGTATCCTATCATCTGTGGAATAACTCTTCATTGTAAAACTATGTATTAACTTTGGGTGAAATTATTACACACCTGAGGACCTTTTGTTATAAATGGAAAAGCTATAGAAATAAAGGTTGTTGAAGCAGTCTTAATAAGAAAGGATCTCATTGTGATACTGTGCTGTTCTTTGTTCTGATGTTTGAACTGAGTTTTATTAGATCATTGATCTAATGCTAGGAAAGAAAGGCAAAATCCTCTAATAGATGAGATATTGGCATCTACAATATGTATAGTCTCTATGCTGCATCGGTAGAGACACCTGTTGACATACTTTTCATCTCCAGTTCTGTTCTGTTAGCTGGGGCACGTAAACAATTGCGCAGACCTCTTTCTCCTGATTTTCCAGGAGGGACATTCTGCAGCACAAGACCTTCCATCGGTATACAGTTCGTGCGAAGCGTGGTACCGCACAGGGCCTGAGAGACTCCCAGAACCGCAGCCATGCTCCCAAATCTGCTGGCGCAGCCCTGCGCAGGTACAATGAGGCCGCACTGCTGAAGGTAGGGCCATCTCCTCCGTCTGCTTTCTTACTAAACTCAACCACTTTCCCATTCAGTTTCTATGCTGAACAGTCTCAAGCTGTTTGCCAAGGCCAGACACTCCTGTTGTTCAAATGTACTTGCTCCAATCTTACAGTGTAAACAAAGGGAAGCTTTTCAGTACTAGTGTGCAAAATCCACATTATAATGTAATGGATCTGCTTTTGATTGTATATGTGGTGGATTTATTCATTTGTAGTTGTGTTTTTTATTTTTTTACTTAATAATAGAATAATTAATATGTTGTTATTCAAAGTGATTCCGTTAAATTGGGGTTTTTCTAAAGCTAGAAAAGGTTTAGGTAATCAATATCTTATGACATTATATGCAGTTAAGAAAATGAATGAACAAATAAGTCAAATTTATTTGGACTGAGAGACATACATTTCTCTTTTGCCTGAGGAGTGCAGATGTCACATTCCTGCTTTTGAAGAGCTGTTGCTGTTTTAATAAACATCTATATTATTGTGATTGATGGTTTTGGTCGCTTGCCTTTCTTCCTCTTCTGCAAATATAAACTTTTGTGAATTTTGAAATACACACTTTGAGAAGGATTCAGGAGTCTCGTCAAGCTTCATTATAAACTCATTTTTCAGATCACTAGTTTCTTTTTGGTGGTGGCCAGTGTTAAAAATGCTGAAGTAATAGTTGTAATAATACTAATTGTTATTTATTCAACATAACTTAGTGTTCTTAATCAACAAAATAAAATTTAGCATTTGTACGACATCACACTAATTAGCAAATTAAAGCACATGGAGTTATCATGGTGTTAAAAGTTAATGTTTTTTGTTTTGAGTAATCAATACATAGGAGAGGATATGAGGGCTTAAATGTTCTATTTGTATCTTTTATTAGAATTTTAAGTAGATCCTTATAAAAACTCCACAGTGTTCATTTTTGGGTGTTTATATTGTTCATACTGTACAGAGCCTAATTCTTTAAGTAACTGACAAGAACTGATAAGAGCTTCCCAGCATGACTTTCTTTATTATTATCAAAGTGCATTGTTTTGTCTGTAAAAAATGCATCCAAATAAAATGCAGGAAAAAAAGATTTTAATCAAAAAATAAACCTGTCACAGACACTTGCACTTTAACACATGTTGCTGAAGAGAATTCGGTCTCTTGATTGAATAAAAAGGGCATTATGGTACATGCACCAACATCTGTAGCATTGTCTACTGTCCGTTTCATATTAATGTAGAATAAGCAATGCAGGATGGTCCTGGCTTACTCTGGCCCTCAGTACTACTGTGTTTGGCTGCAGCTACTGCTTTGTACTATTGTCATGTTGCCACCCTCATCACTTGCCTGCATGTTAATCTCGGCGAGTGGCAGAACGTTATTTAGTACAGAATGTACAATGAATTGCACTTGCCACGTGCTTGTTTGTTTTCATTTATTTTTATGTGTGTTTTTTCTCTTGGATATTTTTGTGGATGCGGCTGTACCTTCCTGGTCCCTATTGATCAGCAGCAACAATTTCTTTCTAACTAACCATGTTATTAGGGCTCCCATGAAGAGCCTGTAGATGGGACTGGTGTAGAGTGGTGTAGAGTACTCAGGATTGATGAAGGTACCATGTGCTGTGTTGCAGGATATCCAGGATCTGCTGGAGAGCTGGGCGAATCACCTTAGTGATGCCAATGCCATATTCCTTCGTGCCCCCTCCTATAACCGGGCCATGTTCTTTGGGGGGCGCCCAGCCCCGCTGGAGAGGAACGACCAGCGCATCCGCACACTGCCCTTTCCAACCCGTCGCCCCACCTTCCGCGAGGTCAAGAGGGTACATGAGGCCCTCTCCACGTTACATGTCTATGGTAAACAATGTTTGGCATTAGAATTAAAAAAATGGTGCATAAAATAATCTTAGCTGAGATCTGTGGATCAATATAATGCTAGCTATGAAAGGAAAAGAGACATGAATGGTAACCACTCTCACTATTGCTTAAGCTATCTTTAATTCTCCGCATGGAGCTGTATCTTAGACAAAGGAACGCCATGCCTGCATAGCTGCCACTAGAGTCACTAACGCTTCTGCCAAGAGAAGCTAGTTAAGTTGATTATGACATGTATTCCCCAAGCGGCAACACACGATTGCCCGGGCGCTAGCAAGTTTAGGGTGATATTAGCCTGGGTTCTCTCGGCCCTCAGTGACTGTTAGTGGTGTTAGTGGGCCTATCCTCTGATTGGCACTGCACCGCCATTCGATGTGTTAAAAGACAAAGGTGAGGGTTTGAAGGTGGGCGAGTCTTGTTTTTCCCGATGTGTGATCGCTTGGCTTACATCGTGTAAACCAAGATGTGAAAAATATCAGTTGACTCTTCCAAATTCAGTGATTCTAATAAAAAAATTGACATTTCTAATTTATAAAAAAGAGACTTGTTTTTAATACTGTGGTCAATAAATTATAGTGTTAATGATAAAACATTGTATGTAAAGCTAAATCTTGCTTATTCATAATGAGCTTTGTTTGATCCCATGAATACAATTTGTATTTTTGTCTCGGTTTGGGTCGATGAACCATGATAAAAAACCACAGAGATGAGAATTTTTTGTGGCCGTATTTTTGGTGGCCTCTAGTGGTGTCCATGGGAGAAGACATTACACCAAGAGGATAAGTATTGATTTTGCATTGCAGGAAAAGACACTGATATTGCCAACATCATCAGTTCTCCAAAGAAGGTGTGGAAGAAGGCATCGAAACCATCACAAAAAGCCACTTCCGTACTGCAGATAAATGGTGAGTTAGTGGTCCTAAAAGCATGATGGGCTGAATTTATTGGTAGTAGTTCAGGTGGGTAGCTGCGTCAGCATGCGTAGGCTGCAAAGGCACAAGTAGTAGGTTTATTCCATGCTGAAAAAAAGAAGAAAGAGAACACAATGTTTTGGCCATGGAGCCTTCTTCAGGTGTGAGAGAGACAGGGCAGTAGGCAAAGGTAAAGTAGTGGGAGAACTACATGTACCCATCGGTCATGCTAATAAAGCACCTTGAATTGAATTGAACAAAGGTTGGGAGGGAGGAGGAGTGAGAGGCGGGAGCAGGGGACAGAAAGAGAGGCCAATCAAGAGGTGTGAAGTCAGAATGGGTGCAGAGAGGTGTGAAATGAAACTTCCTATAAACCTATTACTAATAAACCTATTACTTGTTCCTTTGAATTTATTGGTATTGACTACAGAATTAACATTTTACAAGGACAGTGATTTGGACTTGTGGATTTTCTTTTTTTCTGTTTTCCCTGAAGTTGTTAGTACTGTGAATTTTGTGTCTCCAGAAAACTGTTCATTAACCCCAAGTACACTGATAATCTTTTCTTGCTTTTTCATTGCATTGCATTTCATACACAGAAATAAGCTTTGTATGGAAGCTCATTTCCGCCAGGGAGTAAAAAAAAAACGCGCTATGGTATCTCAGAATTGCGACTTGGCAACTCAGAATTGCGACTTGGCAACTCAGAATTCCGACTTTATATCTCACATTTGCGACTTAGCAACTCAGAATTGCGACTTCGAAATAGCCCATATTTCCTTGTCTGTCCTTTTGTTATTGTAACGGATTCGGGTTCTAGGGCTTGTGCCCTCGCCGCTACCACCCTAGTTCGTGTATAATTCTGAGTTGCTAAGTCACAATTCTGAGTTGCTAAGTCGGAAATTTAAGATACCATAGCGCGTTTTTTTTTACTCCCTGGAGGAAACGGGCTTCCATAGCTTTGAGCCACTTATAAGTTTAAATAAAAACTAGTCAGTATGCATGAACGTTATTATGTATAGGACCTTGGGATCTGCAGGTTTTTAACAATCAGGTTATTACTGTGTTAGTTGTTTTACTTTTGGTGACAGAGGGCTGATAATGTAAAGCAACCAGCAAAAACTGATGGATATATTGCATAAGACTAACAGCGAGGCTAGCTAGTTTTGAAATATTCCATTGATTAATGTACGACAGTATGTGTGTATGCTTTCCCAAGGACAGTTTCTCCCACTTGTGTCTGTTGGCCCATGGCGCGGGAGTCGGGCACCTGTCAGATCTGAGCAGGGGTGCGGTGTGTTTTGTCTCTGGCAGCAGCAGTGGAGGAGGAGGTGGAGAAGGACTGCTCTGGAGAGGAGAGCCCTGCAGTGGAGCTGGAGACAGTGGAGCTGAGCCTGAGCACGCTGGAGCTGAAGGAGTTCGAGATCTGTCCACGCAAGAAGAGGCACAAGAAAAAGAAGAAGCAGGCTGCAGCAGCAACAGGTACAGGTGGTCAACATCTTACAGTTACAAAAAGTGACAAGAAAAATGAGGTTATGCATTAAAGGTATCTCATGCTATCTTATCTCATGCTGTTAAAGCAGAGTTTGAGTAAATCAGATATGAGTTTCTCCACACACTTCGCACTTGTTTACTTCAAATGTAAAGTTGATGACATACTCACCATGGTTGATGGTTGATGACCAGTTCAACATGCTTTGTATTTCTGTATGCCACAAGCTATGAGTGGTATTGTTACAATGCTGCTGTACACAGGGCACAGCCGTGGGTGAGATTGGGCAGAATCCAAGCGCAAGGGACCGGAGAGATATGGAGAAGCCCGAAAAGAGCCGAGTGTGAGGGTTATTAACTCTCAGGATCAACTGAGGGAAAGTGAAGAATTAGAAAGGCGATTAAATGTAAATAGAACTGGCCAGACAGCCTGGAAAATAGGAAAGCTGGCACTGTTTCTGATGGACCGGGCGCTTAATCATCATTCAGAATGATGAGCCCACCGGTGATCGGGTCCTGTGCCGAGCTCCCGAGGAAAAGGAGGCGAAAAGGAAAAAGTAAGGGGAGAGGCACTCAGGTCAGTAACCGTGCTGTGTCTGGTAGGCCTCAGAGAGCAGAGCGGTTCAGCCACAGTGGCAGGGCAGGAAACTCCTCTCCTGGTGGTCTGTATGGAGGGAACCAGAATCCCCGGTGCCTGTGGGACAGGACTGACAGAGATATCTGCTGGGAATGGAACCTATCCAACAACACAGTCCCAGTCAGAGGTCCCAGAGGGAGCCCAGGGAATGGAATTCCAAAACAAGGAAGGCTTCGCTCGGACCCTGATTGGTGGCTTAGGATAGAAGAAAAACAGAAAATGAATTAAAGGGGAGAGTCACATAGATGCAGAACTAAACTCTTATCTGGTATTTGTTACTGTGTATGTTCCACAGTGTGCAGCTAGTGACAGTTTTGGACAGTTTGTCTCTTGTTTTTTTTTTTACCCTGCGATAAGTCTCAATTATTGAGATATTTTAAGCAGTTTTAAATTTTGCCCTAGGAGACCCCTAAAATGAACTAAACACCAGAGTTGCCATATTTACCATTTACTTACAGAGGTCATTACAGTGTAAGATTGGAAATGCAAAGTGTCAGAACTATTTAAACAAAAATAAATATAAACTCTCAACATGTGTGATTCGACAAGTTATATCACTGCTTTCAGGTGCAATAATGTAATTATTATTACATTTTGTTTCAATGGATTAGATTTACACAACTTGTTTGCTTCTGCTAACCCTCAATACTGTAGAAGGAGATAAGTGACACAAAAATGGAATTAAAATCAGAATTTATCTCATGTACATCTTTTACTTGAAGGGGTTTGCTGTATATTTCACCTTTTTAATTCTACAGGTTTCCTGGTTGTAACAGGCATTTGGTTCGATTCCTAATTGTTTTCTATTTCAGATTTTTTTAACTGTGACTTTACAGTCAGAGGCAGGCAGTTTTGAATTGTGATTGATGGCTGTCTGTGTTTAGACTTGGTGTCTAGGGAGTCAGTTGAGCAGAGAGAGTATTCCGAGAACCCAGAGCCAGCAGACGGCGTGGAGGGACCAGAGAGGTCCGTGGCAAAGCGGAAACCCAGGAGGAACAGGAAGGCTCAAGCTCATTCTCCAGAGCAGGGTGAGCTGGAATGGGAATGGCTTTCTTTCTTCTTTTGTTATGACATGTTTTGTAGTAAGGGTATTTCTCCCTAGTGAATGAAGAGCAGTTTGTTAATTACATAAACTTCCTTTTCATTTTTTAGTTTAGGTGGGTAGCTGCGTCAGCATGTGTAGGCTGCAAAGGAACAAGTAATAGCTTTATTCCACGCTGAAAAGAGAAGAAAGAAAGCACAAAGTTTCGGCCGTGGAGCCTTCTTCAAACACCTTTAGTTTCACTTTTACATTTCACAGTATCCCATTATATGTTAGTAAGTAATTTTTGTAAAGATTTCTGTTTAGTTTGTCATAAACAAACTACAAGCTGGAAAAACATTCTATCATATCAACTGTCTGGTAAACATCACATCTTCACTTTCTGTGTTGTGCTGGTTTTGGCTTACAGTGTTTTACCTGTGAATCTCAGAACATTGAATAATACAAGTTTTCTTCCCCAGTACATTTCCTTGCAATACACAGTGAAGTATTATTAGACAGTTGAGTAATCATTGAAGCAAAGTGTATTCTATTCAAAAATGTTCCATGAAAAGTATACAGAAACAGGACATACAGGAAAGGGAAAACCTCTGCAAGATTCCTGTGCTGTGCTTAAATGACATCGCAGTTTGATCTGCTCCTTTCCAGGCATGGGCGCAGAATACCCGGAGTACGGCCTGCGGGACTCCCTATACACTGCCTGTAAGACTGGAGATGTGGAGACCCTCCTGAGCCTCCTCCAGCCGCAGGGCCCAGGGAGGGAGGATGGGACCTGTCCTTCTGTGGAGACGCATGCTCCAGTGACCTCTGACCTGCTGAATAGTGAGATTGACCCCGCAGGATTCACCCTGTTGCATGTTGCAGCTGCAGCAGGGCACAGAGCTGTGATCCGGCTCCTGCTGGATGCTGGTAGCGACCCTGCATGCAGGTACACAAAGCAGAGTCATCTGCACAGATGAACAAGACATCTAAAACTATGAGGAGAAACAAGAGTATCATAACTTCCATTTTGTCTAACTCTTTCCTGTCTAGGATTAAAATGAGCTAACAGCACCTCTTTAAGCCTCCTTAATGAATACTAAATAGTAATATACAGTACAATTGTTTAACGTTTAATTTCTTATGGTCATTCTGTAATGGTCTTGAAAGAAGGCCCGTAGGATTTTTAAACAACATACAGTATATTGTGATTTGATTGTCCTGTGGTAAGAATTTCAGTTCTTTTAAGTAATTATTAGCTGAAACTGATGTGCAGTCATTGGTTTATTAAAAAAATTGAATAAAGTTAAAGGGGAACTACAATGCTATTTTTAGATTTTGGGGTTAGAAAGAACTGGCATTGATGAGTGCATTTCAAACCACAATGAAAGTAAAATGTACACAGTAACATGTAAAACCTCCAATTTACATCACAAAATAGATTACATTTCCAGGTATGTGCAGTGCCATATTCTGCGATTCAGAACAAGGCAACCAGTCTTCTGCTTAGGTGAAGTGTCCCTATTACATGGTAAACAAGCAGGCTTGTGAATACATCTCTTTTAATCCAATAAAAATATTGCTCTCGATTTCGAGACCGTTTTTGCTGACAAATATTACTTGTTAACTCTCGGATCATGATGTGAAAATGTCTGGTATACTACTCTTAATTATTTGCTTTTACATCACATTACATTAGTCATTTTAGTGACTAGTGAGTAGGAAGGGCCACTTCACATCTCAAACTTGACAACATGGCAACTATGCAATACTTTCACATACTGTAAAAACGTTCACTATTTTGTGCTTAATTTGGAATTTATAAAATGTTGCAATACCATAAATTAATTTATTTTGTAACCGAAATTAAAAACTAGTCTGAGAAATTGGAGTTCCCTTTTAAATTATTAATCATTCATAATTATCTTGATAAATATGTAATAAATACATTGTAAAATATACAAATAAAGTTGCAGAGAAATCTAAAAAAAACTCATCTATCCTAAAAAAAGTGCTTAGCAGAAGCTGTGTTTTGAGTTTCTCTTATCGTTCTTAGAGACAAGAAAGGACAGACTCCGTACGCAGTGGCTGCTGAGAAGGATACCAGGAATGAATTTCGCAAGTACATGGCTGAGAACCCTAACAAATACGATTATATCAAAGCACAGGTAGGCTTTTTGGATGACTTCTGTAAACATTTTGTGTGTTGCGAGACAACTTTAAGTACCTGAGCTTTTATGTTGCTAACTTTCCACCAGACCAAACTACGTATGAAAAAGACATGGGTGTTTATGTTGACACATTGCTTATATCTTCCAGACAATGCCAGGAGATAAATTAAAGGCAAACAAAATGCTTCAAATATATAGTTAAAATCATAGAATTCTAATCAAGAGTTGTAATGTTAAAAATTGTATCATGCATTAGCCAAGGTGATATTGCCCTGCTCAAGTAATTCAGTTAACCTGTAATCTGTGATTAGATCTTAATAGTGATATACAGTACATGAAAGGGTTCAAGGAAATGTGCTGTGAAAGCTTGATGGCAGTTATAATTGCTGTGATACACAGGCGATTTGAGATTGTGGAATAAACTGATTGTGTCTGTGTATGAGGTCCCAGGACCACTGACGGCGGAGATTGAATCAAAAAAGATGGAGAAGAAAAGGGCACAGAAAGCCGCAAAGAAGCAGCGGGAGAAGGAACAGAGAGAGGAGAGGAAGAAACAGGAAGTGGAAGAGGAAGAGAAGAGGAGATACGCGGCACTCAGCGATCGAGAGAAGGTAAGACAGAGTCGTGGAGCTGCTGTGTTCACTTATCTCTCCAAGAAAACAGAAATTTAATGTGCTCACTCACTGGGGGGAGTCAGATTAGTCCTTTACTTGAGAAGGGGAAAATGACTAATACCAAATATAGTGACTAGATTGTTAATTCTTCAGTTGCTAACCCACTAATCGAGATCTATTGTTTATTAGAAAAGCATATTTGTCTGGCATAATGTCTTATACACAGCAGAATAATAGAAATAATATCTGTCTTTTTTATCTCTGGAAAGAATCAGTTTTTCCTATGTAGAAAATTGCCTTTTCAAACTTTCAGAATGACTCTTTTATTCATAAATAGAAAATAAATGTAATTATGTATAGTTTATAATACTGTCATATTCAGTGACCTCTGAATTTTAATTTTATTGGACAGTACTTCGACATCAAAATACTAGCATTGTAAAATCCCCACCCCAATGTGACTATAGTCTTTAAGAAGTTTGAAAATCTGAAAACAGAGCAGAGTGTATAAACTATGAAGCCATTTTAAATTCACATTAAAAAACAATGTTTAATAGCCAGACTCTGAACCCTGTAATAATAATAAAGAATTAAATAATTCTTTAATTCTTCCACAGAGAGCTGTGGCAGCAGAGAGAAGGTTGGCACACCAGATGGCAACAAGTGGAGGCACAGTTTCTAATGCAAGGTACAGTGGGGCTATATACTCAATCCTCAATCCTATAAAAACTATGGAGAAGAAAAAGATTAGGAAAATGGGTGAGTTATTTAATAAATCAAGTACAGTACTTATTTTTTTCAGGTTTGGGAACTCTGGTTCTTGAAAGATGAAGATCATTCATATATTTGTTCTAAACAAACTCCGAAATCTTTAAATTGTGCAATGCTTTTTCATTGATTATTTAATTATTACCTAAAAAACTAGCTGGAATGGGGCTCTTCTGGAACAGGAATGGAACCTTCTGTGTCTGATTTTATTCTTCATGTTTAGTATTTATTGAATATTTGATAGGAGGAGTTTTCTTTGTTTGGACTCAGACTATAATTCTTTCTAGTAGCTGAGGCCTCTGCTATGCCTTCACCCTACCTGCTTTCTTAAAATATGTGTGCTAGTTATAGACATGATAATTCACATGATTACAATACAATCACCATACTGCAGTAACATACTACAGCTATTTACTGTAAAAACATAGTGTATTTAAGAACTGAATATTTTAATAAAAGAGCAGTCCAATGTCTATGACTGTGATTTGTAGAGATACAAATTCTAGAATACAAGGAACATGGTTTACATACATATTTATTGTAAATTAAGCATGTGAAGTGATAACATTTCCTTTCAACTTGGTATTTGTGGTTGTGTTTTCCATTTTTGTTTACTATTCAATGATGAAACTAGTGGTACTAGTACATAACTGGTTGGCCAAGTTTGAAAACTGTCAAGGAGTTTTAGTTACAGTGGTTTTGATTTCACATGTATACCAAGTCCAAAACACAAAACCAAATGAATGTGCTTGTGTGTCTGTATACTACTGCTCTTTGAACAGTTTACTCTGTCCTGCAGTTTGGTACCTGTGAACTCCTAAGCTGAAGAATTTCTGAACTTTCAGAAGCTGACATACTGTGTGACTCAACGGGGAGCTTGTATTGTTGTTGAAGACCTTTGGCGCTGTGTTTCAGACGCTGTTGGCAATGTGGGGAATCACTCCAGGGAAAAATCCCTTTTGAATACTTGGACTTCTCCTTCTGCACCACACGCTGTCTGCAGGAGCACCGGAGGAGCCGAGCTCCCACTGCCAGGCCCTGATGCAGCAGCTGCCTAGCCCCCCCCAGCCCCCCAGCCAGGACAAGGCCAAGAAGCTTGTCCTGACAGCTCACATCTCCAAGACTTAGTCCTGACGGAGTCTGGACCACTGTAGGCCAAACCCAGCTTCAAATCACTGAGCAGCAGCTAACGCTGGTGACAGGAAGAAGCTCTATTATCTCCATGGTTGAGCTCATTAACTACAAATAGAAATGAGCACTGAACAACCTGATGCTGCACATTTTTTGCAGAACTTATAAGAAATCCACTTTGATCTATTTTTCCATCAGCAATTTTGTCTTGCTGCTAACCATTTTTTTTTCCAATGCCCATTTTATGTTCACTAGTCATCAGTGTAGATTTGGCAATTATTTTAATTAGCATCAAATGGAAGTTTGAGTTAAATCTCAATAACGCTGCAAGCTCATAATTAGAATGTACAGGTGATTGGCCAACACACTGCAAGATCTTCTTTACCGCAAAAGTCTATTGGAAGCTCCCGATTCTTGTCAGAATGTTTTTGTGAATCTATCTATCACAATCTATCACAAGTGTTTTAATCCAACTCCCCCGCAATTGTGCGAAAGGGGAGTCTGGTTTTAAACAGGCATGCTTGTAATATAATTTAAAAAAGCTTCTAAACATTTTAAAACATTTTACTGAAAATAAAGGATTCTGCAGAAGTTATTTTTTTGTTTCCTTTGAAGTAAAAGTTTCAAGATAAACCTGCCGAGTTTTTCATTGGAAATAATAAATCAGACATGTCAAATGTGATAAAAAGGAAAGATTGTTTATTGGCTCATTATCAGTAATGTCACATTTGTGTGAAGAAGTTGAGTTAGACAATAAAACACGTTTACACTGTTCTGCGTTTCCATTACTAGAAGGTGTCATGAAAAACCGTATCCACATAGAAAGCATCTTACTGTAGGTCTGGAATTGAACCCAGGGTTCCAGCAGTAAGAGTCTGCAAAGCTAACATCACACCATGTTTCCCCGCTTTCAAAAGTGTGACTCTTTGAATTTAAGAGATACTAGATGAATATTAAAAATGATGAAAAAAAATTCAAAGTCAGAAATCTGATTTCCTGTGGTGCACATTCCCCTCTCCTTCCCCAAAAATGACTTATTATAACATCATTACCGCTAGGTATTTTTATAGTAATCTGTGATTTATAGAACAAGCAACCTGTTCTTTTGCATAATTGATACATGAAGGGTTTCACATTTTCATTCTGCATTATCAAAATTAGTTACTAGAAGATGACAAAATAGCTGATTTCAACGTGTTATGTTCAGAGGAAGACTGGCATCCCATCTAGTCCTGCCTAGCACACTATGCATCTGCCTGCAAAACAAGGCGCTCCGAATGCACAAAATCATTGTTGAGTGTTGTACTACATTTATTGAACAAAAGTTAAGACTGGGCAGACACCTGGCAGATGACATATAATGTAAACGTAATAGGGTTTTGCATGCAGGTAGCAAAACATGTGAATATGTGCAAAATGGAAAAGATAGAAGAGGCCACATGGGTGTTTACTGTATGTTGAGAAATCATTCTGTCAGCAGTCCTGTACTGTCCACCCATTTTTGCAATATTATTTTTTTAGCAATAATACAGTCAAAAAAGTATTTTTATATTGAATTGCTACTTTAACCTTTGATAAATCACCAAGGATACATGTAATGGGAGTAAGTGGAATTTGGATATTTAGGCGCCTGAGAGCTTTCCCCACTGTGGAGGTCCAGAATGACTGTATGTGCTGACAATACCATAATAAGTGCAATAGTGATCCTTTATGTGTGTTACATTGGAACACATTCCTGTATTATGCCACTTAATCTTTTTCAGTTTACTCTGGGGTATAATAGAGTCTGTTTAAAATTTTGTACTGAAGCAGTTTGTTGTGTATAGCGCTAAATGGATAACTAACATTATGCCACACAGTATCCCAGTCTATGTCCTCTGCCCAAACAGAGATCAGCTGTCCACTGAGATGCAAACCTATCAAAAGACGTGTCTGACCATGTGTTAAGAAGGTTGTAAAATGTTCCAGGCTTCACTTGTATAGTAGTCTGCAATAGTTTATTGCTGTAATTATCCAGTTCTTGTTTTAATTTACTTAACGGAAAGGTTTTAGACGGTAAACTTGTAAGTTTTGAGTAATTTAAATTTAATTAATTACATTTTAAATTAATTAAATGTATTAATTTAAATTAATTGGTCTTGACAGTTAATTATAGTATACAATATAGTTAGTCTTGGTGATCTAAATAATGGTTGATGTACAGATAGTGAAGTGTCATAAGATAAAATTGTTTTGCAGCTTTTTCTTATATTTTAAAAGAAGAACCAATTGGTGTTTCAATTAAAGATTTAGGACATGCCTTGCTATAATACAAACTTTCTAAGGAGATACCTAGCTCTGAGGCTGTATCATGCTCTATTTGTACCCAGTCCTATTCTATTTCTGCTTTAAACCTTTGCTTGGACTGAGCCAAATGCCAAGTAATAATTGTAAAAATGAGGTAACCCACCTTGTAGCCCTGTTGATACTTGCCCATGAACACTTGGCTTAAGTCTATGGGGGGGCTGTTACTTGTAAGAATTAAGTTTGAATTTACATTCAGCATGTCAAGTAAAGAATTGTTATGGCAGAACATATTTTTGTGACACTAGTCCTTTTCCTTGATCTGCACCAACCTTTGGTAGGTTACACCTACCATTTAGACTTAAGTTCTTCCTCACTTTCAGAGGCAGTCAAAGGTAGCAATCCTAAGTGGTTTTCTTTACTCCCGCTGTAGGTACTGACTGAAAGACTTAGTAAATCTTTGAGTGATGTTTGTGGGTCTATTATGAGTTTCATTATTTTTTTTGTTCATGTAGTTTCACCTGTTTTTCATCCAACCTACCCTGAATATATTTTTTTCTGTTGCAACATGTTACAGAATCATGGAGTGAGACAAAATTGTACAGCATTAAATTGCAACTATTTTATTTATCAGTTACCTTCCTCACATATTGTCCACAATAACAACTTCCTCCTTGTAAAGTATTATGGTAACACTAGGCAATTCATGATTCATTTTAGTGATCGCACATTTCAAAGTCATATAGAATTTTTTTAGGGTTCATATACAGTACTTTATGCTTTAGGTGTACAGAGAAAGTCTGATTGACCTCTGTTACACTAACTACAGATTTGTTTTATAAGCCAATAAAAAAATTAACATGATTTACAGCATTCTTTTAAATGCTACCAGATTGTTAAAATAAACCTAGCATTTTAATGCAAATAATCACGCAGCACGAAATAATACTCTCAAAACATACAAGATGTGAATTAGCAGTTGAGGCAGGCAAGGTTTAAAGGCACATTTTTCTACAAATAATTCCAACAAAAATTCAATTTTTAAATGGCTATAATGCTTGGAACATATCTGTTGAAATGCAACTCTGAAAATGCACGCTAATGAGCTGATGTATGTGTATGTCTGAAGTCAGTCTATATAAGCAACAACATTCTCGAAAAGCATTCCACAAAAACCGGAGTCAAGACAGATAGTAATTTTTTAAGTGTCTAAGGTGGCCTGTTGAGGTGCAGCTCAACACTCTAACTGTGAATATGAAGACTAAGCTGTGATATTTTAGACTGTGAAAGAAACCAGAAACAGATTGCCAAAGCATACTACACCATGATTGAACTGCATAGCTTTAGATAAGAAGTGTGTACACCTGATATGTAAACAAAAGTGGCTTTTCCTGGACACTGAGACAGACAGAGAACTGTGGACATCATCGGACAGTAGTATGGAATGAAACCTGAGGGCACTGATAGACGGACCTTGTGTGGTGATCTTGCTTTCCTTGGTCTGATTTGCATGGCAACAGTGTCACAATCTCCCCACAGTTCTGTTGAGCTGAGCCCTGTCCATGAAAAGCACTCGAGTGTCTGAAGGAGCCTGCTCCAGCTCCAGAATGGTAATGTTATTGGGCTGGGAGGTACTGAGAAGTGGTCCAGGAACATACAAAGTTTGCTGAGGGCCTCTCTGGGGCCAATATCGACCCAGGTTTACTCCATTAATCCACACCTGTCCCTGAGAAAGTCAAACCAAACAATGTTTAGTGGACAGGGTCTTTAGAAAACCTGCTGTATTGAGAGACATTTTAAAATAAAGTATTTAAAATACACTTTCACCTTCAGTTTGTAAAAGATGGACTTTTTATGACATTTCACTTAAGGTACAAAAATCATTTTTAGAATGGTATTACTTACATTGCAACTACTTAAAACAATATATTTAATAGTAACTATTAAAATAAATTTTAAGTGACCCATTTCTAGCACAAACAACTAAGAGTACAAAGTGAATATGAATCCCATCATCATTCAAACCTTACTCACATACAGGTATTTGCAATAAAGTTTTAATTTGTGGCAGACCCACATATGACAGACTGGTTTAGATTTTAAATATTAATCTGAGATTTATTGGCATGCTGGCAATAGATCACAGGAAGGAAAACCTTAAGTGCTTACTTTTCATGACTTTCATGACACTTACCTTAGTCCACCCTCTGAGCCTCAGAAAGGTGTCCCAGGCCAAGCCTGTTGGCTCCAGGATGCCCATGTAAAAGGTGGGTCCTTTGGAATCTTCCCTGCTGCCTTTGTGCCTGGAGTGTTTCAGCTTGGAGTGTGGCCAACCATAGGCTATAGCCCCGTCAATGTCAAGAGAGTAGATCAACCAGTTAGACAGAACGTCTCTTCCCAGATAGAGGTTGCTCACAAGGCCCTAATATGAACAGTGCAGAAAAAAAACAGTCACTGAGAAATAAAATTTCTTGCAAGATGTGAGTTGTAAGATGTGACCACTAAAACTTTATACATAGCCATGCCTATGACTCCCATAACTCAGCAGGAAGTATTTTTAAGTGCAAAATTAACTTAAAAAATATTTAATTATAGTTAATTAAAAAAAATAATTGGCCAGTAGTCATATCACCCTGCAACTCACAAGTTGCAACCCACTGAAGCTAAGCAGGTTTGAGCCTGGTCAGTACCTGGATGGGAAACCTCCTGGGAAAAACTAAGGTTGCTGCTGGAAGAGGTGTTAGTGGGGCCAGCAGAGGGCGCTCACCCCGTGGTCCATGTGGGTCCTAATGCCCCAGTATAGTGACGGGGACACTATACTGTAAACAGGCGCCGTCCTTTGGATGAGATGTAAAACCGAGGTCCGGACTCTCGTTGGTCATTAAAAATCCCAGAGCGTTTCTCTAAAAGAGTAGGGGTGTAACCCCGGCATCCTGGCCAAATTTCCCATTGGCCCTTACCAATCACGGCCTTCTAATAATCCCCATCTATGAATTGGCTTCATCACTCTGCTCTCCTCCCCACTGATAGCTGATGTGTGGTGAGTGTTCTGGCACACTATGGCTGCCGTTGCATCATCCAGGTGGATGCTGCACATTGGTGGTGGTGGAGGGGAGTTCCCATTACCTGTGAAAGCGCTTTGAGAGGAGTGTCCAGAAAAGCGCTACTGTATATAAGTGTAAGCAATTATTATTATTAAAAAAAGTAATTGGTTTAGTTTCTTTGGACCTCTGATGGAAAAAAGAAACGCAACACCTCCTCCTCCACACTCTGGCCCTCCCGTCTGCAGCTGAAGAGTGACTCATCCGTGAAGAGGATCTGATGCCACTGCTGACGAGTCCATCACAGCTTCTGTCTGGCCCAAGCTAGTCGGGTGTGACATCTAGGAGGTGTGAGCAGAGAGCCCCTGAGAGGTCGCCTTACTCTATGGCCAGCAGCATGGAGCCTCACTGTCCTGTCACTAATGTGGGCATTGTGTCTGCTGGCAGTTTCAGCAGCAGTACGGGAGGCAGATCTGAAATGATCTCTCAGATGGACCAGTCTGATGTGTCACTCCTGCTCTAGTGTGGTCACTCAAGGGCGACCAGATCTTGGATGGTCATCTGTCCTGCTGGTCTACTGAAACCTCTGCAGTCGGGACACAGTGGAGCAACTTACTCCATAGTGTCTGGCAACGCTGGCACATGACATGCCTGCCTGCAGCATGCCAATAGCCCTCTCCCTTGCTTCTGGTGACATTTGAGTGTGGCCTTTTTCTTGCAGTGACCTAAGCTTTGACTTAAGGCCTTTTTAAAGGTGACCTGATCAGGCATTGTTCCACCCAGACTTTGTTGGGTAAAAGTGCACCCAACGAGCTTTCGTGTGATTGGCATGTTGCAATGCCTCACTGCACAAGCTGTATTGGAGCAGAGGGCTTAAAACAATTTGACAACTTTTTGTGAAAGTACATAAGCCTTAAATACAGTATTCTCATTCCAGAAAATGTTGTATTTCTTTTTCCATCAGTATATATACATATATAGGATTCCTCAACTGAGGAGGTTCTCAAGAAAGTCTGCTTTTGTACAAGAGCAACACACCAATGTTATGTCCACAAACCTCCTCTATGTCACTCTGGACCAGGATGTCTTTGGGAGATGGGAAGAAGCTGGAGCAAAAACCCAGATAAACTTTAGATATATAAATACCAAAGGCTAGAATCAAATTCAGGTCCACGGAGCCCTGAAACAGCAGCGCTAACTACTCAGTTGCCCACAGTCTCAATATTATTCAATGAAAACTTGCATTTTATGCTTATTCAGAGCAATACTAGTAAATAACTGCAAACCCCTTCACAACCATGGATCAGCTCTCAAGAAAAGAAAGGACTGATCCAAAGCTGAATTATAAATAAATAAAACAAACTACTATATGACTTCAGTTAAGAAGTACTTCTGTCCATAAACAACAGCTAGAACAAACCAGCAATGACACTTATTTATTTAACTTGAGTTCTTTTCATCAGTTCGGAGGTTGTTCTTGCCTTGAAGTCGTTAATGTGACTCCCGAAGTTAACCCTCCCCATGTTCTCAACCAGGATGTCTAACTGATCTCCTTCTTTTCCAGTCACATTTAACACCAGAGTGGTGTCTCTTTCCAGCACACCCTGGAACATCTGGAACACATGATGGGAAAAACAGAGAAACAGACAAACTTTAGAAAGACAGCATACAGGAGAGTGATTATTTTCTTACACTTGAAAGCAAGTGATTAGTAATATTTTGGCTAAGAGATTGTCTTGCTGTAAGAGCATATTTCTGTGGGAAATATGTTCTCTGTGTTATGTTCTCTACCGACTTAGAAACAACCTTATGGAAAACATAATGGGAAACATGCATATGCATGAAGTTCTGTTTAATGGGATTTTTCAACTAATTCTACCTGAGATGGTCCATATTTATTCTCATTTTGGTACAGGGAATTTTAACACTGGTCTTCAGGGTACACAGCTTAGAAAGTATTCTATATCTTAAACTTTAACCAATTAAGCCACTTGTAGTTTTACACAGAAGTAACAAAATGCTGTAATGTAAATTTCAAAACAGGAAATTGTGTAGTGTGTCTGTTCCTTGGTTGTTGTTGTTTTGCAATCTGTAGTAAGATTCTTTCACATTTTTTTCTATGTTGGTGAAGGGCTGCTGTTCAGGTATTGATGGGGACATGATTGTGTGGCAGTGTTGCGGACCAGGGTATTTTCCTCAGATCTCTTACCCCATTGACCAGCACATATCCACGGTCGTGAACACCATTCAGAGGTGAGATCAGTGGCGTGGCTTGTTCTAGTGTCCTGGGCAGCTTAGTCTGGTAAAGCATGTAGCCATAATACTGAAAAGCAATCATGCAAAGTGAGGTTAGCACTGCAGGGACATATAAAATCTCAATTAATCCAGCTACACAGATTCTTGCACCTTTTTTACTTCACGTTTTTGTCTAGAAGAACTTTTGGGATGTTAATTTTGTATGTTCAAGTTTAAACTGACCGAAGATGTTTTTATGGAGCTCTGAAAAATCAGGCTTATTTTGATTTAAGAAACAAATGGAACATACAATAAGAAAAAAAAAACAAAATGGTCCACAGTAATGTTAGTCTTTATGTTTAAAACAGCATTCTATGTTTTTCAGAATGTCCCATCAGTTTTAGGTTGTGAGGGCCAAAATACTCATCTGAAGGTCAGTCTACAGATACTGTGGCTGCAGGTTTTGCACTTAAATGCATATTAAGCCATTATTATTATAATTTGTATTATTCTTCACCTTGGTAAGAGGCTTTGCTGGTATAGGACCCTATGGCGCCATAGACCAGACTAAACTATATGGCATTGTCTAAGATGTGTTTATTCTTACCTCGTCGGATAGATGGAATTCAGCTTCCTGTTCTCATGGCAACTCTTACCTGTTTCATTGCCTCAAAGGTCAAAGGGTACAGAGACTGGAGGGGACCCTGTGGGCACAGCGTATCCAGCAGTCCTGTGATGTTGCCAACCTGAAAAAAAGGAGGTCAAGAGTACTGGCCATCTGTACTGCAAAAAACAAAATAAATGTGTACTAACAATGAATGTATTTCTGATTCTAATGATGTGTTGGAACTAAACAATGTTGAAAAATGATGCCAACCTTTTTCAGTGTTATATATCCATAGGCATACTTTGGTGTGGCAGGAGGCATGGGTCCCTCAGGTACCTCACGGAACTGGGGAAAAAAGAGAGTCATTATGCAGTTGATATAATTATTGATATGCAGTTTCCTGTTTTTCAAATCCTTTCCAAAGTGTACTTTTTACAGATAAATATTCTTGTTAGACAATAAATCTGTCTCATCAGAGACTGGTGTCTTCTACACTTGTTGTTGCCAATCTGTTTTCGCACAGTGATCTCCATCCAGGACAGGAGCTGTTTTGTTTCCTCTTTTTTAACACACAGCCCTTCACCCTCAGCCTCTCTACAGAAAACAACGAGCTCCCTGAAATTGCCATGATGTCTGCTCTTTTTCTTTCAGTTCTCCTGATGTTGTCAACCCTCCCTGGAACTCTGGAACCACTGCGGCCGCTTCATAGCCAATATTTATTCTTCTTTTGGGGGTTCTGAGTGTAATCCATCCTCATCCTTCCAGTTGTAGCAAACTTCAGCAAGTGGAAACTCACTATCAGTTCTTATTCTACTTTTCTGTCAGTGCACTTGACCTCAGGTTATGCTTTCCAGGTCATCACAGAATTCCAGTCCCGACTGATCTAGGATTCAGTGACTTGACTGTCACCTGTTCATTGACTTGTGTTCAATCATCTGTATCAAGCTACAGTGCACATCACATACCAACCTGGCATATCCTAACCAGGTTAACGTGATCAAGCACAGCTCACACACTAAAGAAATCAGCATTAGCGTTTTGGGATTCCTTTATTCTGCTGTTTTTTTTTTATCAAACTACTGAAAAGGAGGTGCTAATCAAAAGTCTGGTAGGACTTCAAAGTGTAATTGCTCAGTTCTGCTGTCTTGCGGTTAAACACCTGCCTGTTGTACAACTTCACACATGTTTTTTAACACCTCTCCCTCCAGCCTATCTTCATGTTTGCAGCAGACTCCCTGGTTCATTTCTCGGGGATGAAGGGAGTCCTACCCTTACAGCAAAGACTGTCCTTTCCTCAGCCAGGTGAGTTAATGCCAAACACTAAAATATTAAGTAAGCTATCCCTTTTTATTTGACATGTCTCATCATCATTAGAATGTCATTCAAGTATTGAAATACAAATGATCAATGTTTAACATAGTTTTACCCTACTGATCACATCCCTAATAGCCAGCAGTTTGTCAGTTGGGTCTCCAGCCTCAGAGAGCGGGGCATCATAGTCATAGCTGGTCACCACGGGCTTGAATCTGCTGTCATGATCAGCACCTAGAGCAGCATTGGTTTAAAATCAGTGCATATCCTCAAACCTGCGCTTTATTCTGTATTACAAAACTTTTCCTCTTCAACAGTAAAAAAATAAAAAAAGATAGGCATTGCTAGATTTATCTCCATTGATTTCATTAATATTTTTCTTCTTTTCTGGGACTTAAAGCAATTTGAGTTATTCTTTTAACTGCCCACAACCCTCTTTTCTCCATAAACTGTTCAGTAAAGATTAATACAATATCTTAAATTCAATCAAGAAAACCCCCTGACAGCTTCGAACACTAATTTGGAATCTGATATACAGAAGCTATGCAGGATGTTTCTTCAAAATCAGAAACAAACATGGCATGTCATGGTGTGACTAATTTAAAGAAGTCATAAAAAAGAGAACTTGCCATTCCAGTAACCAAAGTTTGTTCCTCCCTCAAACATATACCTGCAAAGAGAAATTGTATTAAGTCATGCGTCTATATCTACAAGGGGAAATGGACCTGATCTTTGAAAAGCCATGCTGTTTTAACTCTCAATGTTGTGTCTACAAGCTCTAGAAAAGATTTTTAAAAGAGTCGGAGTCGATAGTCTTATCTTTAGGTGTGTAGACAAAGTCTTCTATACTCAATTCTCAACAATGGAGTATCAAGGCTGATTCTCAAGCTTAAAGATCCTGTTTGGCAGGTCACAAATAAATAAACCTATTTCAGTAAAATACAGTTTGTCTGTTCTAAAGCATAAACTGTGATCATATGGGTTTGCTCCAATTTAATTTCACCTTCCAAATGAATGCTAGCTAGGTGAACTGGTGTCTCTAAATTGAACTGGCATCATGTTCAGGTGTACCATGCCTTGCACCCATTGTCTATCAGTTTAGGCTCCAGCTTACTGCAACCCTTCAGGAATAAAGATTTCTAATAAAGGATGATGCAGTAACGGACTGAATAATCGTTTATGTTTTTACACTCACATTCCCAAGACCATTACTCATGACCAGGATGAGTAGTCATCCAACAGTTTAAAAACTGACAGTACCGTGGCAGCTCTGTGAAGTTGGCCCCCCTACAAACAGCACAAACAATGACACCCACAACATTCATTACTGCTTCATTTGTGCTGGTTTGTGCCACTGAAAGTAGCACTTGTACTGCTTTTGTTCCTGACATCATGTGACATCATTCAGCCCCCCTACAATGTGCCGAAGAATCAAACTAGTCTCATTCGTTAGTTCTCCTTTAACGTTGATTTGTGCTATTAACAATAGTGTCTGAGCTGCTTTCGTTCCTGAGATATAGCTGCTTTTTTCAGGATGTGACATCCCTCACCTCCCTCTACAGAAGTGCTGGAGAACCAAACTGATCTCACTTTTTAGTGCTAGTTTGTGCTGTTGAAAGTAGCTTCTGAGCTGCTTTCATTCCCAAGATATAGCATCTATTTTGGGGGAGGTGTGATCTTACTCGGCACCCCTACACCGGTGCAGGAGAATGGAATCGGTTTCTTGACAGTAACACACTCTTGATAGTTAATGTAATCAATTACTGAATGTGAGGATAACAATGCCTGCTCGTTTTGTCTGAAATTTACATTTTCAGTCTGTGTGGGGGGTGATGAGGCGGGAGGGATGTGCGTGGATGTTTTGCATTTTAATAACAGCATTTTTTGTGTGAATAGTAAAATCAAGTCTCCAATAGAAAAAATTAAAAAATTATGCCAATTTGAAATGACAGAATTTTCTGTTATGTACAGTAAGAACAATTAAGATCGTTTAATTAGATTAATGGAGGTTTCAATCAACAGGACAACACACAACCCAAGTGGAATCTACATGACTTGGGTTAAGAATCAAGCCAAAGCGCCATGTGAACTGCTGATGGATGGGTGAGGGCATTGCCCCGACAATGCGAGATGTATCTTACATGTTAACACTGGCTCCCAAGGCCAGCATGTCCCCCAGCATCTGGCTGACTTTCTGTGTGTCCACCTGGGCGTGACTGTCCCCCCAGTGATCTAGCCAGCCTGTATAGAACTCCGAGTTGACCTGCAACACAGCACACCTCCGTCAGTGAGAGCTTTCTAACTCCTCTGTGCATAGCTGTTTCTTCAAAAAGTAGCATTGCCTGGAGTTTACAAAGAGACTGCAAAATAAAATTGTAAAATTGAGTATTTTTAACACCGAGTAGGTTACTCAAGTTAAAAATGTAAAGTCAGTCTAGATGATGTTTTGTAACAATAATTATGATCGCAGTTCACTCACCAGAGGACCCTTTGGTTCAAATCTTCTTTGTCTTTTGAAAGCTGTGGTAATGTTGGTGTCTAAGGTAGAAATCATTGTGAATCAGCTCATGCAAAATCATGCTGAACTTTCTATATCTGCATGGAATCATGCAGGATACTGACACTGCATTGCAAAACCAATACATAAAAATGTTTATAATGGCAGATAGAACATTCTGAAAAAAGCTTAAAACCTTCTCTCCAACTTGTCAGTATTGGCAAATAAGAATCAATCTGGAAGCTTTTTTTACCAAATTATGCTACAAGGAGTAGTAGATCAAGATCTATGCAGATTTCTAATGTGTGAAGGCTTGTTTATAACAACTGTATGCCATGCCAAGTACTATATTTAGCAATTCATGAGAAATTCTCCAGATTTTTAAACTAAGTTCAACAGAAAAGTTATTTTAAACCTTTTCTCATTCAAAAGATTTTGCGGATTAAAATACCTAAATGGGGGGAAAAGCTAATATATTCAGAAACAAGCTGAACGACACTAATGAGGTCATTCTCTCAACATAGTGGTGCTTTATGAATCTTTTCAATAAGTGGCTATATTGTGGCACTGTAGGACTGTCTCTATTACCTGTCCCAAAATCGATAGTAGCATAAAGGCCTTCCAGGGTCCCACAAGTCAGCTCCAAGTTGGTGTTGCCATCTGTGGTGAAAAGGACAGTGTCTTCCTCCAGAAAGAACTGGAATATCGTTTTCAGGTGACGAAGATAGTTGTAATCGCAGGCGAAGTAGCTTCCATATTCGTTCTCCACCTTTTCCATATATACAGTACAAACCATTATTACTTTCTAAGTTGAATTCATTTAAAAGATGCATAAACACTGTTTTAACAATGCTGAACCAGTTAAGTCTTAACACTACCATTAAGATAAAGCATGTTACTGTAAATTATTTTAACATGAGCTTGTATTCTTTTAGTAACGGGCAGCGTAAGACTAAATGATCATTTTTAATATTTTGTGGTATATGGATAAAAAATAATAGTTGACAGAAATGAAGCAGGGTCAGACCCATAGCTGTTTTAGTAATAACAGCTTGACCTTTTTCACACCTTTGTCACAGATCTTTTGTTGTTTTAGGAACCTTAATTTATACCATAAGAAGAGAAGCGTTATGGTAAAGGTAGACAACTGCATTATTTGTGCTGACAATTTAAAATACATGGGCTCTGTCTAAAATGGAAATCACACCCTTGAAGAACACTTTGAAGGTTCAAAACTGAGGGTATTACTCCAAGTTTCCCAGAAAGGCATAAACCAGCTTGTTCCAGAATCTCATTTCACAGTGCAAGTGACACCAGCTCTAACAGTCAATTAGCATTCAGAGTAGGACGGTAGTACCTGGACACTGATGATGTTTCCTCCATTGCTGTAAAGCCAGGGCTTTATTTTAGGCAGAAGAACTGCTAACCAGCTGTCTACCGCCTGCAGGTAATCTAGAACAAGAAATAAGAGAGACTGCATCTCCTCATCTTTTGGAAAAAGTCTGTAAGTCTAATTTATTACAAAAGATATTTTACTCAAAAGGAAGTTAAATGAGCATGATAATGTCCATATGCTTTTCTTTCTTTTCTGTAAATGAGTATTGAAAAAAATCCCTGAAACTGATAGCACACATTAAGGTCATACCTGGGTCTGCGGAGCGCAAGATAATGTTGGGTTTATGGAGCAGCCAGGCAGGAAGGCCACCCTGGGAAAAGTAAGCACATTGGTTACTGGAACAACAAATAGTCAATTTGTAAATAGTGTACACCTGGACCAGGACTGACAATGAAATTCTAAACCATGATAAGAATGTTTACAAACTGACTCATCAAAAAAAATATTACATATACTGTATATCAGTTTTCCACTAGCTTGGTTTGTCTGTGACGCTGCTAGTAAACTATGACTTTTTACTGGATTAACTATGGGGAAAAAGTGACTAAAATATGTAATGTAACACTATTCAAAAAAAGAGAACCTTGTAACTCTATAAACTAGCTATAAACTACACACCAAGAACTATAATAAATGTGATCTGCACTTTAAACTAGTGTGTTTAAGCAGGTTTCGTTGCACATTTTTCATATCAGAAAGATTAGAATGTAGGCCTCCAACAGCCCATTAGTGCATTTTAAAGGCTCATAAATGAATGGAAGGTAAGAATTTTCTGTTTTTCTTACTGTATAATCTAAGTGCTTAACCTTGTTACTTTTAATGAGTACTAATTGCTCAAACAGTCCCTCAGCCTAACCCCAACACACAACCGTTTTTGGTTTATCACACAGCAGTGAGAAGGCCCTGCCAGTGAAACTCACCATCTCCCATTCTGCACAGATGTATGGGCCTGGCCGCAGGATCACCAGCAGGCCTGTTTGGTTCGCAAGGTGCAGGAAATGCTCCAAATCCCGGTCACCATTGAAGTCATAGGTCCCCTGCACAGACTCGTGGTAATTCCAGGGCACATAGCTGTGATGTCACAGGAGACCAAACCATCCGATTATCATGTGAATCAACCATGGTGACAAACTCCTGTTTGTGTTCTTGTCATAACAGGCATTTTATCATATCATTTCTAAGTACTCACACCACATAGGGGTGCTGAGGCATGTCTACATTTCAAGATGTTTAAGGTCAGAGCTTGCCATAGAAACATAGTACAGATGTCTTTTCAGCTCTGAAACTTTGCAACTGACATCAAGTTTTTTTTCTTTTTCTTCTCTCTCATTATTTATTTACTACTAATTTAGTGATAAGGATTATTTACTATGATTTGAAATCACATCTGTACCCGAGAGTTTTTCTATTGCACCCGAGCTATTAATAGTAACTGATAAAATTGTAAACTTCTTACAGTCTTACAGCAGGATGAAGGCAATATAATATGGGATAACCTGCTTTTGGCAAAGTGTGTCTGAATATTTCCCCCAAGAATGCAGTTTTCTATGGCACAGAAAAACCTAAAATTTCTTATAATGGCAAATTTCTCACTGTTGGTTATTTATCGTTTTATACTTAATAACATACTGTTAGTTTGTATTTCAACTGTAAAAGGCTTCCCCTTTATCTTTTATTCTAACTATGCTTCGGTCTGTACTTACGTCTGAATCGTATTGAGCCCAGTCATGTACATTTTCAGAAGCCTGTCTTTCCAGTAGAACCACGGGATGCGAGAGTAGTGGATACTTCCCGAGATGTACTGGAATGGAGCGCCATCCTTCAGGAAACAGTTGTTCTTGTAATCAATACTGAAACTGCGACTTTCTGATGCCTGGACAAACAGAGGGAGCATGTTTTAGCCCATCTATGGCAGAGGTGAGAAAACAGTTTGCAGAATTTTCCATTTTCACCAGCTCTCATCCAGTTTGATTAGTTACTTGCTAATGTAGCATTCTTGGGGTCATATAAAGTTGTCATATAAAGATATGTATGTGTACCTTTATCAGAATTTCTAAATGTACTACGAGAAATAGGCATTTGCACTAAAATAACACCCTTTTGGTACTTCATAGAGTTATAACCTTCGATGATGTAAACCGCATATTTTATATGTTTAAAGGAAAACGAAAGGTGAACCAACACTTTTTAAAGAGAATCCAGTCTGGTTTGCGCTGTTATGAATGAAACCTAAGCATAAAAAGAGACCTGTTTTGTTCGTAAGAATTATTTTACTTTGTCTTCCGGAATCTAATGGCATTGATTCAGGTACATTGAACACCTTAAAACATTCCTTGTCGTATTTAAAATTAAAAATTAAAAATTTGGTCTGAAAAGTAACTTTTTAAATTAAAAAAAAAGGATCTCAGATCAGGCCAGAGTTTGCCTGATGAGACTGTAGTTTTCCTGAATCTTTTCTTTTACCAGTTTTTCCAAACTTGCCCTCACCTTATGCGTGACATTTCAGTCAAATTACAAGTAACATCATTTCCATTTAAAAAGCAAGCCAAGTACAGTATATCTCAAATAGTTTTAATGTAACAGCATATATTGCACTCATATAATGTTATCTCAGCTTCATACAACTGACATAATGCGGGCTACACTTTCCTGCACAAGATGTGAACTTCAATGAAACAAAATTAACATACCTTTATTATTAAAAAAAGAAAGCTTATTGCGAAAACGAAACCAACCCTGAATTTCATAATTTCGAATAGTCGATTTACTGATTTAACACATCTCTTACTTCGTGCATATTACTTTCTACAAAACTTTTTTCAGTAATATAGAAAATAAAAATAAAAAATTGTTTCGATCCAATCACAACATTCTCTTTCGTCTGTAGTAACGGGAGTTCGCAGAAGCTATCATGCAGACCAGTTTGCAGAAGACCATCATGTGATTCAAATTAGGTGTTTCCGCTGGGTCCTAAACAGAATAGAGCTTTCTGCTACGGGCAGACACAGGCATCTTCTAACTGTGATTAGATAATGCAGCATAACATATCGAATATATATTTTTAAAGGAACAAGTAATAGGTTTATTCCATGCTGAAAAAAAGAAGAAAGAGAATACAACATTTCGGCCGTGGAGCCAGAACAAGAACAAAAAGCAGATAGGAGGAATGGAAGAATAAATAAAGCACGGATACATTATGACTATTACGAAGGTTATATTTGCACACAGTTTTGTTGAACTACAATGCTTGTAACAATTGATTAAGACAGGGTAATCTTTGCATGATATATTGAATATAGCGATATATTGCCCTTGTTGAGTGACGATACTGTATGTACATATTTGAGTCCATATAGCGCCTTTGTCATGGGGTGCTAAAAGTTGGTGTAGGGCTGTGGCTATGGCATGTAAGGAGTGCTCACTGGGACATTTTCTTTCGTTACTCTCTTTTTGAGTAGATGTTGTTCATTTTATTTTGTGTGTGTGCATCCTTTACGGATACTTGTTTGAACTCTCTCTTTTTGAGTAGATGGTGATACTTTGTTGTAATTTCTAGAGGAAACAAAACTACAATTACTGTATGTATAATTTCTTGGGCTGGTCTCTGGGTGAGCCCATGGTTCTGGGGGATTCAATGTGTTGGGAAAGGGGTCCTTGAACCTTATAATTGCTAGATAGCATAGCTGGCTAAGGGTACTGCCTGGTCACTACTAAATTAAACAGCTAGCAAAATCTATTAACTCCTTTCCAATGACATCCCATTTGGAAGAACTACAAATTTGTAGACATACTGTATTTTAAAGTGAAAAAATGTAATGAAAATTTGAATGTTCAATCTAAACATAGTTGGAAGAGGTGAAAAATTTTGCAAGGCAACTGGATATGAGCACGTATTTGTAAAAAATATTAAAATAAGCACAACTCAACATCAAATTTCCAACATAAACTGGGCCCTATGTAGGTCAAATGATCATGAACTGTCCCTGTGGTAGCAGATAAGGAAAAAAAAATCTCTATGTATAACAGCTTTTTTATTTAAACAATAATTAAGGCATTGGCCTTTCTTTGGCTCATCATCACCATATCTAGACTGCAGTAAAAAGCACGTAAGTGCAAGTGAATAATAACATTGCTGTTGATAACTATTACCCTTCAATACATGTCTTCTGGCTTGAAATGTTAGTTTGTTTTTGTACATATCTGTAATCTATTTTCAGCATGCTTGTGAAAAAATGGACAAACCTAGACCATTCTCTGTAATTCCAGATTTGTCAATACACACAGATTTCTCGTGACACTATATGAACTGGTTCAGAATGAATGGGCTACAAAAAACCTTCAGAGAGCTGACTGAAATGAGCACAGTGACATGCATGTTGTTGAACAATGGCCATTGGTTTGACTTCATTGAGCAGACAGACCAGGGAAAGAATGCTGAATTTTACTTTCAGTCATCCCAACAGGCCTTACGTATTGTTTCATATAGTGTAGCTATTTACTGTATATACAGAACCGTTCAAATGTTTGGAAACACCACACACAGAGAGGCAGAGAGAGAACAATGCAATTTATTCTTCTTAACTAGCTAGTAGATTAACTGCCTAGTTAATCTAATATCTTTGCTTTGCTGAACCAGTATATATCTCCTATTTAATTGTACCCTAAAGATGTGTTAATGGGTAAAGAGAACCCAATATGCCCATGTTTTATAGGCAATTTTACTATATAACCATGCAATTTAGTAGTGCGTGTGTTTTTTCTAGTATATCAGCTTGCATTTCTGTATGTCAGATATGTTGATTTCTCTTAACATGGCTTCTTATTATCACTGGCAAGGTTTTAAATAATAATCTTTACTTAAATTGTAAATGCTAGATATTGTAAGCAACACAATATCTACTGTAGCATTGTGGCAGCCCGGGTGCTGAAATGGTTGTAATTGCAGCTGAACTGCCACTAGAGGCTGCTACAGCGATCCATTTTTTGGCCAATTAAGGGTCACATGGGAGCCGGCACCTACAGTATCTCAGCAAGTATTGGGTGCAAGGCAGAGTGCACCGTGGACTGGACGCCAGTTCATCATTGGGCCAGTGCAGACATGCACACACTCACACACCAGATTCAATTTACTCAGACGCCAATTAACCTACCACTATGTCTTTAGACTGTGGAAGGAAACGATAGCACCCGTAGGAAACCCACATAAACACTGGGAGACCATGCAAACTCCACACATATAGCACCCCAGGTCCATAATTGAACCCAGGACCCCAGCTCTGTGAGGCAGAATTGCTAGCTACTGTGCCACCATGTTGCCCAAGACTGCTGCTGTTACGCCCTCTGCAGCCAGAGGGCGCTCCTTCTCTGTCCTGTCTCTTTTTTCCGGTGCTTTGCTGTCCTTCCGGTGTCTCTCTCTCTCTGGGGCTATATATTTCTGGGTCTTTCATTTGCCCTCGCTCAGCACTGATGTTCGGATGTCCTGAGACCCACCTAGTACCAGGTTGCCCCACGTCAGCTACCTGGGGGCATAGGTTTCTATACAGCATTTCCTGAACAGCTGAGCCCTGGCTAACCCAAGTCTCGCCGCTACGCATAGGGTCTTTTACGCTCTCCTGTCATTCCGCGGTTCGTCCTTTCCGACATCCGTGACAGCTGCAGTGCCTCCAAATTGTTTGCAAACAGCCACTGTAGGGGGGTGTTGGTTAATTATCAATAATAATAATTCCCTTTTGCTTATACAGCACTTTCCTGGACACCCCAGTCACTCCCCTCCCCTCAACCACCAACAATGTGCAGCATCCACCTGGATAATGCAATAGCAGCCATAACGCTCACCACACATCAGCTATCAGTGGGGAGGAGAACAGAGTGATGAAGCCAGTTCACAGATCTGGATTATTAGGAGGCCATGATTGGTAAAGACCAATGGGAAATTTGACCAGGACACCAGGGTAACACCTCTACCTTTTTCGAGAAACACCCTGGGACCTCTGTTTTACATCTCATTCGAAGGACAGTACCTTTTTACAGTATAGTGTCCCTGTCAGGATCCACATAGACTGCAGGGTGACGGCCCCCTACTGTCCCCACTAACACCTTTTCCAGCACCAACCTTAGCTTTCCCAGGAGGTCTTCCATCCAGGAACTGACCAGGCTCACACTTGCTGAGCTTCAGTGGGTTGCAAGTTCTGTCATAGGTAGTATGGCCACCATTAAACATTTGTGCAACAACCTTTTCTCTTTCCTATAAATATTGTTAAAAATATACAGTATGTACAGTATATATAAATTGTCAAAGAGGACTTTGTTTCATTTAACTCTTTTACAAAATGAACAAGATGAAAAAATAGAATCTCCGTATTTGTCACATATGTGTTACTACGGTTATTTTTCTGGCCAGCTGTGAGTTTTCTAACTGCCGAACCCGTACTTTATACAGTGCCTTGCGAAAGTATTCGGCCCCCTTGAACTTTTCAACCTTTTGCCACATTTCAGGCTTCAAACATAAAGATATAAATTTTTTATTTTATGTGAAGAATCACCAACAAGTGGGACACAATTGTGAAGTGGAACGAATTGTGTAGAGCCACCTTTTGCTGCGATTACAGCTGCAAGTCGCTTGGGGTATGTCTCTATCAGTTTTGCACATCGAGAGACTGAAATTCTTGCCCATTCTTCCTTGCAAAACAGCTCGAGCTCAGTGAGGTTGGATGGAGAGCGTTTGTGAACAGCAGTTTTCAGCTCTTTCCACAGATTCTCGATTGGATTCAGGTCTGGACTTTGACTTGGCCATTCAAACACCTGGATACGTTTATTTGTGAACCATTCCTTTGTAGATTTTGCTGTATGTTTGGGATCGAAGATAAATCTCCGTCCCAGTTTCAGGTCTTTTGCAGACTCCAACAGGTTTTCATCCAGAATGGTCCTGTATTTGGCTGCATCCATCTTCCCCTCAATTTTAACCATCTTCCCTGTCCCTGCTGAAGTAAAGCAGGCCCAAACCATGATGCTGCCACCACCATGTTTGACAGTGGGGATGGTGTGTTGAGGGTGATGAGCTGTGTTGCTTTTACGCCAAACATATCGTTTTGCATTGTGGCCAAAAAGTTCGATTTTGGTTTCATCTGACCAGAGCACCTTCGTCCACATGTTTGGGGTGTCTCCCAGGTGGCTTGTGGCAAACTTTAGACGAGACTTTTTATGGATATCTTTGAGAAATGGCTTTCTTCTTGCCACTCTTCCATAAAGGCCAGATTTGTGCAGTGTAAGACTGATTGTTGTCCTATGGACAGACTCTCCCACCTCAGCTGTAGTTCTCTGCAGTTCATCCAGAGTGATCATGGGCCTCTTGGCTGCATCTCTGATCAGTCTTCTCCTTGTCTGAGCTGAAAGTTTAGAGGGACGGCCAGGTCTTGGTAGATTTGCAGTGGTCTGATACTCCTTCCATTTCAAGATGATCGCTTGCACAGTGCTCCTTGGGATGTTTGAAGCTTGGGAAATCTTTTTGTATCCAAATCCGGCTTTAAACTTCTCCACAACAGTATTACGGACCTGCCTGGTGTGTTCCTTGGTCTTCATGATGCTCTCTGCACTTTCAACAGAACCTTGAGACTATCACAGAGCAGGTGCATTTATACAGAGACTTGATTACACACAGGTGGATTCTATTTATCACCATCAGTCATTTAGGACAACATTGGATCATTCAGAGATCCTCGCTGAACTTCTGGAGTGAGTTTGCTGCACTGAAAGTAAAGGGGCCGAATAATTTTGCACGCCCCACTTTTCATTTTTTTATTAGTTAAAAAAGTTTCAAAAATCCAATAGATTTCGTTCCACTTCACAATTGTGTCCCACTTGTTGGTGATTCTTCACAAAAAATAAAAAATTTATATCTTTATGTTTGAAGCCTGAAATATGGCAAAA